GAGACCAGACTTAACAAAACCCAGATCTGAGCTGGGTTATTGATGGGAGTAAATTCATAAAGAATGACCAGTCACTTGCCAATGGCTTATACCTGTAATCCTAGATACCTGGGAGGCTGACATCAGGAGAATCACGGTTCAAGGCCAGCCCAGACAAATGGTCATGAGACCCCATCTCCAAAATAACCATAGCAAAAATGGACTGGAGTTTTGGCTCAAGCCTTAGAGCTCCTGATTTGTAAGTGTGAAGCACTAAGTTCAAACTCTGTCCCACCAAAAAAAAAAAGCAAAAAGAAGAAAGGACCAAAGACACACAGCACGTGCAGTGGTTGATTCCAGTCAAACTATAGAATCAGGACCTTTGTCACCAGCAAATTCTGCCCAAAAGGCAGAACTTATTGCCATTACTTGGGCCCTCAAATTGGCAAAAAATAAAATTAATTACACTAATTGTAAATATGCCTTCCTACTGCTATATGAACATGTGGCCATCTGAAAGAAATGAGAAATCTTGACTTGTAAAAATTCTCCCATTAAATATAGACCCGGGATCCTGAACTTGATTTTGGCAGTTCAAGAACCCAAAGAGGTGGCTGTCATCATTGCTCGGGCACCAGAGGAATAATTCATTTTAAAAAATTGAAGGAAATAATGTGGGTGACAAAAGCACTAAAACAGCAGCTCTCTCATTAGAACTTGGGAGCAAAGAAATGGTATTGTTTTCCTCCCATTAGGATTTATCTACAAAGCTTGAGTAAAGCTCCTCAAGAGTACAAATAGGTTCAAGACAGGATTTGTCATAAGTTCTGTTGGGTGGCTAGAAAAAGAAAGGATCCTCTTACTCCCTGTTTCTTCCAATGGAAGATCATTAAAGGGCTACATGATTCTTGTCATTTAGGCTGAAAGACATTCTCAGCCAACTAGAGGAGTTTTCAAGACCCTATCAAACAGGTGACCATGACTTGTGCTGTGTGCCAAACCAATAACCAGGGACTATCCTGAAAACTTTCCTCTTAACCCCAGCTTGTACAAAGGAGAGGGACTTTTCCAGAAGACTAAAACTTTACACAGTTCTATTCTTGCTGGGAAAATAAATATCCTTTGGTCTTCACTGATAACATTCACTGGATGACTCGAAGCTTTCCTGCACTGAAAAGACTGCAGAGGCAGCTGAATGTCTACTCAAAGAAATTATACCTAGGTTTGGACTGCCAAGAGTGATACAGAGTGACAGTGTGTCTGCCTTTATGTATAAGGTCATCCAGTCAGTTGCCCAAGTGCTCAGAATTACCTATCACTTACACTCAGCCTCGAGACCTCAATTGTCTGGGAATGTAAAATGAACCAATTGAACCCTAAAGAAAACCTTAGCCAAGTTATGCCAGGAAATTCACAACCATGGCTTAGAATGCTGCCCATCACCTTGTTGAGGGTAAGAATTGCCTAAAACCAAATTGAATCCAAGGAAAGGCTTTAGAGTCATTCAAAGAAAGTTCTTGCAAAATGATTTTTTGGATAAATATTACTAGGTCCCCTATTTATCATCAATATCCACATTTTTTTCTTTCATGCTAGAAGATAACCTTATTCTTAAATAAGGACCACCCTGATATCTCTGTCTGGTTATTGGTTACATGACTTGCCAGCTTTTTCTGTAAAAAACTGTTGATAACGCCAGTTTGTTACCTGCTTAGTTCAATGACTTAGCCCTCAGTAACTCTCAGGAGAAAATGCTTTGGGATTCCCACCAGTGAGCACTTTTGTATGAGCTAGACATTTCCTGCACAAGTATGCTTGTCTCCTCTAACAGGAATGGTTATGGCAGCCAGCTCCTAAAATTTCATTGCCAGTTTCTTTTCATTTATGGGGGAAATGATGGAAAAAACTCAATTTACTGTAAAATTTACTATTTTTCTATCAGCTAAGGGATTTATTTATTAGGTAAAAATAATGTCCACCTAACTTCCTTGGCATATTTGTCTTCCTGGACACACCTCCATCTCCTTCCTCTAACGTCTTCTTTTTTGGCTTCCTAACCTCACACTAGAGTTGTCCATTTCATATCTTTCTTTGTTGCATTAGAGATTACAATGGACATTTCCATGATAGTAGCAGGAACAATTTCAGCATTGATGGTGTATTCCAATTTCTCAAGGGAATTAAGCCTCAGAAACTTATAAATTGCTGAGGCCCCATTGACTTCTTAGTAGGGACTCTCCTTCAAAATTGATGGGCTCTAGTTATGCTTACTGCAGCTCAAGGTGGCACTTTCCTCTTTTTCTAGGAAGACTGCTGCTTCTGTGTTAACAAATGTGGCATGATGTGATATAATATAAAAGGTCTACTAGCTTAAGTGGCATGCCTAAAGGAATAGGCTTCTGTGGAGCGGTCATTTTTGGGATTGTCCTGGAACAGCTTTAAATGGCTTCTCCCACTCGTGGACCCATATTGTCACTCCTCATAACATTGGTTTTTGGCCCCTATCATTTTAAAGTGCCTAACCTTTTTCATATCTTCCAGGTTAAAAGGGTCCTATTTGCAGTTAGTGGTCCTTCAAGGATTACTGCCATTTCCTCCAGAGGAACAAACACCAAGCTGTAGTTCTTTGGACTAAGTTGTCACCACATTTTACTCTTCAGCTGGCTCTATCCCACCCAATTAGTTAGCAAGGATAATGGACCCCACAGGTAGGGTCCACGCCCATTTTCAGCTTGAAGAAACTACAGAAGAAGAGACCTTCTTACCTTTCTTCCCTTGTAAGCTTATAAGGGTCCATATTCCTTGAAAGGGGAATGAGATGGGACATGCAGATAGAAAGGGAGCAATAATAATGAAAAGGAGCCAAAGAACAGGTGCAGTATCACATCTGGGTACATTTTGCCAGACAGCCTGCTTCACAAGCAACCCTGAGGCTACTATTGACCTATTTTTTTGGTATGACAGCTAATAGTTCCCACTGGGACTTTGCCCAGTCTTCAAAGGTTAACTAGAGGCCTCATCTACATTATAGTTGTGGTTTGATGCATGCACCTCCCTTCAAATTACCATTCTGGTTCTGAGGGCACCTTACTAGGTAAAGCTGTTCCTTATCCTCCAAATGTTGGTAAAGCCCTCCGATTTCTTAGGAAGATCTCATAATGGTGTATGCCGATTTCCTCTGGTCCATAAAAGTGCCTAAGATGTGAGAGCTAGGGGCACTTGTCTGCTTGGTTGGGTTGCCTGCCCTCATCCTATCTTGAGAGTGTACTTTCACTTTTACTTCAATAAACCTTGTTCTGTTAAAACTCCTCTGTGCGTCAGCCCATGAATTCTTTCTTCAGCGACACCAGTAACCTACCAGACCTCAGATTCTCAGATCTCTTATTAGATCCAGTGACAGGTAAAAGATTAGTTGGTTTAGGAGAAAATCATAGCAAAAAAAGAAAAGAAAAAGACAGTGACTATTTGACATTTATCTTAGGAAATTTTGCTATGACTATAGAGTAGCACATTGAAGGATAGGAAGGTGAGATAGTTCTGCTCTTACTGTTCCTATTTTCAGTGAAAATTAGAGATGTAAGCTGTTGCCTAGATAAAAGGAGAGAGCAGATGTTAGGGGTTCAAAGAGAACTGAAATGATATGAAATGGTCATCAGAGTGGGAATTGTAGAATTAGTAATTCTAAGGGTTCATATAAGATTTGTGTCATGAATTTAAAGTGAAATGAGCCATTATTATGTTTTATTTTCAACTATATTGAACTACTTGGATTTATTCATCAAGTAGCTAAAGAAGCTGAGTTTAATTAGATTAGGGTTTTCCACAGATAAGTACTATAGAGTGGGGGAAGAGCAGAAAAGTTGAGTCTGTGTATCAAAATAATGATTACCATAATGTGAGTAAGAAGGGAAACTTCAAGACATGGGATAAGAAGGGAGGGTACTGGGTAAGGAAAACGTGGTTGGTCCAATGGATTTGATTATGAAAGTATAAAGTAATTGTATTGGTAAAAGTATAGTGGAATGAATGATGGTGCTTTGAGGGTAGAATCTTCATAGCTGAACTTTTGAAATGGTTTTATTGGGCTTGTACAAGATCTAGTGTGTGATTTAGGATTGAGGGGCTCAGGTCAGTTGAGGAAAAGATTGTTGGAAATAGGGGGAGGGTGTGGAATGAAAAGGCTACCTTAGCATCTCTGGATGTTGAAATCACTAGAAATGGTAACAGAAATAACACTGGAGGGGAAGACACTTGAACCAGGCTCTAAAATCTTTAATGAATAAAAAGGTATGATTTTAAGATCACACAGTAACTGTAGCAATCAGTAATAAAAGTTTATATCATCCTATGTCATAAGCTTCAGAGGAGCTGGACATTTAAAAGGGCAAGAGAAATGATGATAAGGAAATTCTAAACAAGGGAAGGGCTTGGGAAGAAGGGCAGATTTTGTGCTACTAATGGAGCATGATGTATCAGCCAGAATAAAGGTGAGAATTTGGAAAATGGTCACTGATTGAAAAGGCTTGAATATAATTTTACTTTGCATTTTATGAGCCCACTAAGAAGTGACTGTTGGGTAAGTTTATATTTGCCAAGCTACATTAACTATCAGTCCACATTTGTCTTGTATTAATTTCTGATTTTGAAACAGTGCTGATGGGTATAGATTTTCATTTCTACCCTCTTCCTAGATCAGTAACAACTGTGTTGTAGTAATTTTGAATGAAGACCATTTGGAAATTTTTGTTTGTTTTGTTTTGTGGTACTGGGGTTTGAACTTAGGGTCCTGCACTTGTTAGGCAGGACCCCTATTTGGAATTACTCTAAAATTTAAACAAAAAAATTGAAAGGGAAGTAAAGTGGCAGAGATGATTTTGGTATTAAGTAAGGAAGTCTTTCTTTGCAGTTCATTTAAGGAAAGAAAATGAAATTCTGAGCCCTAATACTATTTAATGAAGTGACTTAATAAATACCTCTACTCTGTAGTTTAAAAAAATAATACTGACTTTTTTTCTGCCCAGAAGATACAATACTACCTATTGAAATGAAGAAGCAGTTGACTTCAATCTCTGAAGAGGTGATGGATCTGACTAAGCATTTCCCGGAAACTTGTAGAAAATTAGAAAATCCACAGAGGTTAAATATTATGTTTTCTTTTGTTTGTATCCATTCTGTTCTTGTATATGAAGAATTAAGTGTTAATTAAGGCAGACTGATATAAACTTGCTTTAATGCACAGACACAAACTGGTGTATAAATTTGAGAAATATCTTTCCACTTACTAAATTATACATCCAAAGGTTCAAGGCTTTTCTGTCTGCTTTAAAGGATGTTTTATCAAACAGATTTTTTGGGGGCAGAACTGGGGACTGAATTCAGGGTCTTGGCTTACTACTAGAACCTTGTCCTCAGTCCTTTTTCTTTTGGTTTTTCACATAAGGTCTTATGCTTTTGAGGGTGACCTCACACTGCAATCCTCCTTCCTTTGCCTCCAGAGTAGCTGGTTTGCAGACATGTACTACCATGTTTAATTGAAATGATATTTTAAAAATTGTATTTACATTGTAATTTTTGACAAAGCAAAATAAGTGTATATTAAGGAAAATATTTAAAATGCAAAATTGTCCTTTCTGGTTTGGAGTATATTTCATTTAATTATATTCAGAGTTTGGTCACTTGAAATTTGTAAGTAGACTTTTTTACTTAGTAGCTTTATGTTTTGGAGGGTTATCTATTATTACTTAAGAATCTTACCTAGTTAAGTATTAGAACAAAAGGTGCTCAAACTTAAAAGAACTTTAATAGCTAAATCACTTGAGATATTTGGGTCAGATGTTCTATACAAATTAGTAGGCTTTGACTAAAGGTGTGTAGCTAACTATTTTTGGAACCATGATCTTCCTAATCTCAGCCTCCCTCATAGTTTGGGATGATAGGTGTGTACTGCTGTTCCCAGCTCTTGGTTGAGGTTGGGTCTTGCTAAATTTTTGCCCAGGACTGGCTTAGAACCCTGATCCTCCCAATCCCTGCCTCTCAAGTAGCTAGGATTACAGGCATGAGTTACAGGCATCTGGCTTAGTTTGAGATTTTTTGCAGAAGGAAACAACTTAAGCTTTAGTGGACCTTGAAGATATTGATATTTATTTAGCATTGCTTAGTCATGATTTAATTTTAATGTTTATGTGTTGTATTGTCAGGTACATGACAATGTGCTGACTGTTGATGCTGTCTACAGGCAACTGATAAATAAATAATCCCAAGAAAGAAGGAAAAGTACACCGTACACCTGCCTAGCAAGCATGAGGCCCTAGGCCCTAAGTTCAATCTCCAGTACTGCCAAAATTATATAATAAATAAAATGATTTACAAAATTTTGAAATGTTAAAATCAATATGATTTTAGTGTTAGAATTTAATTTTGCTCTTCTTTTTGTGTTAGTGTAGACTTTGCCAACTTAAGCTTGAACCTAACTTTGGAGTATTTATGATGTAGTTTTCAGTGTGGAATTAACTAGCACTTAGTGATAGTTCATTCTCATGAAAGAGCCCATTTTTACTTGAATTATTAATTAAAAATTTTAAAATCCTGTTAGATTTCATAAAGTATAGATTTTAAATATTTAAAAAATTAGAGAAGATATAACCAAAAGCAGTAATTATATAGTAAAACATGTCTTTGCTCATCATAGTCTTTATTTTTTCTAATCTCCCTACTTTTTCTAATTTCTGCTTTTATGAAGTAACTAAAAATTACTTTAATAAGACCTACATCTCATAGACAAGATAGTGGGCCTCATTTTATCCAAGCAATGGTTTTCAGTTTTAATTAATCAGATTCGGTGATCATATAGCCAATTAAAGTCACTCATTAAAATGTTATCCATTAGCAATTGCAGTTGAGTGAAATTTAATTCTTACTCATATACATCTTATCCATGTTTTTTCACTTGTTATATTTACCTACTGGGAAGTTTTCCTTTGTGTTTCAAAGAATGGTTCTGTTAAGACTCTTACATACTACCTTTGAGCTAGTAATTGATCAGTGAGTTGCAAAAGTTAGGTAAAACATGGAATCCCAAATTGTCTTTTAACTTAACATATTAATGTATGATTGTTTCCAGTTGTGTGGTATACTTCAGTAGGCCTGGTGTTTGGAGTGCTGTAGAGTGTTTCTTGTTCAGACTAACCCATAGTGTGTCACCTACAATTTAAATTTCATTTTCTTTAAAATGGAGTAAAAAATTTAAGATATTTGAAGTAATGTGAGTGCAGAGTCCTTGGAATTTTTATGATTTTTCTTCCAAACTTTTAGTTATTTTGACTATAGTTTATTAAACAACTTCTTAAAAATAATTTTGTTAGATCTTCAGGTATTCAACCCAGAACTTACTGAAATAGTCACATATAATTGATTTAATTAAAATTTTATTAAATTAATTACCAATAGAAAAGTATAGCTGTCAAGCAAGTTTGGAACTGAGCATGGTAACTTTTAGTGAGCACGAAAATCAACTGCTGGATGCAGAAGTACTTAACTGTGTAGTGAGGACCTTCCAGTGATAATCACAGATAGACATTAGGGAATGAAGAGTAACCTTAATCCAGTGGTCTTCGAGGGGAGTTCAGTTTAGAAAGCTTTGATTGAGTAAAAAGCTTTAAAACTTGACATAGTTAGTGTAATTGAAGTTGAATAATCTTTCTTTAAAACTTTTTAGGGTTTCTATAATATTGAAGAATATTTCAGAAAGTCTGTGTTCACTGAGGAAAATTATATTTGATTCTACAAAAACTGAGACTGAACTGAGACCCACCAGTAGTTTTAACTTACTGTTGGAGGATTCAGCTGTTGGTAGAGAACAACAGAAACAAATTGGAGAGCACAAAATTTTTACTAAAGTTAAAGAGGAGCCATGGGACAGAACACTTGACAATTTCAATAAACATAATGGAGCTGATGTACCTGTTAATAAAGTGAAACTAGAAAAAGATGGATTCGAAGATGGATTAGAAGACAATAAATTGAAAGAAAATATGGAAAGAACTTGTTTGATGTCATTAGATATTACAGACTATGAACTCCAAGTTTTGGAACAGCAGACAGAGGAAAAAACTCTTAAGGATAATTTTTACCAATCTACTGAGGTACTGAATAAAGCAGAAACTTTTTTATTCATTAGTAGGAGTTAGATAACTTTGTTCTATAATGGGACACATAGGAGCTATTTTAGGCTTTATGTAGCTAACTAGTTCTGCCAAAGCAGCCATAGACAAATGTAAACAGATATGCCTTATGTGTTTCAACTTTTATCTACCAAGACAGTGGGTTGACTTTAGCTGTGAGTCATAGTTCACTGCTTGTAATTTAATATAATAAACATCATTGTTTTGTGGAAAAATTGTTTAGTGTTAATAGGCACTTGCTTTAATTTGCTATTCTATTACTCATGCCTTTTATATAATATCTCTGCTTTTTGTGGATTCTTTACATATCTACTAGTGTTTACTCTTCAGAGCTTGATTTTTGGAGATAGTTTTTATTTCTGTAAAAAGAATTTCTTTCTAGTGTTGGGTTTTTGATGACTATCTGGTGTTTTTGCTCAACAGTAGTCTTTATTGTCATCTGGAGACTTAATAACCTATTTTTTAAAAACTTAATTTCTAATTTCTTTTTCATTAGTTTACAGATTACTTAAGATGCCTGTATTTCCTGGAATTTTATGCATTTTTTGCAATAAGTTTTTAGATTTTGAGGCCAGTGTAGGATTATTTTCCCGATGCAAATGAAAGTCTCGGTATAGAGAAATTTCCTGTATTGTTACCTGATTTAGTAATCCTTTCTATTGAATATGTAAAATATTTGTTTTAAAATCGTTTTCAGAATATTCTCATTCCAATCATTGTGAATAAGGTTTCCCCCATAGGAAAATACCATATTTTGTAGAAAATTCTTACTAGATACACATCTTAAAGTGAGATGTTTTCATACAACATAGAATTGCGATTATGATTTCATGTTGTGGCTGGCATCTTCTATGGCAGTTTTCCCCTTCTTATTGTATAATTATGATTTCCTTTTTTCATTGAAGACACTATTTAAAAGTTGACAGAACTTTTCTAGTAAAAAGCTTATTGTAAAATCTTTTTTTAGCTTAAACTGTGTTTAAGGCTGTATGTCCTTTTCCCACCAAATTTAAATATTGACATTTTTGTGGGGGAGGTCCTTTCTCTATATTTATTTTCTGAGTTTCTCTTGTGTGGAATCCCTTTCTGTGAACACTTGCTTCCTTGGGATTGCTAAATTATTGTAAAGAGTTTTCATGACCAAACTTCAGCAGCAAACTTAGTAAATAACATACCTGACAGCTTTTCAAATTCACATAGATGTTCTTTGTAAAACACTGATTGATTTAAAGATACTGCATGTAATCTTTTTTAAAAACAGTGAATATAAAAGAATGATTGCTGTTCTTGGTTTTGTACAGAACTTTTTTGACATTGTGAAGAGGTTGTTATACTCAAAAATTTTGGAGACAGTTTGACATTGTTTAACCAGAGGTGTACTTTTCACTTTGTAGTCTCATTTAGAGTGGAGAGTTTATTTGAAATTTGTTAATCTAACATGTCTGTCTTTCTAACTATATGTTTTCTTTCTCTTATATTGTTTGCTTTTTTGAGTCGTCTTCCCCTTTTTTACTTTCTACCCATGAGCAAATGAATATACCTCATACATTTATCTACTAGAAAAGAGGAAGGTGTGTGAAGATGTTTAGTGTATAGGAACTTTATTTTGTGATAAAGTGGGTATTTATGGAAATTAATGTTTGAAATACTTTTTTTTAAAGTATTTATCTCCCAATGATAATGAAGAAGATTCATCTTATATAATTGAAAGTGATGAAGATTTAGAAATGGAGATGCTTAAGGTATGTTTAACATCATAGAAAAGTCACTTCAAGTTCTTTCCAAAGGACAATTAGTTTCCAATTCATATTTCTTCATATGGTTTATGAGTAATGTTTTAGAAACTGTATACTGATTTTTAAATACACATTCTTTCTTAAAAATTTTCTTTTGAGGTATGAGGGATTGAACCCAGGGCCTCACACATGCTAGGCAAGCACTCTTATCAAGCACTACTTATAAAAGTAGTCTTATTTCTTTTACCTAGGCTCACCTTGAAGTGGAGATACTCTTTTCTCCTCCTTCTGATATTTGGAGTTATAAACTAGTGCCACTATGTCCAGCCTCTGTGTACTTTTACATCATTTTATTTTAGTCTTTTCCTGTAATTTGGGTAGTGATTAATCTGTCAATTATTGGAATTGGTTTCCTTTTCTTCCTATCCATGTTTGTCCTCTTTTATTTGGATGTTCTGTTTTTAACATTTAGTAATCTGTATTTTCTTTGGTATCACTTACATTTGCTTTTTTTTGTGTGTTGTTTTTTGGTGTGACTGGGGTTTGAACTCATTGCTTTGTGCTTACAAAGTGGGTACTCTACCATTTGACTCACATCTCCAGTCCAGTTTGCTTGGGTTATTTTGGAGATGGGGGTCTCGTTAATAGTTTCTCTGAGTTGGCTTAGAACTGTGATCCTCCTGATCTCAGCATCCCAATGTAGCTAGGATTAGGATACAGGCATGAGCTTCAGTGCCTGGTTTTAATTGTTTTTACATATTGGTTTTATATAATTTTCTAGCAGTTCAATTTTAATCTGTTTTATTGTCAGATTTGATAGTAGTACTTAGTATTTTTGAAACTTTCACTCAGTTTCCAGTTTGTTAACTGTTGGAACCAAAGATGGACAAGAAAAACCAGATAGGGGATATAGTATGTGCTTAGTATGTGCAAGGCTCTGGGTTCACTTTGTAGTATACACATGACGTGTACACACATAAACACACACACACACACACACACACACACACACAGATGTTGATTTAGACAAATTAAGTGAAAAGTGAAGAAAAACCTAAGTGTGCTGTAGGCATATTTTTTACTCCCAAATCGAGATCAATGTGATTTTTTTTTTTAAGCAATGGGAGTGACTTCCTGATTCCTCAGTTTTGAGCTCTAGTAGTGGCAATTACAGTGATAATTAAGAATGTAGATTATGAATTTACATGTATCCCTCCTCCGCTTGTTAGCCAAATTTCTTAGCCTCTCTGAAACTCAGTTAACTGTTACAATTATTATTGAAAGCATTGCTTAGAGCTTAGCACAGAATCTGGCATTCAGTTAAGTGTTTAATAAATATGAACTAAATCATAATTCCTTTATTTATTAACCATTTCTCTGACAAGTACTACTCAAATAGTGCATTAATACAATACTTGTGGACTTCCGCAAACATATATATTGAATCTCTTTGATAGCTGCCTTGATGCCCATATTAGCGAATTGTATTTTTATAGTGTTCTCTGAGTGTTTGTGACCTTTAATAAAAGAATCAGATACAGAATCACATTTTTTCCCCTCTTCTGGGCCTAAAGCAGGTATACTTTTTAAAAACTCTTGAAGTCAAAATATTAAATTGGAGATTTAGTAAAGAAAGAAAATGAGACTGGGTGTGGTTACTCAAGCCTGTAATTCTAGCTACTCAGGAGGTGAAGACCAGGAGGGTTGTGGTTTGAGGCCAGCCCAGGCAAAAAGTTTGTGAAACCCCATCTGCTTGAGCTGATGTGCTGTTGTGGACATAGAGCAATACCATATCTCAAAAATAACCAAAGCAAAAAGGGCTGCTGGCATGTGGCTCAAGTGGTAGAATGCCTGCATAGCACGTACAAGGCCCTGAGTTTAAACCTTAGTATTTTCCCCATCCCCTTGTAAAAAGAGAGAAAATGAGACTGTGGTTTAATGAAGTCTTCTCTGTCACTTAAAATGTTTTATCGATGAAGCAATTTTGGAATATCTTAATATTCTTGAAATAGATAATCTTTTTTAGAGGAGAAAACCAGATATTATAAAGGTGTAATAATTATTTCACATGTGATAATTCCTTCATAAAATTATTTGAATCCTGTCTTTTCTTTTGACACTTCCAAAAATACATTTATTGCTTACTTATAATTTAAGTCTTACTCTTACTCAAGAAGAGTATGACTGACATTGTGATACAGACAGACTCGTTACAAAAATAATACTAGAATTCACATTTACCACTTGGGAACTGAAAGTACAATAACAAAAAATGTTTTATTCAAATTCAAAATTTATGACATTTTTCTCCAGAGCAGTTTACTACCTGATATTAATGCATTTGTTCATGCTGGAAGTGTTCCATCTTTGGCCTTGTGCTTTGGAAACTATTCTTGAGTACATATTTATAAAGGAGCACACATGTTCTTTTGTGGTATTGCTTGCACATCTGCCAGCTTTGAACAAAATTAACTGTTAATAATATACTCCTTTGGTGTTTAGTGAAAAGGATACCATATAGTTAGTGGTTTTGCTTAAACATTTCTTTTAAACTTTCAGTCTTTAGAAAATCTGAATAGTGGCACGGTAGAATCAATTCATTCTGAATGCTTAAAAATGGAAACAAATCTGAGTTTTCCTACTGAAGATGATGAAGATAAAAATGAAGCTAATGAAGAAGAAGATGATGAGGAAGGTAAGCACTGAAATATGTTTGAAATGACTCACCTTCATTACTTACCATTGATTCTAGGGTCCAGGTTTTAAATGTTTTGTAAGTTATGGACTTGGTGACATATAGTTAATCATTAGAGCCATAAGCTTGTTAAATTCCTTAGCACTCTTGTTTCAGTAAAGCACAATCTTACTACTTATAAAATAAATAATAAAGTGTTATGTTGTTCAGTGAGTGTGGTAGTGTGAAACTTTACCCTGAGTTGTATGTTTTGTTTGTGTCTAATGAAATTCATAAAGTAACTTGCTAATTACTTATCTTGAAGATCATTATAAACAACACAAATATGTAGTATATGCTTATTAGTTAAGTAGGAGCTTATTATTCAAACAATCACAGTGTTGAAGACCTTTACTACAGTAAAGCATGTATTAAAGTGACTTTCCCTTTAGTTGTAATCAATCATGGTAGTTGTGGGGTCGTCTTGTAAGACAGACTTCATCATTGACATCGTGTGGAAAAGTTTTAACACTTCACAAGTAGAAAGTATATATGAATATGTTGATAAAATGTTTTCCTGTATTATATACAGGCATGATTTATCTAAATCTATTTGGTTTTCTATTTAGAATTGTTAAAGTTGAGAACATACATGCCCATTTTATTTTTATTATAATATTAACTTTTATTTGTGTAGTGATAAATTATCTTGATTCTTTGTTTTTCTCTTTCTTAGCTACTTGTGAATCTTTCAACCTAAGACTGGATAATGACAGTTACTTGAGTATAGCTAACACAATTCACTTGTGCTGTGCAGTTAGAATTATGGTCAGAGATTTAGGTAGCTATGTTTATGTAACTAAATTGGATTTAGGTAACTAAAATTATTTTTAAACAACCAAAGTAATGATTTTATCTATAAGACTTTATAATACTAATATAATTTGTGATTACCACTAATTGCAAAATGGTTATATTATAAAATTTGGATTGGTATGTTGCTTGCTGTGAGCCATTCTCAATGTTAGATCTTAGAAGTATTGCTGGTTCCACAAGAAAATTGCAATACTTCAGTAGTAGTCAAGGTGTTTAGGTGCAGTCATAACTGATACCCACAGGACCAAATTTGATTGAAACTAAAAGAATGCAGTAGTTTCTGGTACCTCTCTCTATGTTCTTTAAAAGAAGTTAGTAAACCTTTTCGTCCTCGTATCTAGTATCTTGCTATTTGAACATAAATGCCTGTTGTACTTTATTTTAAGACATTTGTTGCCAGAACCCAACACAAAGCAAGTTATTTGCCTCAAGACCTACTTTGGCCATTGCAGTTTTAAACCGTGAGTATAATGCCAGTCAATTAATTACATATTTAGTATTTTCTTCACAAAGAAGAAAAAGCTAGTAATCCATTTTTTTAACAGTAGCGGCAGAATCTTACTACAATGATACATGTCATACTGTGTTTCCTAAAAAAAAAAAGTGATTATGAAATTATTTCTAAGTAATAATTATATAAAATTTATTTCTGCAAATTGTTTTTATAAACAAGAAAAAAATGATTTTCCTTTATCTGAGTGGTTCTGTTTAAAGACATTAATAAATGAGTTTTTATTTAATGCTGATTTATTTTTTAAAGTACCTACTTTAAGCAGTATACTTCTCAAACTTGCTAATGTAATAGAAGTTTTTAAGACAGCACTTTAACAGTGATAATTTTATTCATTTTAACATACTCAAAATGTATATATAATGGGTACATTTATGAGGGTAAGAATGAGATGAACAAGTAAATTTGAATGAAATTAGTAAGGTAAAAATATAGATCAGGTTTTGTAGTTTTGAAAATTTAGAAGTATTGAAGAAATTATTTATTCTTTCTATCTAAACATTTTTTGTATTTAAATATATCCTACATACAGAAGTGCATGTAGTTATATGTCAATGAAATTTGATAACTCTTACCAATATCTGCATAGCAGAAGACCAGCTCTCCAACCTCTCCAATTGATTTTTATCTGACATTTTATTAAGAAAAATTTCTAAGATAAAGTTGAAAGATTTTTGACCCCCTGTGGATGTCTGTATACCTACCACTTAGATTCTGTAAATAAGATTTTACCACATATCCTTCTATCCATCCATTGTTCCACCAAAGTTTCATTTTTATTATTGTTATTTTTCATGGTGCTGGAGATTGAACCCAGGACCTGGTGCAGGCTAAGCAAATACTCTTATCATTGAGATATACTCTCAGACCCCTTCATCACTGTTTTAAGATACACCTCAGGGTCAACTGTAGATATCATTACACTTCACCCTAAGCACTTGAGCGCATAAATCATTAACTACAGTTAAATATTTATTTACACTCATTTCTTTTGATGTCAGGTTTGTATACAAGTAAATGTACAAACTTTAAATGTATGTGTGCAAGTCTTAAGTGTATATGTACACAGTCATGTAACTTAAATTTTTACCAAGGTACAGAATATTACCTTCACCTCATAAGGTTCCCTCTCTTCAAACCTGGACCCTTTCTTTGCTTTCTTTTCTTTTTTTTAAGAGGTGTTTAGTAATATCTTTTTATTGTTACTATTAAATTAAGACAAAATTAAACTAGGTTTTCTCTTCCCAGTCCATTTTTTCTCCTCTGTCCCTTCTCTCTACACTTAAGTTCCTTCATTATACTCTTTGACACAAACATAAATCTATTAAAAAGAAATAATACTTTTATCTTTTAAGGAGGTTAAATAAAATTATGTGCTATGTATTACTTTGCAACTTGTATATTCCATGCTCATGCTGTTTTTTTAGATCATCCTTTATTTCTTTTAAGACATTGATTTTTGGGGGTGACTAGTCTGAAGCTTGGAATTTATTTCATACTTGAAATATTTGTAATAAAATTAAATACATATACCAGATGGAAACTTATAGTTCTTCATCAGCCTGAATGGGAGGTTCTTTGTTTTAAAGTCCAAGGGTTTGCCATATTTATATAGGAAGCTCAGTCTAATAAAATAAATTTTATTAGAGAAAGGGAAATTGAATGGGTTTTTAACTTGTACATCGATTGTGCTTCTTATGAATAAAACAATATAGTTCTTTCTTTTTTACCTCCAAGGCTCCAGTGGAAAGTTATTCATTCTGTATTGGAAGAAAGAAGAGATAATGTTGTTGTCATGGCTACTGGTAAGCTATAGTTAAATAAATAAACTTAATCCTTTAAAAATAAAACTTGAATGGTCTTATTTTTATTTATTTTTTGGCAGTACTGGAATTTGAAATCAGGTCCTTGTGCTTGAGCCAGGGTGGGGTTTTTTTGGTTTTTGTTTTTTTTTTTTTTTTTTTTTTTGGTGGCACTGGGCTTTAGTTAATTTTTGACTAGGTCTTGTGTTTGTGGCCCGGTAGGCCTGGATCACAATTCTCTTATTTCTGTTTACTGAGTAGCTGGGATGACAGGCATGTGCCACCATGCCCAGCTTTTCATTGATTGGGAAGGGAGTCTAAGGAACTTTTTCCCCAGGTTGATGTCAAAGTGTGATCCTTCTGATCTCTCCTTTGCTGGGATTGTAGGCACGAGCCACAGTGTCCAGCTTAAAAGGTTTTAAATGCTTAATCTTTCATTAAAATGCTCAAAATTCAAATACAGGGCTGTAGCAGTGGCTCAAATGAGAGAGTACCTGCCTAGCAAGCTCAAGGCTTGAGTTCAAACCTCAGTGCTGCATTTAAGAAAAAAAAAAAGAAGAAGAAAGAAAAACAAAAACAAATGGTGTAAAATATAGAAGAAAGTCAAAAAGGGTAGATGCTCAAATTCATGCACAAATTTCCTTTTGGAAGATGGTATATTAGTACTATCATGCTACACAAGTATACTGTAAGAAGAAATTAAAGTATCAGGGTTTATTTTTATTTCAAAGAATTTGTTATTTTATTTCAAGGGTATGGAAAGAGTTTGTGCTTCCAGTATCCACCTGTTTATGAAGGCAAGATTGGTATTGTCATATCGCCTCTTATTTCTTTGATGGAAGACCAAGTACTCCAGCTTGAGTAAGTAATGTTTTCATTCCCACATCTTGGGCCTCCCGCCCCCAACTTTTTTTTTTTTTTAATTTTTGTTTTATTCATATGTGCATACAATGTTTGGGTCATTTTCCCCCCCTGCCCCCACGCCCTCCCTTACCATCCACCCTGCCCCTCCCTTCCCCCCACCCTCAATACCCAGCAGAAACTATTTTGCCCTTATCTCTAATTTTGTTGAAGAGAGAGTATAAGCCATAATAGGAAGGACCAAGGGTTTTTGCTAGTTGAGATAAGCATAGCTATACAGGGAGTTGACTCACATTAATTTCTTGTGCGTGTATGTTACCTTCTAGGTTAATTCTTTTTGATCTAACCTTTTCTCTAGTTCCTGGTCCCCTTCTCCTGTTGGCCTCAGTTGCTTTTAAAGTATCTGCTTTAGTTTCTCTGCATTAAGGGCGACAAATGCTAGCTAATTTTTTAGGTGTCTTACCTATCCTCACCCCTCCCTTGTGTGCTCTCGCTTTTATCATGTGCTCAAAGTCCAATCCCTTGTTGTGTTTGCCTTGATCTAATGTCCACATATGAGGGAGAACATACGATTTTTGGTCTTTTGGGCCAGGCTAACCTCACTCAGAATGATGTTCTCCAATTCCATCCATTTACCAGCGAATGATAACATTTCATTTATCTTCATGGCTGCATAAAATTCCATTGTGTATAGATAAACACATTTTCTTAATCCATTCGTCAGTGGTGGGGCATCTTGGTGTTTCCATAACTTGGCTATTGTGAATAGTGCGCAATAAACATGGGTGTGCAGGTGCCTCTGGAGTAACCTGTGTCACAGTCTTTTGGGTATATCCCCAAGAGTGGTATTGCTGGATCAAATGGTAGATCCATGTCTAGCTTTTTAAGTAGCCTCCAAATTTTTTTCCAGAGTGGTTGTACTAGTCTACATTCCCACCAACAGTGTAAGAGGGTTCCTTTTTCCCTGCATCCTCGCCAACACCTGTTGTTCGTGGTGTTGCTGATGATGGCTATTCTAACAGGGTGAGGTGGAATCTTAGTGTGGTTTAATTTGCATTTCCTTAATTGCTAGAGATGGTGAGCATTTTTTCATGTGTGTTTTGGCCATTTGAATTTCTTCTATTGAGAAAGTTCTGTTTAGTTCACTTGCCCATTTCTTTATTGGTTCATGAGTTTTGGGAGAATATAGTTTTTTAAGTTCTTTATATATTCTGATTATCAGTCCTTTGTCTGATGTATAGCTGGCAAATATTTTCTCCAACTCTGTGGGTGTTCTCTTCAGCTTAGAGACCATTTCTTTTGATGAACAGAGCTTTTTAGTTTATGAGGTCCATTTATCTATGCTATCTCTTAGTTGCTGTGCTGCTGGGGTTTCGTTGAGAAAGTTCTTACCTATACCTACTAACTCCAGAGTATTTCCTACTCTTTCCTGTATCAACTTTAGAGTTTGTGGTCTGATATTAAGATCCTTGATCCATTTTGAGTTAATCTTGGTATAGGGTGATATACATGGATCTAGTTTCAGTTTTTTGCAGACTGCTAACCAGTTTTCCCAGCAGTTTTTGTTGAAAAGGCTGCTATTTCTCCATCGTATATTTTTAGCTCCTTTGTCAAAGACAAGTTGGTTATAGTTGTGTGGCTTCATATCTGGGTCCTCTATTCTGTTCCACTGGTCTTCATGTCTGTTTTTTGCCAGTACCATGCTGTTTTTATTGTTATGCTTTGTAATATAGTTTGAAGTCAGGTATTGTGATACCTCCTGCATTGTTCTTTTGACTGAGTATTGCCTTGGCTATTCGTGGCCTCTTGTGTTTCCATATAAATTTCACGTAGATTTTTCAATCTCTCTTAATGAATGTCATTGGAATTTTGATGGGAATTGCATTAAACATGTAGATTACTTTTGGGAGTATCGACATTTTTACTATGTTGATTCTACCAATCCATGAGCATGGGAGATCTCTCCACTTTCTATAGTCTTCCTCAATCTCTTTCTTCAGAAGTTTATAGTTTTCCTTGTAGAGGTCTTTCACATCTTTTGTTAGGTTTACACCTAGGTATTTGATTTTTTTTGAGGCTATTGTAAATGGAATTGTTTTCATACATTCTTTTTCAGTTTGCTCATTATTAGTGTGTAGAAATGCTAATGATTTTTCTATGTTGATTTTATATCCTGCTACCTTGCTATAGCTATTGATGATGTCTAGAAGCTTCTGAGTAGAGTTTTTTGGGTCTTTAAGGTATAGGATCATGTCGTCTGCAAATAGGGATATTTTGACAGTTTCTTTACCTATTTGTATTCCTTTTATTCCTTCTTCTTGCCTAATTGCTCTGGCTAGGAATTCCAGTACTATGTTGAATAGGAGTGGAGATAGTGGGCATCCTTGTCTGGTTCCTGATTTTAGAGGGAATGGTTTCAGTTTTTCTCGGTTAAGTATAATGCTGGCTGTAGGTTTGTCATATATAGCTTTTATAATGTTGAGGTACTTTCCTTCTATTCCTAGTTTTCTTAGAGCTTTTATCATGAAATGATGTTGGATCTTATCAAAGGCTTTTTCTGCATCTATTGAGATGATCAAGTGGTTTTTGTCTTTGCTTCTGTTAATGTGGTTTATTACGTTTATTGATTTTCGTATGTTGAACCACCACTGCATCCTGGGATGAAGCCTACTTGGTCGTGGTGAATAATCTTTTTGATGTGTTGTTGAATTCAGTTTGCCATTATTTTGTTGAGGATTTTTGCATCAATGTTCATTAAGGAGATTGGCCTATAGTTCTCCTTTTTGGAGGTGTCTTTGCCTGGTTTTGGGATAAGTGTAATACTGGCTTCATAAAATGTGTTGGCAGTTTTCCTTCCCTTTCTATTTCGTGGAACAGTTTAAGGAGGGTTGGTATCAGTTCTTCTTTAAAGGTCTGATAGAATTCAGCAGAGAATCCATCAGGTCCTGGACTTTTCTTTTTGGGAGACTTGATTGCTGCTTCAATTTCATTTTGTGTTATAGGTCTATTCAGGTGATTAATTTCCTCTTGGTTCAGTTTTGGATGATCATATGTATCTAGAAATCTGTCATTTTTTAAGATTTTCAAATTTATTTGAATATAGGTTCTCAAAGTAGTCTGATGATTTCCTGGACTTCCATGGTGTTTGTTGTTATCTCCCTTTTGCATTCCTGATTCTACTAATTTGGTTTTTTCTCTCCTCATTTTAGTCAGGTTTGCCAGGGGTCTATCATCTTGTTTATTTTTTTCAAAGAACCAACTTTTTGTTTCATTAATTCTTTGTATGGTTTTTTTTTGGTTTCTATTTCGTTGATTTCAGCTCTTATTTTTATTATTTCTCCCTTCTATTTTTTTGGGATTTGCTTGTTCTTGTTTTTCTAGGAGTTTGAGATGTATCATTAGGTCATTGATTTGGGATCTTTCAGTCTTTTTAATATATGCACTCATGGCTATAAACTTTCCTCTCAGGACTGCCTTAGCTGTGTCCCATAGGTTCGGTAGGTTGTGTTTTCATTTTCATTGACTTCCAGGAACTTTTTAATTTCCTCTTTTATTTCATCAATGATCCATTCTTCATTAAGTAATGAGTTATTTAGTTTTCCAGCTTTTGCATGCTTTTTGTCTTTACTTTTGTAGTTGAGTTCTTTTACTGCCTTGTGATCAGATAGTCACATGGTATAATTTCTTTTTCTATATTTGCTGAGCTTGCTTTGTGCCCTAGGATATGATCTTTTGGAGAAGGTTCCATGGGCTGCTGAGAAAATGTATATTGTGTAGAGGTTGGATGAAATGTTCTGTAGACATCAACTAGGTATTTGATCTATTGCATATTTAGATCTTGGATTTCTTTATTGATTTTTGTTTGGATGACCTATCTATTGATGATAAGGGGGTTAAAGTCTCCACAACCACTGTGTTGGCGTTATATATGCTTTTAGGTCTTTCAGGGTATGTTTGATGAAATTGGGTGCGTTGACATTGGGTGCATACAGATTGATGATTTATTATTTCCTTTTGGTCTATTTCCCCTTTTATTAGTATGGAATGTCCTTCTTTATCTCTTTGATCAATGTAGGTTTGAAGTCTACTTTGAGATAAGTATTGCTACTCCTGCCTGTTTTCGGGGCCATGGCTTGGTAAATCTTCTTCCAGCCTTTCATCCTAAGCCTATGCTTATTTCTGTCTGAGATGGGTCTCCTGTAAGCAACAAATTGTTGGATCTTCCTTTTTAATCCATTTCGTCAACGGTGCCTTTTGATGGGTGAATTAAGTCCTTAAACATTAAGTTAGTACTGATAGGTATGTGGTGATTCCTGTCATTTAGTTGTCTTAGTTGTTTGAAGGTTTGATTGTGTGTACCTAAGTTGAGGTTACTCTCTACTGTCTTGCTTTTTCTTTTCCTGTGGTTTGGTGCTGCCTGTCTTTTCATGGTTAAGTTGGGTTTCACTTTCTGTGTGCAGAATCCCTTGCAGAATCTTTTGTAGTGGTGGCTTTGTGGTCACATATGTTTTAGTTTCTGCTTTCATGGAAGACTTTTATTGCTCCATCTATTTTGAATGATAGTTTTGCTGGGTAGAGTATCCTGGGGTTGAAGTTATTTTCATTCAGTGCCCGAAGATCTCACCCCCTCTTCTTGCTTTTAATGTTTCTGTTGAGAAGTCTGCTGTGATTTTGATGGGTTTACCTTTGTATGTTACTTGTTTTTTCTCTCTTACAGCCTTCAATATTCTTTCCTTAGTTTCTGAACTTGTTGTTTTAATGATGATATGTCGTGGGGTAGTTCTATTTTGATCTGGTCTGTTTGGTGTCCTGGAGGCCTCTTGCATCTGTATGAAAATATCTTTCTCTAGATTTGGGAAATTTTCCATTATTATTTTGTTGAATAGATTACGCATTCCCTTCGCTTGCACCTCTTCTCCTTCTTCGATGCCCATGATTCTGAAGTTTGGTCTTTTGATGGAGTCGGTGAGTTCTTGCATTTTCTTTTCACACGTCTTTAGTTGTTTAATTAATAGTTGTTCAGTTTTTCCTTTAATTACCATTTCATCTTCAAGTTCTGAGATTCTGTCTTCTGTTTTTGCTATTCTGCTGGATTGGCCTTCCGTTTTGTTTTGTAGTTCTGTTTCGTTCTTTTTTCTGAGGTTTTCCATATCCTGAGTGGTTTTCTCTTTAATGTTGTCTATTTTTGTCCTGAGTTCATTTATCTGTTTATTCATCATGTTCTCTCTTTCACTTTGGTGTTTATACAGTGCTTCTATGGTTTCCTTTATTTCTTCTTTTGCTTTTTCAAATTTTCTATTTTTGTTGTCTTGGAATTTCTTGAGTGTCTCCTGTACATTTTGATTGACCCTATCCAGTATCATCTCTATAAAATTCTCATTGTGTACCTGTAGTATGTCTTCTTTTAAATTATTCTTGTGGGCTTCATTGGGTCCTTTGGCATAGTTTATCTTCATTTTGGTGGAGTCTGGATCTGAGTTTCTGTTTTCTTCATTCCCCTCTGGTTCCTGTACTAATTTTTTGCTGTGGGGAAACTGGTTTCCCTGTTTTTTCTGTCTTCCCGTCATTGTCTTTGGTGTTGTTACTGTCCCTGTACTGTGTGCAATTAAGTATTTTCTAGCTTGTAATAATAACAATGGTAATATTTAGAATGGAAGGGTCAGCTGAGATGGAAAGCAAGAAGGTAAAGAAAGGGGGAAAACAAATACATAGATAAGAGGAGAAAGCAGAACAAGGTTTCAGACAAGAAAGTTTCAAAGGTATAAACAGGGACTGTTAGTGTACTAATTGACAGTAAGCTGAACAGACATTAGAGAGAGGATTGAAAATCAAAAATAAAAAAAATAAAGATAAGAATAAAAATAAAAAATAAGTAAATGAAAGAAATATCTATATATAAAAATGAAGTAAAATAAAATGGAAAGTAGAAAATTAAAAAAAAAAATACCAAAAAACCAAAAAACCTCCAAGTCAAATGCAGTGAAGTTTCAGTCTTAATAATTTTGGTGTCTGTCTCATTCTCCAATCCTGGAGATGGTGCCTCAGATGTTGTTCTGTAGTTGTCTCATCAAAGGGGACGCATAAAGTAGAACAAAACTACACACACACACGAAAAACCCCCACCAACCTCCAAGTTCAAATGTAGTACAGTTTCCGTAAGTTTTTAGCATGCAGGTGTAATTCATTAAAGGTAGGGAGACAAAGAAAAAATAAAAGCATCTGGAGACAGTTCTGAGAATGCTATCTGCAGCTGTGGCTTGCCTGCCTGCTGCTGTCAGCCTGCTGTTGCTGGTGGCGTTATTTATGCAGATTCTGGGGTGAGCTAGCACTCAGCTTGTCCTACAGGCTTTGTTTGCTCAGATTTCTCCTGTGCAGGAGCCTCTGCTACAGGCTTTCCCCTTTCCAAGCACTGGGAAAGGTGACACTGCACCGGCGTTGTCAGGCCTGCGTGTTTATTTACAGTTCATGTGGGAGGTGGGTCTTCCCCCCTCTCCTGTGCAGTTTTCCTACCACTGCCACTTTCACAAGCTTTCCTGCTCCTGATTACTGGGCGGTGCTGCTGCTCCTGCCAGCCGCCATGTTTGTTTACAGCTCATGTGGGAAGTGGGTTTTCCCTCCTGTCCTGTGCAATTTTCCTCCCTCTGCCAGTCTCACAAGCTTCCCCGCTCCTGGTTGCTGGGTGCGTGCCCCTCTCCCGCCAGAGGCTCTCCAGCCCGCCCGGCTTGTTTATTTACAGTCCCGGGAAGGATTCCGTTCCCCCAATCTTCAGCGCTCAGGGCACCCCACCCTCTTTCCTGTGTGTCTTTATTCTTATTGCTTATTACTCAGTTTCTGTTTTTTCCCGGGGTGGGGGTCGGTCTGTCCAGGGGGCTATGCTGCTGTGGCCTAGGCTTGTCTGTGGGAGTATCATGGTGTATCGCGAAGCTCACCTGGTCTGCGTCTTCCCAAGCCGACTGGATGCAGGCGACTGGTGGGCCGGGCCCCTCCTGGTTTCTCTGTTTAACATGAAGTGGAGATTCTCTGTGCCGGCTGGAGGTGTGGAAGAATCAAAGTTATGCCTCAGTGATTATGCCTGCAAAGTGTGTCTCCAGCGTCTCTCCAAGATTTCACTATAGGAGGCTCGCTTTCTGCTTCCTCCCTCTAGCCGCCATCTTGGAATCCTCCCCTTTTTTTTTTTTTTTCGAGTTAGGTTTTTGCTGTGTAGTCCATGCTGGCCTCCAGTTTGTACCTTCCTGCCTCAGCTTGCAGAGTTCTGGGATTACAGCTATGTGCCACAATGCCTGGCTGTGCTTTTTTTTTTTTTTTTACCTGTAAATAAAACATCTGATATAAAACATAGTTCGTAACTTATTTCTGGAAGTGGTACTTTATCTTCATTGGTAATAAGTGATTTTTGGAAGAAATTTCTTGAGTTCTCTGTAGTTCAAGTCTACCAAGTAGCCCTGATAACATTTTCTTAAAAAGTATCGTTACTTTATGCTGTTTTATATTGGCTGTCTCAAAATTCTTGTTACCATGTTCTTTAACTTGCTATGAAGTGTATATATTGCAATGTGTTTTTTAAGTATGAAAAAGTTTTCAACATCTCATCCTGAGCTTTCTCTTTTTTTTTTACCTTTTTAAAAAAAGTTTTTAGTTTGAAATAATTATAGATTCATACAAAGTTGCAAAAACAATAGAGAGAGACCCAAGTACTCTTCACTCAGTTACCCCCAGTGAGGACAACTTACATAGCTCTAGTACCAGGATATTGGCATTGGTACAACCCACCAGTCTCATTCAGATCCTGAGTTTTCAATCTTATTAAAAGACTGACCTTAAAACCTGCCTTAAAGACATCCATCAATTTATGAGATATAAAAAGACTGCAAAAAAGAGGAATAAACATTATTATATCTCTTTATTTCTTTTTACTTCAGAATGAAGTTGATATTTCTTTAGTGTACATTTTTCTAGAATATTTGTTTTTCTTACAGAATGTCCAATGTTCCAGCCTGTTTCCTTGGATCAGCCCAATCAAAAAATGTTGTAGAAGATATTAAATTGTGAGTAACTTATATGATTTTTAATCATGTGATCAAATGTCTAATTTGAGGGCAAAATTTTGTGTGCAAAAATTTTTTATTGTGCTGGGTGAGGGTACATTGTGGAATTGACAAAAGTCCTTGCTGTTTGTTAAATATATCATCCTTGAATTTACCCCCTCATCATTCTCCCCTTCTCCTATTCCTGGAGTAGTTTGAACAGGTCTCAGTTTTCCATTTACATGTTATCAGCACCCTCAGGCAGAACCTGTTCTGCTCTGCTATTCTGTGATTTTGTAAAAGCAAAATAAAATAACATTTTTGTTTGTTTAAGATAGCTATACAGGGAGTTTCCTTGTTATTTCTTTGTATACATGTATTATAACCTGAATTGATTTGTCTTCTCTATTTTTCTTTTTTTTTCTGTATTAGTCCCCTTCTTATGGTGGCTTCAACAGGCTTAAAAATTCTATATTCATTCTTGTATAGCCTTCTTAACTTGACTTTCTTAATTTCTTCTTTTATCCACCCTCTCGTAGCTGATCTCCCATTAGTGTGACCTGTTTCATAATATTGCTGTATTTGTATTAGGTCTATCTTCCACATATGAGAAAGAGCTTGTCCTTCTGAACCTGGCTAACTTCACTTAAGATGATGTTCTCCAGTTCTATCCATTTACTTGTAAATGATAAAATTTCATTCTTCTTCATGGATGAGTAAGATTCCATTGTGTATAAATACCACATTTTCTTAATCCATTTGTCAATAGTGGAGCATCTTAGGTGTTTCCATAGCTTAGGTATTGTGAATAGTGCTGCAGTAGTTTTTTGAGCTCACTGTATATTCTGGTTATTAATCTCTTGTCAGATGTATAGCTGGCAGAAATTTTCTCCACTCTTTGGAGTCTCTTCAATTTAGTAACCATTTCTTTTCTTGTACAGAGGCTTTTTAATTTCATGTAGTCCTATTTGTCAATCCTTTCTCTTAGTTGCTGAGCCATTTGAGTTCTATTTAGGAGGTCACTGCCTATGCCTGTTAATTGCAGTGTATTCCCTGCTCTTTCTTGAACTAGCTTTCAAAGTTTCATGTCTTTTATTAAGGTCCATAATCCACTTTGAGTTGATACTTGTACAGGGTAACAAACATGGATCTAGTTTCAGTTTTCTGCAGGCTCTTACCCAATTTTCCCAGCAACATTGTTGAAGAGGCTATCTTTTCTCCATTGTATGTTTTGGCACCTTTGTCAAAAATCAGGTGAGTGTAGCTGCATGGATTCATATCTGGGCACTCTATTCTGTTTCACTGGTGTTCATATCTGTTTTTGTGCCAGTACCATGCTGTTTTTATTGCTTTGTCTCTGTAATATAGTTTGAAGTCAGATATTGTGATACCTCTAGCATTGCTCTTTTTGCTCAGAAAAGTATTGTCTTGGCTACTTGTGGCCTTTTGTGCTTCTAAATGATTAGGGTTGATTTTTTAATTTCTATGATGAATGTCATTGGAATTTTTATGGAAATTTCATTGAACATGCAGATTGGTTTTGGTAGTATAGCCATTTTCACAATATTGATTCTACCAACTCAGGAGCATGGGAGATGTTTCCATCTTCTGTAGTCTTCTTTAGTGGTTTATAGTTTTCCTTGTAGAAGGCTTTCACATGTTTATTGAGTTTATACCTAAATATTTTATTTTTTTGAGGCTATTATAAATGGAATTATTTTTCCATATTCCTTTTCATTCTGCTCATTGTTGGTGTATAGAAAGGGTACTGGTTTATAAATTGATTTTGTATCCTGCTGCTGTGCTGAAGCTGTTTATGATGTCTAGGAGTTTTTTGATGGAGTTTTTGGGTCTTTTAGGTGCAAAATCATGTTATCTGCAAATAGCAATACTTTGTCTTCTTCCTTTACAATTGTGTTCCCTTTATCTCTTCCTGTCTTACTGCTTTCACCAAGAATTCCAAAACTATGTTGAGTAACAGTGGACACACTTGTCTAGTTCCTGACTTTAGAGGAAATGGTTTCAGTTGTTCCCCATGTATGATGGGGAACAAGAATGTATGATGTTGGCTATAGGCTCGTTATATATAGCTGTTATTATATTGACGTACAGTCCTTTTATTTTAGTTTCATTAGAACTTTTACCATGAAGTGTTGTTGAATTTTCTTGAAGGCTTTTTCTGCATCTATTGAGATGATGTGTTTTTTGTCTTTGCTTCTGTTAATACGCTGTGTTACATTTAATGATTTGCATATGTTGAACCATCCCTGCATCCCCAGGATGAAACCAACTTGATCATTGTATATGATCTCTTTGATATGCTTTTGGATTATGTTGGTAAATATTTTTTGAGGATTTTTGCATCTGTGTTCATATAGAGATTGGCCTGTAATTCTCTTTTTTTGTTGTGTCCTTGTCCGGTTTTGGGATGAGTGTAGTACTTGCTTCATAGAATGAGTTAGGCAGTGTTCCTTCTCTTTCTGTTTCCTGGAAAAGTTTGAGGAGTGTTGGTATTAGTTCTTCTTTAAAGGTTTGATAGAATTCAGCTGAGAATCCATAAGGTCCAGGACTTTTCTTTTTTGAGAGACTCTTTATTGCTGCTTCAATTTCATTATGTGTTGTAGATCTATTTAGGTTTATCCATTTTTTTCTAGATTTTCAATTTATTTGAATATAGGTTTTCAAAGTAGTCCCTGATGATTCCCTGGATTTCCTTGGTGTTTGTTCTTATCTCCTCCTTTTTCATTTTTAATATGACTTTTAATCATGTGTTCAGAGGCCTGTGTTATATAAGGGCATTTTATATACCAAAATTTTCATTTAAATTTAGTATATGAGTACAATGTCCATATTTGAAAATGTAAACTTTTTTGGGAGGTGGTACTGGGGTTTGAACTCAGAGCTACATGCTTGCACTCTGCCATTTGAGCCACATCCCCCAGCCCTTTTTGGGTGTAGTTTTTTTTTTTTTTCAGGTGGGGTCTTATAGCTTTGCCCAGAGCCAGTGTCAGACTGTGATTGCCCTGCTTATAGCCTACCTCATAGTTGGGATTGTAGGCTTGTACCACCATGCCTGACTTATTGTTCGAGATGGGGTCTTGCTAATTGTCTACCTTGGGTGGCTTCAACCTCTGCCCTCCTGATCTCTACCTCCTGAGTACATGGAATTATAGGTGTATGTCACAGTGCTCCCTCTCCCAAAATGTCCTTTCTTTTGTAATACTTTTCATAATACAGAAGAACTATTAAATCTTTTAAACTTGAAGAAATCTTTTATTCTTAGTTTTTATGCCAGAAGACTAGCATTGTAGTCATGAAATTATAAAATTTTGCTTGGAAGAGAACTTGAAGAGTCTCTATATATTATTTTACAGATGAGAAAACTGAGGCCCAGAGGCAAATAATTTGCCCAGAGTCACTCAGTGAATTTGTGACTGAATTCTAGGTCTCTTATCTCATGAATTCTGTGTCATCTCAGATATTCACAAAAATATATGAATGAATAATAAATGCATGCATGACATCTGAGTTTTGAGAAATGCATGCAAATATGTGAACCAAACCCCATTAGGATTATATGACTGTCACTAGAACGGTCCTTCATGTTTCTTCCCAGTCTAGTTTTCCCATCCTCCATTCTGAGATAAACCATTGCTCTCATTTTTTTCTACCACAGTTTAGTTTTATGTGTTCTAGAATTGCATGAAGAACTCTTCTGTGTAAGACTTCTTCATTTAGCATAACGTTCTCATGATGTCTACATGTTGTTGCATGCCTCAATATGGTTTTTAAAAAAATTTTGAGTAATATTTCATTGAAGACTGTACTGTAGTTTGTTTTAATTATATTTTCTCATTGATAGAGGCTAGAATGTTTCTAGCTTTGTGCTATTACTGCTAAAGCTAATGTAGACATTCAATGTAGACATTCTCTTAGAATGTCTAATAGTCTTTTTTGAACATCTGTTTTGGTTTTTCAAACATTTTTGTCACCTTTATTGACAAAGAATACATTTTATACATCGAAAATACCTCGTTTGATAAGTGTTGATGTGTGTGCATTTACAAAACTCACATTACAATCAGGATGCAAACATGTATATCCCTTGCAACTCAGAACTTTCTTTTTTGGGGACAGTACTGGGGTTTGAACTCAAGTCCTCATACCTGCATTCTACCACTTGAGCCACTCCTCTATTTCTTTTTTGCTTTTTAGTTATTTTTCAGAATGAGGTCTTAACCTTTTTGCCCAGGCCGGTCTCAGACCTCAGTCCTCCTCCATAGTGTCTCCTGCACAGCTAGTACTACTCATTTATGTGCCACCTTGCGTGGCTTATTTATTAGGATGGGGTCTTGCTAATTTTTTTTTGCTGGGGCTGTCCTTGAATTGTGATCCTCCCAGTTTTTGTCTCCCAAGTAGGTGGGATTACAGATGTGAGCCACCAGGCCTTTCTGAATCCATTCCTTCTTGTTTCCCTGCCTTTCCTGCTGATAACTGTTGATCTTCTTTCTGCCAGTATAAATCAGTTTGCGTTTTCTAAAATGTTGTGTAAATGGAATCAGTCATGCACTAAGTGTTCCTCTTTGGTCTGGTTTAAATGAGGCAGCATAATTATTTTGAGGTTTATTAATAGCCATTCCTTTTATTAGTAGATTGCAATCTGTCCATTTACTTCTTGGTACTTGTTTTCATTTGGGGCTGTTAAAAATAAAGCTACGATGAATATTTGTACGTGAATTATTCTATGGACATACTTTTTAATTTCATTGTTGTATACTTAGGAGTGATCAGGCTGTGTGTTTAATTTTTTTTCCAATTGAGGTCAATTCATATGTATTTACATAGCCATTATCATTATCTAATCTCAGAATTTCATCACCCCCCCCAAAGTATTGCCATATACATTCAGTAGTTATATTTTTTGTTTTTCCTCTTTTCTCCTCTTTTCCAACCACTAATCTATTTTGTGTGTCTGTTTAATATGCCTATTTTGAACATTTCGTATAAATGAACTCACACAATATGTGCTGTTTTGTGTCTGACTTCTTTCACTCGTTATAATGTCATCAGTACTTCATTCTTTTTATAATTGAATAATATGACGGTGTATAGACATTCCACATTTTGTGTATTCATCCTTTGTTGATAAACATTGGTTTTTCCGCTTAAGGTTATAATAAATAATAGTGCTTTTATTATTTGTATATGACTTATATTTTCAGTTCTATTGTGTATATGCTTAGGAGTGGAATTGCTGTGTCATAAAGTAATTTCATGTCTAACTCTTTTTTTTCGAGTTCGGGGGCTTGAACTCAGGGCCTTCACCTTGAGCCACTCTGCCAGCTCTTTTTTGTGTTGGGTATTTTCAAGATATCGTCTCGTGAACTATTTGCCTGGACTGGCTTGGAACCACGACCCTCCTGATATCTGCTTCCTGAGTAGCTAAGATTATAGATGTGAGCTGCCAGTGCCCGGTTTATGTCTAGTTTTTTAAGAAACTGTTGAACCTTTTACATCCACACTGATAGTATCTGAGAGGTCCAATTCTTCCCTATCCCTGTCATTTCTTGGTGTTAAAACCTGTAATTTTAGCTATTTTAATATAGCCTCATTGTGTTTTTACTTTGCTTTTCCTTAGTGACTAATTATGTTGGGGATCTTTTATGCACATATTGGCCATCTGGTGGTACTAGGATTTGAACTCAGGCCTCCAGCTTTCTAATCAAACTTACTACTTGAGCCACACTCCAGCTTATTGGCCATCTATACATCTTTTCTGAGGTAGTATCTATTGAGATCTTTTGCCCATTCTTTATTTTTCCCTTATTGTTTCTGAATACCAATCTCATTGATTGATAACTCAGTGAGATTGAAATGAATCTCATTTCATTTTATATATTCTTTGCAAATGTTTTCTACTAGTTTATCACATCTCTTTTCACTCTTCACAGTAGCTCTTTATTTTAATAAGAGTCTACTTTGTCACTTTATTCTTTATAGATTTTGCTTTGGGTGTTTAATCTTGAGAAACCTTTGCCTAGCCCAGAGTCACAACATTTTATGTTTTTTTCCCCCTGCTTATGTATCTGTTTTAAGTTTTACACTGAGATGTATGATTTTTTTTATTGTTACTTTTATTTTTTGTGGTGCTAGGGATTGAACCCAGGGCCTTATAAATGCTAAGCAAGCATTTTACTATTAAGCTACACCTCTAGCCTTATGATCCATTTTTAATAAAATTTACATATCACATGTGGTATTGATTGCAGTTTATTTTTCACATAAGAATATTCAAATTTTCCAGCTGTATTTGTTTTAACTACTATCTTTTCTCCACTGAATTGCCTTTGTATCTTTATCAAAAGTAAATTGACTATATATATGTGGATCTATATATACTTTGTATATTTATTTGTCTGTCTTGCTTGATGTCTTGATTACTATGCTTTATTAAGAAACCTGAAATCAGGTAATACAAGTCTTCTGGTTTTGTTCTTTTCTTTCAAAGTTGTTTTGGTTATTCTGGTTGCCTTGTAATTCCACAGCATTTCAGCATTACCTATTCAACCAAAATTCCCACTGGGATTTTGGTTGGGTTTACTTTGAACCTAAATATCTTAAGAATTAACTGTCTTGATAATTTTGATCACTGTTTTACCTTGAAGAACCTGTGCCCCCTAAAGTTAACTAACTTGCCTAGGACCCCTTTGCTTGTATGAAGCTGAACTGAGTTCAAACCTGGGTTGTCGAATGCCAGAGCTTATTTATCTTGTTTCTTGGGTTATTTAGACTACTGTATTTGTTTCCTGAAGTGCCAGCACAACACTAGCACATAATAGACCCCAAATATTTGTTGAATGAATGGATTAAAACCTTTATTTTATATAGAAAATTAAGTTTCATCATATTTAACTTAATCTGTGTCTTCATTTGGTAGAATGAAGATATCATATAAATGTTTTGCCCATAGTGTTTGTTACAAACTTCATCTTAATAACAGCTCTATCTGTCCAGAATAGACATTAACATAGCTAGTGTAAGCAAATACTCAATTTTAAATTAAAGATAAAGGAATGTCTCATAAATAAGATAGCCAGTTCTTAATTGGGTATGGAAAATACCACAGGCTTTCTTTTTATCTAGTCTCTTATGTGTTTCCCTCCTTTTCCTCTCTGAAGAGATAAGCATTCTCAGCTTTTCCAGTCATAAAACAGAAAATGGCTTCTCTGCAACTCCTTGTCTTACATGTTGCATTGACTGGTTGCTTCTTGTTTAGATTTCTATATTCGAGGACAGACTAATTGACTTGCCTTTGGCATTGGCTATCCCTGGTCCAGTACGTTGAAGTCAAGAGAGCAGAATACGTAGAATAAACATGGATGTTGAGGGCTTACTCATGGGAGAGCCAGGGCACTGAGTTGTAGTTCTCAGAGAAGGGTGGTATGTGGATGGAATAACATGAAAAGTTTGTTAAGGATTAATTATTTGGCTCAGGCACTTTAGTTTTGGTACTAGACTGCTGGAAATGAGAACCTGGCTTGTAGTGTTACCTTAGTGCATTGTCACATTTTGGTGTTTTCAAGAGAAAACAAAGAGGTAATACATGTGAATCTGTATACATATATAACATTTATGTAGTTTTTCACAAGTGGCATGATGTATTATTTGAAAGTTTATCAGGTATTTTGATTGTAAGTTTTAACTTCTTTTTTTTTAAGCTTTAACTTCTTGAGATGATTGTTTTCTTTCTCGTTTCTCTTTATTTTTCTTTTTTTGGAAATACTGGTGACTGAACCCAGGGCCTTGTGCATGCTGAACGAGTATTCTGCTACTTGAGCCAAGGCCCCACTCCTGTTTTCTTTATTGTGACGTGTTTCCTTTTCTGTTTCTTTTTTGTTGGTGTGTTTGTCTTTACAGTGGCAAGTACCGGATTGTATACATAACTCCAGAATTCTGTTCTGGTAACTTGGACCTACTCCAGCAACTTGAGGCTAATATTGGTAAGTGATAAAGTAGAGTTAAACCTGTGGTGGATATTAGATTTCACTTCTTTTGAAGCTTATTTTAAAACATTATCACCTCCAGGAATTTTCTGTTTATCCAACTTGGTGTCTTAACTCATTCTACCCTGTAATTCATTTTGCCATAGCAATTTGGCTCCTATAATATAATTATCTGCTTTATTTTGCTAGATTATAAACTCTTTTAAAAGAAAAATGCTATTATTTATTTATATTTCCCTAGCGCAGTGCTTGGCATATAGTTATATATTTAAAAGATCATTGAATGAAGGTTGAATCCTAGATTCTATGAAATTACAATTTATCTTTTTTCATATTCTGGTTCTAAATTAAATCAATATAGTTGTTTTTCATCCTTATTCATGAAAGTCACCCTTCAAAATTTAGAAAAATGTAATTAAACAGCCTCCAACCTTGAAAATTCTGACTTCACAGGTTTGGGGTGGAGCCTGCATCTGTAATTTTTCAGAGGTGGTTCTGATGTCTAGGCAGGGCTGTAAACCTCAGTACCTTTGGTTACAAATAAGTATGACTGATTACAAATTTAAAAAATCTGAAAACCAAATCTAAGTTGAGTTTGTTTCCTAGAAAATGTAAACACAGAATTTGTCAAAAGCTGATGCCACTTTTTTTTGGTGTTTAAGATTTTTGTTTATTATTTTCTTGTTGGTTGTTAGGCTCAGTGACTCAAGAGTTTGCAATCATGACTTCTACTGCAAATGCTGCCCATATTTCACTTGAATTAACCAAACTTAATTTCCCAGAATGTATGATCTCTTTGAATAATCATGTATTAAAATAATTCCAGATAGGGTTAAGCTTGCAGTATTGTAGCATCTCACTTAATATTGTATACAAGGGAAGTACTGAACATTTTTTTCTAACAATACAGTGAAAACAAACTTGTGTTTTTTAGTATATGATCAAACCGATAAAAGAATGAGGGCACAGATTAACATTTGAGTAAATTTATTATCAATGAGTGCATACATCAGCTGTTAAACTCTCTCATTGGTGTTTTATATTTTTGCTTTTAATGGAAAATAAATATGATATGTTTCCTATTGGGTTATATGAAGTTTCCTGTGAACATTTCACTTTGTATTAACATTTCACATAACTATCATATAGATAAATTTCATCATTTTATCGGAAAAACTAGAATCTGTATCTTTAGTGGTTTAGATATGTTTTATTCTAATTTAGTATTTGTTTTGTTTTTGTTATGGTGAGAAATGAATAATTAGCTTAAGTATTTAAGTGATGAACTTAAGTATTTAATACTTTTGACAAGTGGTTTTTAACTTCCTACTTTTTGTAATAGATAAATTATGAATACTGCAGGGCTAATATGTAGCTCAGTGGTAGTATTTGCCTATGTGCTCCAGGCCCTGGGATTAATCCCCGTTATTGAAAACAAAAAAGTTGTACGTGCTGGGCATGGTGGTGCACACATGTCACCACAGCTTTAGGGCAGCTGAGGCAGGAGGATCACAAGTTTGAAGACAGTCTGGGCTTCATGGGGAGTTTCAGGATAGCTAGGACTACATAGTGAGACTATGTCTCAAAAAATAAAAACAAAAACAAACAAAATGTTAAACAACCCTCCTTCCCGATTATGAATACTATAATCATTAGGGCAGAGTTCTTTGCTTAGGATGGATGAAAATGTTTTATTTGGGTGACTGTCAGTGTTGAATTAAAAGGGGTAATTTAAATGAAAATTATTTTTGAAATATTTTCTTTTGACTTTAGTTTGCAGGAAATTGTAAAATGCTTGCAAAAATATACTCAGGATATTTTTATACAGTTGTCTGACATCTAGCTAATCATATTTATCATTTTTAGGTAAATGTTAAATTATTTAAGTCTTCTGGATTTATAAAAGAAACAGCAAATATATTTTTATGTGGACATGTCTTGCCAACTATACTTATAATTATCTTTTAATGTGGAAATAAGGCTTAAATGATTGGTGTGCTAAAATACAAGATAAAATATGGATAGGATCTAGGAAGACACTTGAACTTGTATATTTAAAGTAAATGTTGGCAAAAGCTTGCCTGAACCGTACTGGAAGGAATAGTGTTCAACTTCTTTAAAGTTTGCAACTCCTTGCAGTTTGTCAAATCTGCAACTAAGACTTTTAAATAAAGGAGGACCATTATCTTGTTTTCACCTATTAATTTAAAATCTGGTTGATTTCATTTCTAAAGCCAACATTAGTGTAATGGTAACATTGGAATTCTCCCAATTACTTGGTAGTAACCAGAGAATTTTGGTATGGGTCAACCTACTTTGCTTATTTTTAGTATATTTCTTAATTTGTTTTCTTCCTCCTGCTCTCTTGGGGCTGTATTATAGTTCTTGATATCAATGAACTGCCATTGTTTATTCTGTCCCTCTTTTAGAATTATGAACTCCTCAAGGTTATGGATTGTATTTTATTATTATTTTTATCCTTGGAGAAGGATTTACATCAGAATGACCATTTGATAATTGTAATAATAATAGTATTCTTTTGTTAGATTTTTTTTGTGTCAGGCTCTATATTAGCACTTTATGTAAATGATCTCATTTAATCTTTAGAGTAATAAATGTTAGGTGCTATACTATGCACATTTACTTGTGAGGAAACTGAGACTTGGACAGCTTTGGTAATTTGTGTAAGGTACCACAGATGGTAAGTGGTGGAGTATACCTCGGCAGTCTTGATCCAGAGCGTGTTTTTACTCACCATGCTAGCAGAACATTGTTAAAACTGAGATAGAGGAAACAATTGTATTTTCTCAAGTATTAATTTGATAAGTGAGGACAAAGGCCATACCAGTCATTACTTTGAAATATCTGAGGATATTTTAATGGATGGTTATACAGTGAAACTCTTTTCCGAAATGCATCACAACACACTATTGATCCTGTTTCAGTATGTGTGCATGGTGTGGGACAGAGTGAAGAGGTTGCTAGAGGGAGAAAGAACAAATTATATTCCCTACTTATTCTGTACATAATGAGATTTAGCTTTTCCCATACCATTTACATTAGACAATGCAGATGTCATCATGTCTTGTAAGAATGGCATTTCAGAGTGACTTTCTGGAATATGATATGTGATTAATCATGTAGAGTGATGTGCTTAATCTCAGTAGAAGTGTGCTGACTCTCTATCTCTTTTGAGGGCTAATTCATGAGATAAGATTGAGGGTATTACCAAGAGAAACAGAACAGTTCTATTTTTAAAGACATTGGTGCAGATGATTCATAAGTGATAGTTTTGGAGGCAAAGTAACAGTAAGCAATTCATTTCTGTGAGGAATAATGATGGAAGCTGAAATATAAATATGTTGTTTGAATGAATATATAAATATTTTCTTTGTTATCCTAATGCCTTTTATCCATCTATCTTCCCTATTTTCCCAATCACAATTTCCGATGTTATTGGTATTGTTTATGGTTTTATGAAAACCAAATAATTTGATTTGTTTTATTCTTTTTTTTGGTGGTGGTATTGGGGTTTGAACTCAGGGCCTCACTCTTGCTGGGCAGGCATTCTGCCACTTGAGTCACTCTACCAGCCCTTTTTTATGTTGGTTAGTTTTGAGGTAGGTTCTCTTGAACTGTTTGCCAAGGTTGACTTTAAATCTTGATCCTCCTAATCTCTGCTTCCTGAGTAGCTAGGATTATAGGCGTGAGCCACTGACACCTGGCTGTTATTTATTTTTAAGATCTGTATATTTTACTTGAAGAAAACAATATTGATTTAGATGAGCATTTTCTTTTTGGACTTTTTTTTCCCATTCATATATTTTTCTTTTTTGTAGGTATCACACTGGTTGCTGTGGATGAGGCTCACTGTATTTCTGAGTGGGGACATGAGTTTAGAAGTTCATTCAGGACATTGGGCTCTCTAAGGGCAGCACTCCCATTGGTAAGATTTGCAAAGCTGAATGTTTTGAAATGACATTTTTGTCAAGCACAGTATTTAGGACTGGAAAGTGGCCAAAAAACTGAAGACTTCTTTATGAAAGGGCAGATGGGTGATGCAAGCAGGGGAAACATTTTTTTTTAAATTCTAATGTTGGCTTCCTTCCAAAGTTGGCATGTAATTTATTGAGGAATACTCTAGAATGGGTTTGGCAGACCTTTTCTGAAAAGATCAGCTAATGACTGTAGTAATTTCTCCTTATCAACCTGGAATACTCAGTAGATGCCTGAAACAACATGTAGTACCAAACAGTATGTTTTATTCTTTCTTACACATACATACCTATGACAAAGTTTAATTATAATTTAGGCACAATGGGAGATTAGCAAAGTAACTAATAACGAAATAAAACAATTATATCTATTATTATAGTGATGTTATCATTGCCACTACTCTTGCTCTTTGGGGCCATTATTAAGTAAAATAAGGAGTACGTGAACACAAGGACTGCTGTAGCTTAACTGTTGATCTGATAACCATGATGACTACTAGATGAATAGCCAGTGGGTAACATATATAGCATTCATAATGCTGGGCAAAGAGGCTAGTCTATTTTGTCTTTGTGTACTTTGTCATGTGTTTCTCTTTCTTTCTTTCTGTAAGCACCCTTTAAAAATGCAGAGTGTTCAACAAAAGAAATGGTCTCTAAACTGAAGAGACCACCCACAGAGTGGGAGAAAATATTTGCCAGCTACACACATCAAACATAGGACTGATAACCAGAATACACAGGGGACTAAAAAAACTAAGCTTTCCCAAAATTAATGACCCAATAAAGAAATGGGCAAGTGAACTAAACAGAATTTCTCAAAAGAAAAAATTCAAATGGCCAAAAAACACATGAAAAAATGCTCACCATCTCTAGCCATCAAGGAAATGCAAATCAAAACCACACTAAGATTCCATCTCACCCCTGTTCAAAAAGCCATCATTACAAACACCACCAACAACAGGTATTGGCGAGGATATGGGGAAAAAGGAACCTTCATACACTGCTGGTGGGAATGCAAACTAGTACAACCACTCTGGAAAAAAATCTGGAGGCTTCTTAAAAATCTAAAATAGATTTGCCATATGATCCAGTAATCCACTCCTGGGGATATACCTAAAGGAATGAGACACAGGTTACTCCAGAGGCACCAGCACACCCATGTTTATAATAGTACTATTCACAATAGCCAAGTTATGGAAAACAGCCAAGATGCCCCACTACTGATGAATGGATTAAGAAAATATGGTATTTATACACAATGGAATTTTATGCAGCCGTGAAGAAGAATGAAATGTTATCATTCACAGGTAAATGATGAATTGGAGAACATCATTCTGAGTGAGGTTAGCCTGGCCAAAAGACCAAAAATCGTATGTTCTCCCTCATATGTGGACATTAGATCAAGGGCAAACACAACAAGGGGACTGGACTTTGATCACACGATAAAGCGAGAGCACACAAGGGAGGTATGAGGATAGGTAACAAACAAAAAACAAGATAGCATTTGATGTCCTCAGTGCAAAGGAACTAATGCAGAAACTTTAAAGTGACACAGGCCAATAGGAGAAGGGGACCAGGAACTAGAGAAAAGGTCAGTTCGAGAAGAATCAACTTAAAATGTAATGGGAAGAATCTCCCTGTACAGCTATCCTTAGCTAGCAAAAACCCTTTGTCCATCTTATTATTGTTTATACTCTCTCTTCAACAAAATTAGAGATAAGGGCAAAACAGTTTCTGCCTGGAAGAGAGGGGGTTTGGGGGAGAGGGAGGGGACAGGGTCAAAGGAAGGGAGTGGGGTGAAGGGGGAGAAATGACCCAAACATTTTATGCACATATGAATAAATGAAAAAAAAATGCAGAGAATTATTCTTCTCTTGTGGGTCGTAATGAACAGGATGTAGTCGTAGTTTACTGGCTGCTGCTTTAGAACCAGGGTTGGACTCCCATATCCTCTTGTGATCCTCACATCTTTTTATTCTAGGGTATTACAAAGTATGGTTACCCTTTAGATATCATATTGAAAACCTAGAAATAGAAATATTCTGATGGAATATTTTAAGCTTTTAGAATTAGAATTCCACTTTCTTCCCTAACTATAGAGAATAGCATATTTTTACATGAACCTTCCACACAAATGGGATATTTTACATGAATGCCTTGAAAACTCATAGTATTGGTAACATTTTGTTTTGAGAAATTATAGATTCACTGGAAATTGTTAAAAATGGTATGGAGAGGTCCTATGTATATTTACCCTGTTTCTCAAATGATAATGTTGTGCATGACTGTAGCTCAGTATCGAAATTAGAACTGTGACATTTGTAGATATCTAGAGTTTAATCATAATTCACCATTTTTTGTAAGTACTCATTTGTACGTTTGTGTATTGTTCCGTACAGTTTTATCCTGTATGAAGATTTGTGTATGTCCCACTGCAAGTGAGATAGAGAACTGTTCCATTATCTCAAGGCACCTTGGAAAGTATCCTTCTATAGTCACTTGCATAGTCCTTTCCACCCCTAATCTTAGCCCCTGCCAACAACTTATATGCTCTCCATTTCTATCATTTTGTTATTTTGAGAATGTTGCATAAACGAAACCTTGCAGTTTATTACCTTTTGGAATTATTTTTTTCACTTAGCATAGTTCCCTTGAGATGGATCCAAGTTGCCACATATTTCAAAATTTTGTTCCTTTTTATTACTACATAGTATTCCATAATATGGATTGACCAAAGTTTATATAACTATTCACCTGTTAAAAGAACTTTTCGACTATTTTCCATTTTGAGGCTATTATGAATAAAGATTCTGTGATTATGTGTATACATGTCAAAAATCCTTCAATAGATCAGTGGTTAAATGACCTGTGAACAGAAGTTTTTATTTCTCACATTATTTCATTTTATAAATGCCCAGGATGCTGTTGCTAGGTCCTATGGTAAGGTTGTGTTTCATTTTTTTAAGGCCCTGCGATAATGCTTTCCAGAGTAGCTATACCATTTCACATTCCCTTCAGCAGTGTATGAGCAGTAGTTTCTTGTCATCCTTGCCATCGTTTGGTCTTCTGCTTTTAATTTTAGCCATTTTGATAGATGTGGAGTGATATTGTGTGTTTTAAATTTGCATTTCTCTAATAATTAATGATGTTGAACATCTTTTTTGTACTAATTTGCCTCTTTGGTGAAATGTCTGACATACTGGATTGATTGTTTTTAGGTTCTTTTTCTGTCACATTTTAAGAGTTTAAAAATATAGTTATGAGTCATTGGTCAGATACATGGTTGGCAAAAATTTTCTTTCAGTTTTGACTTGCCTTTTCATCATTTTTATGCTGTGACTTAGCAGATAATTTAAATTTTGATGAAATTCAATTCATCAACTTCTTTTTTCTTTTGTGGATTGTGCGTTTTGTTTTGCCCTAGATCTTGATGATTTTCTTCTGTGGTTTGCTTCCTAAAATTTCTGTAGTTTTAAGTATTTAACATTTTGGAATGTGATCTATTTTGAATTTAGTTTTGTATAAGGTGGGAGGTTCCGGTCGAGGTTGCTTGTTTTCTCTAGTTGTTTCAGACCATTTGTGGAAAAGGTTGCCCCTCTGTTGAATTGCTTTTGAACCTTGTTGAAAATCAGTTGAATATATTTGTGTGGCTCTATCTCTAAGTTTTCTAATACTGTGTTAATTTTGAGTGGCTAAACATGGTTGGCAGATGTTTAGAGATCACTGGTAGTAGCAAGGCACTGGTGCCTTCTGAGCCCCAAATTTCAGTTGAATGAGTAAACCAAGAAAAGTGTTAGAAATTGTATTCTTTTGGTAAGATGGTCTCTTTCAATCTCATTGCTCATAAATCTTGCATAACAATAGCAAATTTAGAGCAGTCTTTAAAATGGTGGGCTTCTCATAAAGATTTTGTCAGAGCAGATATTAGAAACTGATGACAACAACAAACAAATGTACCAGCTAGCAAGTATATATAGGAGAATCAAACTAATGTGGTTTGAGCACCACCTGTGTCACTGGCCTTGTGTCAGGTGGTGTTGTCTTGGTTAGCTCCAGTGATCTACTTCTTTCAACTAGGCCCCACCTTTGAATTTTTCTATCACTTTACAATAATGCCATCAAATTATGAATTTATTAATGTATTAAACCATTGTTCCAGTCACCTTTCAGTGACTGGATTTACCTTCTGGAGATTGAGCCTTTTAACACGTGAGCCTGGGGGGATATTTTATATCTAACCATATAGCAGGAGTGATTTTGGGGTGTTTGGTTTATATAATCTTGAAGAGTATCTGGCTAATAGTAGATGCTTAGTAAATAATTGAGTGAATGAATGAATTCTGATCAGAAAAGCTGAGAATCAAAAAAGAAATTTCCCCATACAAGTATTTATGAAAGAGTTAGGCAATAAATAACCACACCATAGGACATTGTGCTAATTTCTAAAGGAAATGATTTGAAAGTGGTATGAAACGTAGTTTCTGCCTTCAGATAAGTCATAATTTTGTAAAGGAGTTTAGATCCATATCTGTAAAAATAGAAGCAATAGTACCAAATAATTCATGGTGTATGGAGTGATACAAATCATACAGGAAGATTAATAATGTTCATAGTATATGTGATAGAGAAGGGGATTTCTGATGTGACAGTTATTAGATACAGTGCTCAAGAGCAGTGATTTCCACTAGTTTAGAATGGATAAAGATAAGCTTTTGGAAACTAGGAAGATTGCTTTCTGTAATCCTTTCCTAGGCTTTTGTTTCTAGAAGGATTGAATTAAAGGAGTTTAAAATACATTATGCCAGTCTTAAGTTTTTCAGGTGGAATTAAATCTGTTGTGTTTGAGTGTGGCCATCATTGGATCATTTTCATTTCTTGGAGTGATTAACTATAGCATGTTCCTTATGTCAAGCAATGGCTAGGAAACTTTTTCCCTTAGTGTTTTCAAGAATCCTTTGTATTTGGTAAGGGTTGAAATGCCACCTGTTGGTTTTAGGGCTATCATTTTTTTCACTGTTCTTGGTGTTATTTTTCTAATTCTAGTTACACTAAGACAACTTTTTTTTTTTTTGTGTTACTGGGGTTGAACTCAGCCTCATCCTTGCTAGGTAGGAGCTCTGCCACTTGAACCACTCCTCCAGCAGGACAGCCATTTTTAAACTCTTCATTTGGAGGGACTCACCAAAGTGAGCCTTGAGAAAGAGAAGCTAGACTAAGCAAATAGACTTAAGCATTCAAATAGGAACTGTGAGGATCATGAGACAAGTTGGTTCTTGCTTTTACTTTTCTCTCCAGTGCCCATGAAAAGATCAGCACATAATAGACACTCAACAATCATTTAGAATGAGGGAATGAATCCATAAATTCTGTGTGTATTGTGGAGTATAGAGTTAGAGTTAGCAACTGACCCAAATTTGGAAGTAGATGGCATAGTTATAATTCTCTCAATCTTTGGGTGCTACACTGCTGAAATATGTGATAAAGCTCTTCCTAAATTTATGATGTCATAATACTAACTTATATTTTATTGTCTATTTTGACAATCGTGGTGCCTATTACCAATGCAATCAAGACTTGCAAATTTAAATAATAAATTTCGTTGAGTTAAGAACTTGTTATAACTAGGTGACAGTATAATTCAGTATCAACCATTTTGCTTCTAAAAATTGAAAAGTTCAAACTGTTAAAAATTATGCTGTGACTACAAGCATGGCCTGGGAGTGGCCCAGCCCACAAGCATGTGCGGTCACCCTTCTAATAACCTGCCTGTGATAGTGTTTAAGTTTCACCCTTGTTTATACATTTTTAACATCGTAAAGTAAACATAGGCTCTATGTTTTATCTTTTACTTCCTTTCTTTTGTGGTAGTAGGGTTTGAACTCAGGGCATTGAGCCTCCAGGCAGGCATCACACCACTTGAGTTGTGCTCCAGCCCTCTGTTCATTTTTGAAGTGTTCCTTGTTGGTTTTTAGTTGAGACACAATTTTGTTATCCTAACCTAGACTGGCATCAAACACACTTTCTTCCTGCTTCAACTTCCTGAGTGCCAGCATTACAGGTATGCACCACCATGCCTGGCAGGAGCAGCAGTCTTAACTGTGACTTTCTAAAATATTGTAAGAGAAAGAGTTAATTTATAGTGATGTTCACTGTTAGCAGGCTGTTGAAATAGGAAATTTCTAAGCAAAATGGAAGTAATCACATAGCTTTGTCCAACTCATGTTTTTGATAATAAAACTTCCACATTTGCCAAAGTCAGTGACAAACCTGCCAGTAGTGCCTACATCTCTGCAGCCCCTGTACAGAAATCTTCTCAATTTTTGCAGTAATAGTATTACTAATAATTGAGTACTTGCTATGTACTGTGTGCTGTGTTCAGCACTTCACATGTTTTGATGTTTTGTCTCATTTGGTCTTTACAGCAACTTGATGAGATTGGTGGTGGTATTTTAATCATTTTATACAGAAGGAAATGGCAGCTTAGAGAGTTAAATATACAGCTCAGTCCCACATCTAGTAAGTGGTAAAGGCATGATTTGAACTCAAGCAGTCTGAGTCCAGGTTAGATTTGTTTCACTACTGTGCTGTTCTTTCTCTGACTTCTTAAAGTTGTGTCATGTTTCATGATTACCCCCTCCATTTCCACTCAGACATTCTATCTGCTTAGAAGCAGATTCAACACTGTGTCTGTACATGCAGTTACACACAGATTTTATTAAGTAAATTCATAAATTGTTTGGTTATCACTTAAATAGATGAAAATGCTCTGCTGTTATAAGGGTTATAATGTGTATATTCTAAGATCTTCTAATTTTTATTTCTTCTTATTGTTTGTTTTTTTAATTTACTTATTGTGGTACTGGGGCTTGAACTAAGGGCCTTCACCTTGAGCCACTCCACCAGCCCTATTTTTGTGAAGGGTTTTTTGAGATAGGGTCTCTTGAACTATTTGCCTGGACTGGCTTCAAACCATGATACTTCTGATCCCCACCTCCTGAGTTGCTAGGATTAAAGATGTGAGCCACCAGCACCCGGCTATTTTTTGAGACAGGGTCTTGCTATGTAGCTGAGGCTGGCCTCAATCTTGCAATCATTCTGCCTCAACCTTCTAAGTGCTGGGATTATACATCTAGTTATTAAATGTTCCGTGTTCTAAACTTTATATTTGTTAGTATCTATATGTTAACATAGATAGATTTATATCAATGCTTGGCTAGAGAAACTAGTTTCTTCAAAAACTGGGTTGTTCATCTACAAGTCTTTATGTATACATTCTAAATTCATAGAACAGTGTGATTGTAAACCAGAAATCAAAAAAATTAACTTCGGGGTTGCATTTTAAAATATCTCAGCAGAATTTAAGAATAAAGAATGTACTGTTTATCTGGTCACATTTGTTTTGATTTGATTTTTTTATTTGAGAAAATTTCCAAACTATTTTTTATGTGACTTTTAAGATCATTTTTACTTCAGTAAAGCTATATTAATTATAAAAGTAGTTTGTTAATTAGTTCTAGTGATCAAACCCAGAGCCTCACACATGCTAGGTAAGCACTCCCTCTGAGCTACAACCCTAGCTCTTAACTATACTTTTCTGTGTGTGTCATTAAAAATAAGGTGTATTTTTCTAAACTCATGAAAGTCATGCCAGGTTTGAACAATGCTTGAAGTTTTGTCAAATCTGTTATTATTTTTATTCATAGTAGTTATTGTTTGTTGAATTTTTTTCTTTTTAAATTAGTGTATATTTATTGTGCAAAATACTGGGTTTCATTATGACAATTTCATACATGTATGTTATGCACTTTAATCATACTTATCCCCCCAAAAATTGTATCTTGTTTTAATTTTGAGTTAAACTCATTTCTTTGCAAACTGGCAGTTGTGCATACATTTTAGCATATGTAGAAGATATTTTTGTAAGCTGTTTTATAAGGTAACTGTAATGTATCTGAAGAACTGTTTCATGGGGATATTGTTTCCTGTTATAAGAAAATTGTATTCTTAGCTGTGGAGCACTAATAACTTAGGAATACTTTAAGATTTAATTCCATTTTTTTCCTGATTATGATATGAAAGCAGAGTTGGATATAACTTTTTATTATAATAGGGATAAAAATATGAAATTTAGTTTTATGGGAAGCATTTTTTTTCCTTTGAATTTCTGAAAGTTTACATGTTAATGTTTTTCCTGGTACCTTCTGTGCTGTTTATCTTGTCAAGAAGTCTTTGCTAGACTGAAAAGAGCGTATGACTTGGTTGCTTAATGAATCAATTAGTAATATATGTTTTACTTTATATATATTTCTTATATATAACATGCCACTGATTAGCTTAGTATAACTGGGCAGAGGTTCATCTAGGTCATTGGGAGCTTTGTTTCTAGCTCTGAAAAGCAATAATCCAGTATATTTAATATGAGACCCCCCCCAAAATACACTTTATATAGTTAGATTTTTCAGTGAATTGAAGGGTTTCTAATTTGTGAATTTTATAGTATTAAAAATAAGGCATAATATACCCCTTGCCGATTAATAAATGTTAAGAATAAGGTAGCTATTTCGCTAATAAATAGACTTAATTGAATAAGACAAGATAAATTGCATTGGAAACCTGATGGCTTTGGTTTCTTAAATGATTTCTGATTTTTTTATTTTTAAAAAGTAAATATTGTATTCAGAAGGTTGAGAAACAAGTAAGTAGGGAGATATCTTTTCTTTTTCTAAATAATATTTTAGCTTGTGGTGTAGCTCAGTGATAGAGCATTTGCCTAGTCCTGAGTTAGATCCCAAATACTGAGCAATATATACATAATTCTGAAGTTGTATTTTTGGCTCTTACATCTTATAGTTGTTAAGAACAATCTCTGTCAAAATCATTTGCACTTCATTTAGGTTCCAATAGTTGCACTCACTGCCACAGCAAGTTCTTCAGTTCAGGAAGATATTGTACGTTGCTTGAACCTGAAAAACCCTCAGATTACCTGTACAGGTTTTGATCGACCAAATCTATACTTAGAAGTTGAACGAAAAACAGGGAATATTCTTCAGGATCTAAAGCCATTTCTTATAAAAAAGACAAGGTAAGGATTTAATGGTTGATGAATTTTGGTAACTATTTTCTTTTTAAAGAGCTGATTTAATTTTATTTATTTATTTTTAGTATTTCTTTGTGATACGTGTTACTGCATTTCAAGTTTTACCTAGCTTTGGTTCAAGTCAGGTATATTGTTACATAGTCAATTCAGTGACTGAAGTGTATTTTTGAAGGCAGGAACAAATTCTTTTATTTTTGTTTTGTATTTCTGTATTGTTGCATAAATAGGACATAGGCTCTTAATGATGGAAAGTAGATTCAAAAAAAAACAAACCAAAATGAGCCTTTCATCTGAATTCTGTTTACTAATTACCTAATTTCAGTTTAAGGCATTTTTAGAAAGGCCATCCTGTAAATATGTTGGAGCCTGTATCATGTTCCAAGGACTGCATCCTAGACACTTACACGACTGAGCTAGTTAACTCCTTCTAACTGCTTTGTAAGCTACACATTATTTTACTGATGAACTTCACTGGAACTTTTCTCTGTTTGTTTTGTTATTTTCCATGTCTGCTCGGTGAAAAGCTTGTAATATTTTCATGTTGTGGAATGTGTTCTATAGTTCAAACACATTAGAATAATGTTTTTCCTACCAATATAAACACAAAACAAATCCCAGGCAATGGCGTTTAAAGAGCATCATTAGTGTTTTTCTCTTCTGGAAAGGGATAAAAGTAAGAAAAGATAAGTCCTAGATTAAGGAAGCCCTATAGTTATTCCTGAGCACCTTCAGGAATAATTTAAATGTAGGACTTTGTCGTGTCTTCAGAACAGAACAAGAATATAGTAAGTATACTCAGGCTGCTCTAGTGCCCTTATGTTTTTGTTTGTTTGTCTTGTTTGCTTTGTTTTGGGGGAGTCTGCTGTCTTCCTCCTCACACTCCCCAGTGCTGGGATTGTAGAATGCGCCACCATGCCTAGCTTACTTTTGACTATTATAGTTTGGTTATGAATATTGGTATTCATGTATCTTTTGTAGCTATACAAGTATTTTTATAAGGTAGAGTCTTAAAATTGAAATTGAATCAATTTTAATTTATAATTAAATACCCTTTAATATATCTTAAAATAGTACAGTGTTTTTGCATTGATTCAGTCAGCTTAAATGAGTACACTCATGTAAATGTATATATTGAGGAAATAAATGTTCTTTGAAAATCAATATTTACACTTTTCACAAGTAAACAAGTTTCTACAGTAGACATTTTAACAAATGTTTTTAAAACATTCATAGTCTCAAGATTATTAGTAAATACTTCTTTGAACTTTAAAAGCAATCTTTCAATAGTATAAGAAAATTTTTTGTTTTTTAGTAAATAGATGTATCAACTTAACTTTATGATCACAGAGAGAGTAAGGATCCATGTAACAAATGTTATGTATACTCTTCTGTAAATTGTTCATTTACCTTTTATGGAAATCAAGACTAGTTGTTAATCCAGTGCATTACCTTCCCGGAAATATTTATATTAATAGTTTAGAAGTTTTTAAAAACTGACTTTCTTTGTCTGGTTTTAACTTTAATTTGTATCAAATCTGAATGCAAGGTTGTATTTGGCTCTCCATGATGTTTTAGGTTTTCATGCAATTAAATATTTTTTTTAATATGCTTTATCCTTTTAGTCTTTTACTTAGAAATAGAAAAAGGAAATTAAGTAAAATAAAACCCAAATTGTTCTGAAGCATACATATAATACATGTTTGGTTTTTGTTCTTTTTTTCTAGCTCTGACTGGGAATTTGAAGGTCCAACAATCATCTATTGTCCTTCCAGAAAAATGACAGAACAAGTCACTGCTGAACTCAGGAAACTGAAGTTAGCTTGTGCGACATACCACGCAGGCATGGATTTCAAAACAAGGAAAGATGTTCATCATAGGTTCATGAGAGATGAAATTCAGGTCTGAGGATCACCATTACTCTGTATGCTCCATAGGGAAAGCAGATATTTCTCAAACATTTAGGTAGAAAATATTTATTGAGCAATTATTTTTGTGTGTATTTAGTATAATGCAGTCCCTCCTATAGAGGGGGATTTGTGTGTTATGTGAAAGGTAGGTATATGAATAAACTTGTTGCACAGTTGTGTAAATGGTAAACTGTACACAGAGGATGGACTAGCTCTGTCAAGGTAGGTTTTATAATGGGATTGGCCCTTCCAGGAAAAGGCAATTTGAGTAGAGTCTGAACATGTCATTAGAAATTTGCCAAGTTTCCCAGGCTAGTAGTTGATGAGTGCAGATGACTTGGTTTACAATTCTAGAAAGGAATAGCAGGTATAAAGAGTTCATTCTGGGCTCAGGAAATCATGAGAGACTTGGCATGACTGGAAGAAAACTGAGGGTATCAGTAGCACAAAATATGGATAAAAGGACATGAGGAACTCTTAGAGACTATAGGAAGAATGTTGAATGTGTTAGTTGGACAGGAGCAGCCTGGATTTGGTGTCATATTTCTATATTTTTTACTGACTACTTTAGCCTTAGAAGTTTTAATTTAAATGAAAATTTATCTAATAGGTACAATAGATTAAAGTAGAAAAAATTCTGGTTCATGTGAGGGAAAAGGGGTCTGGGAGCCTCTCTATCTCTAAGACAGTCTGTAGGTATCTTTTAATACTTAAGAGTGCCACAGCTGGCGGCTCAAGTGGTAAGAGCACCTGCCTAGCAAACATGAGGCCCTGAGTTCACATCCTTGTGCTGCCAAAAAGAAATGAAAAAACTTAGAGTGCCACAGTTTTCGTGATGGACTGGCATTACAGAATCATTGTACTGGCAACACTGAATGGGCTTGATTTCACGAGTTGGAAATGATGAAATTATTATAGGTGATGTCACTGTGATGTTTGCCTGGCTCAGTGGGTGTTACAGAGGCTCTCTGGGAGGATTTAAATTCAAGTCACACAAGTAGTTTTAAGTCAATAACTTGACACTGTTAGCATCATATCCACTCTTGTCACAGTAAGCCTGTCTCCTTTCAAATTAAAAGATGAACTTAACTTCAGCTCTGTCGTTTTCCTCGCTATCCATCCCTCCCTGTGACAAGTAGTTGTTAACCACCTCAAGCCAACGTGGTCCAAACAGTGTTTCTCCTAAGTGTGGCTCATATCTACTGTTTATAAAGGTCACTATGCATAGGTATGCTATAATGCACACTTGCCCAAAGAGGCATTTCTCTGCCCTCTTTCCACAACTAGGAAGAGCTATCTTAACTAATTAGAGATTTTATATTGATTTGTGAATTAATTTTTTTACATTATCTCAGGATTGAAAATTGTCAGGTAAAATTTGTTAGCTGCAGCTACTAAATCTTAATGATCTGTCTTCAAGCCATTAGTGGACTTACGGTTTCTTCTGTCTTAAAGTATTACTAATTACTCATTTAGACTAAAACATCTCCCAAAGACACAAGAGTACAGACTATATCTGGGTTGCATTTTGATGAGAAACTTTGTATGCATCTGATTGTCCTGTTGATATATTACCTCATTAAAGCAATATTTTGAAACATGACTTGAAAATCCCCAGTAATCTTTAGTTATACCCAAATTGAAGAGGTATGTGTATGTGAGTGGTGGTTGTAGAGTGTGTGTATGCACATGTATGTGAGAGGGAGAGAGAGACTGAAAGACACAGAGAGAGAGAAATTGAGAGAAAGAGACTGTTTTATCTATATTGAACAGTTTGGTCTTCTTTGAATTGATTACTTGTTATTCAGCATTTATTGAGTACTTACTGAATGCATAAATGTGCTGAATTTTAATTATTCACTTTTTTTTTAAAAGTGGATTTATACTTTACTGTGGACTTAAAAGTAGAACTGAACTCCCCAGTTCCTAATATCTTAGATTAAAGCTTTCTATTTTATAATTTCAGAAAAAATTAAGCATTTTCTTTCTCATTTTTATAACAAAATCCAGCCACATTGGGATATGGATTTGCATTTTTAGACTGTGACCATTCTTAAATTTCATCCTGACTCTTGATTTTATATCCTTTTGTATTTTTATTTGCCTTTTCAAGATGCCATAAATTCTTTTCCTTCTGGAATGAGGGTGTGAATAATTTATTTGATGAAATATCTTTATTTATACCTGAAAGCTTATAAGCATAGTTTGAAAATTAAGCCAGTGCATTGTTTGACTTTATATGAAAATAATATGATTAAAATTAGAATTATTATTCTGTACTTATTAAGTTTTTGTCTAAGGAATTTATTTTATTTGTAGTAATCTCTTTCCATTTTGACTTATTAAGTGCCTCATCTTTGTCCAAATCTTATGCTCATTATATTCATTTAAGTATTTGTTTCATGTATTCACTTTGTTCTTATCTTTTTCATGCATCCTTTAACTTGTTTGGCTTTTACTTTCTCCTCATCTTTCCTTATATCCTTTCTTTTTGTCTTCCTTCTCCTGGCATATCTTAGTCAATGTCTTTTTTTTTTTTTTACCAATGGTACTTTAATTTTTAGCAGTTATACATGTAAATAGTTCTATCATGTTTTCAGTGAAAGACTTCAGCCCCTCATGCCTTCCCTTCTTCTCTTTCCTACTACCAGCTCTTTTTTAGCTAAGTCTTTAGGTTTACGGCTGTATTTTGCCTTAATTTGTGAATACTGCTATTTCAGTGCTTGTTAGTTTTAAGCTGGATTGACTTCCCACTATGAAAGTTAAAAGTTTACATCTCTTCCATATAGCTCACTGCTATTTTCCTCACCCTGTCCATGTGTTCTAATCCTTTTCCTCCCAACTTTATATCATAATTTTAGTTAGATATTACTCAAGTATTTACATAATTGTTACTCTAAATGCTTTTACCTTTAATTCCTTACTACATTATGGCTATTTTTCTTTTTGCATTTTCATACAAATACTTTTTAAGATAGTTTTTAGTTTTCTATATACTTAGCAGTAATTCTTCCTGAAACTTTCTCCCAATAATGTCAGTTTTATCTCAAATACTTATACATATTGGGTATTCATATCTTTTATCATCTTAAAGATGTAGAGATAAAATCATGTCTAACTGCATCATCTATAATGAGAAACTTCCATCTTAGAATAATGTAAGAATAAAATATTCTGTATTCAAATGACACTTGAAACTTCATATAATATTTAATATAAAAATATTTTAAATATTTTGTCTCATTCACAAGTGTTCAGAGAAACTACTTTCTTGCTACTTTTTATAGAGAATGAACAGAAATCCCATTTTGTGGTTGCTAATCCTTAATATGTAAACCAGAAAGATAATCAATGTGTAAGTGATTGGTTGAGATTATATTAAATTCAGTTTTATGCCAGGGACTTTAGTGAATGATTTTCTTAAAAAGTTTCATACTGCTAAATAAGTTTGTCAAACTATGTTGTCATTTATTCTCAGTGTGTCATAGCTACTATAGCTTTTGGAATGGGCATTAATAAAGCTGACATTCGCAAAGTCATTCATTATGGTGCTCCTAAGGAAATGGAATCATATTATCAGGAAATCGGTAGAGCAGGCCGTGATGGACTTCAAAGTTCTTGTCATTTACTCTGGGCTCCAGCAGACTTTAACGTAACTAGGTAAAAACATTTATTGCTTTGACTTTGTAGATTTCTTTCTGTCTTTACAAGAAAGTATTTGAGTTAATTTCAAATTATTAGCGAATTTAAAGCTCTTCTTTCTAGGAATAATCAGTAGATTTTGCTTCTTAACATACAGACAATAAAGCCATCCTCTTATACAGAACAATTCTCATCCTCTTTTTTTTTTTTATACCAGTCACAGTAGTGGTGCCAGAAAATCTATGCAATTCTTACTTGGTATCCATGGAGTGGGTTGGTTCCAGAACCCCTGGATACTAAAAACCAAGGATGCTTGAGTCCCTTATATAAAATGGTGCAGTATTTATATTCTGTGTACATCTTTACATCTAGTTTAAATCATCTCTGGATTACTTATAATATTTACTATAAAGTAAACACTATGTAAATAATTGTTATACTGAATTATTTAGGGAATAATGACAAGAAAAATATCTACACGTTTGGTGCAGATGCTACAATTGTAGGCCAAACTAGGTTTTTGATGGATGTTGAACCTGCGTGAATAGTGGGCCAAGGACTTAAAATTTTAGTGTAGATAGGTGATTCTTTGTATCAGTCCTAAAGAAATGATAACTACAGGGTAAGTCAAGATAAAAAGAATAGAGCAAGGATTGAGGATGGATTTGTTTCATCCTGTTGAGAAACCTCTTCTGGAAGGAAATAAATGAAGTTGCTAGCTCTCAACTGAAAAGGTCATTGTGACTACAAAAATTTTAGTCTTTGGGGTACTAGGAATTGAACCCAGGACCTTACCCTTGCTAGGCAAGGCTCTCCACTGAGTTTTATAACCTCACTCCCCATTATGCAATTTTATACTTCTTTATCATGCACTTTTATATTATTTATTGCAGAAGCCATACCACAGGCAACGTCCCAGTGGCCACATTTACTGCTATGTTAGTTAAACCCTACTTATGCTCAATTGTGATTATCTTACAAATTATTGTCTGGTTTTTTTAAAGACAGTAATTTGTAAAATAATCCCAATAAACTAAATCTTTGGCTGTAAGTGATTTCTGTTAATAGTGTTTTTTTTTAGAATTTTTTCAAATTGTTTTTATTCTGTGGAATATTATACTTTAGCTATTTTTATAATTTCAAAAGAACAACGAATATTCATTTGATTGCTGACTTGTAGTTTCTTTTTCTCATATTTGTTCTGAACACTGAGGAAATTAGTTAAATGTAGGTCATCCAAACCATATTTATGAGAGGATTTAGTTCTGAGGATTTGAGTTTTTGTTTTCTTTATTCATTCTATCTCAGGAGGAAGAGTTGGACTAAACAAAACAAGACAAAACAAAAACCAATAAAATAAGACAAAAAGGAAGGATTTTTTTTTTTGCCCTTGAGCTAAAATAAATGACATTTGATGGTTAACCTAGGAACTAGTGTCAATGTGGTAGTGTCTAGTGACAAGAATATTTTTGAATAACAGATCATTTTTGCCTTCAGACTTTCTAGAACCCCTTGAATTATACAGAGATATTTTGATCAGTCAGAAGATTGGAGAGTCAAAGTTTTTTATTAGTGAATGAAATCCATTTTGATGATGGTCAGTATTGTCACTTAGATGTTATAGGTTAAATCATTGTGTCCTTTTTCGGTACATGAAAATATTCTACCCAGGCTATTATTTGTTCTTGGAAACAAGTGTAGATCTATTTGGAAGATTCCCATCATATGATATATTTGATATTCATGGAATTTATGGTGAGAATGAGTTACAGCAGTATTGATATTTAAAGAAAAAAGGATCAGCCAGCTGGGGACATGGCTGAAGTGGTAGAGTGTCTGCCTAGCATGTGCATCGTCCTGCGTTCAACCCTTAGTGCTGTGAAAACAAAAATCATAGTTTTCATGTTATTTAACAGTTTTAAGTAAATTTAGTTTTATGGCAGAAATATCAGTTATAATGTATTGAGAAGGAAAACAGTTCTGATCTCCAAGTACCTCATAGTACAAAGAGAGGCCCAAGAAGTCCTCTGCAGAGCTGGAAGGAATGAAGGCTCATATTAGAGTGATGAGTGTCATCTAGTATTCCTTATGTAGATGCTTTTAGTTTAATATTTCATATATATCTATTTCTTGCTAGAAACCAAAAAATGTGTGGCATAGAAATCAAATGCAGAATTTTATAGGGTAAATAGTAATTTTTCAAAATCAGCCAAGGAAGTTATACTTGGATGTAGAGCGAATTCTTTAAAAAGCAATTTTTATGAAAATCATAGATGTTTGCCTTTTGTTGGGGGGCACTGATTGGGAAGGAATACAAGAGAACTTTCTGGAATAATAGAAATGTTCTTTATGCTGATAGGAATGTGTAGGTTATGTAATAGTAATAAATAAAATAATAAATTTTTAATTCAGTTTTACATATTAATTGACAGGCACCACTTTATTGAGATATGTAATGAAAAGTTTCGATTATACAAATTAAAGATGATGGCAAAGATGGAAAAATATCTTCATTCCAACAAATGTAGGCGACAGTATGTATTATTTATTTTGCATTAATTTAGAGGATGGGCTTATGGATGCTGAGTTTTATTTCTATTTTTTTCTGATTTATTTATTTTTTGTTGTGCTCTATTTTCTTTCACTTATTTATTTATCTATTTATTTGTTTATTATTTTACTGGGGGTATACTGTGACATTTACAAAAATTCTTACAATATATCATAGTTGAATTCACCCCCTCTATCACTCTCCTTTATCCCCACTCCCACCATTCCTGGAACAGTTTCAACAGGTCTCATTTTTCCATTTACATACATGAGTACATAATATTTCCACTACATTCACCCTCCTCTACCCTTTCCTTGTATCCTCCCCAATCTCAGTGACACCAACCCCCCCCAGACAGGACCTGTTTTGCCTTCCTGTTCTCTGTTTTTTCTAGCTATACAGGGTGTTTCACTTTGTCATTGTGACGTTTCCGTGTATATATGTATTATAACCCAAATTGGTTCATCCCCTCCTCTGTTTTTCTCCTTTCTACCCTAGTCTTCTTTTTATGGTGATTTTAACAGGTTTAAAAATTCTATATTCATTATTGTAGAGGGTGCTGATTTTTTTTAAAAAAATGTTTTGCTAAGCAATTGGAAGTATTTTGAAAGAATATTTTGTTGATGTTATGTGTGCTGAATTTTTAAGGCAACTTTGTGCATTAATAAACTGAAGTCAAATAACAAGGCTCCAGGTAAATCAACTAACAATGATTTTTATTTCATTTTAGCAGTGCATTTAGCATATATACATATATATTTGTCCTTTTATATTTAATTAAAATTTTTCTCTTGGACAGAATCATCTTGTCTCATTTTGAGGACAAAAAACTAAGAAAGGCGTCCTTGGGTATTATGGGAACTGAAAAATGTTGTGATAATTGCAGGTCCAGGTAAGGCTTTCTCCTTGATGGACATTCTAAACGTCTTTATTACTCTTTCTTCTCAAATCAAGTTGAATTTAAGTTTTACCAAATGATATGTATTTTAGTTTTTTAAAGTAATGAATATCTATTTAGAATAAAATGAACAGTTTCAAGCATTTTGGTTTATGCAGTAGATATACCATAAAGTGGTAGACCTAAATCTAAACAATAGTTTGTAAATATAAATGGAAATGGAAATGGTCAAAAATACCATATATACATACAGACACACACGAGAGAAAATGTGGCAGGGGCAGAAAGGAAGATGGAGGAAGAAAGAGAAAAGAGAAGAAAGAAGGGAGAGAGAAGAGGAAAGAGTGATGGGGGAAATTATTTTAAGAAATTGGCTTACACAGTTGTCAGGTCTTACAATTTGTGGGGTAAGCCAGTAGTCTGGAAACTCAGGCAAGCGTTGATATTGCAGAGTTGAAGCAGAGTTCTTCCTCCAGCAAACCCCAGTTTTTTCTGAAGCTTTCAACTGATTGGATTAGACTTAACCACATTATTGAGGATAATTTCCTTTACTTAAAGACAGCTGCCTATAAACACTAATCACATCTACAAACTGCTTTTGCTGCAACAACTAGATTAGCATTTGACCATCGAAGCACCACAGCCTAGCCAGTTTTATACATAAAATTAACCATCATAACCAGGAAGACATAATCCTAAGTATGTACTTAAAAGAATTTCTAGCACTAAAAGAGAAACAGAGGAATCTGTAATTACAGTTGGTGACTTCAATGTCTTTTCTTAGCAACCGACAGAAAAAAATCAGTAACAAGATAGAACAGGACTATCAGTAAACCGGATCTAATTATTTTTATAGAATGAGCCACCCAAGAGCAACAGAATGAATACACATTCTTTTAATCTGGTAGGTTAAGAAAATTTGGCCAACACAATAATAAGTGTGATTTTTGAGACATGTAGCATGTAGAACCCTATACCAATCAACTAGAGCAATGCATAACGAGTATTTTTACTCTGTGACCCTCATAGCAAATGATAATTATATGTATAGCACACTGGACCAAGTTGCAGATCCAGATTCTGCCTAGAACTCCAGATCTAAAGTAATTAACTTTTGTGCACACCTACAGTCTGTTTGTAGTGTACTGATTGGCAAACGCTGAATCTGTAGTTCTCGGCATACGTGGAGTATTTATAAATATTGACAATGTATTAGAGCAGCAGACTATGGCCTATTAGGCTGACAAACTATGGCCTGCAACCCATATCCACTTGCTGCTTGTTTTTTTGTAAATAAAATTATCTTGAAACACAGCTGTGCCCTTTTGTTTATAGCTGGAGTTAAGTAGTTGCCTACAAAGCTTATTATAGATCACAAAACCTGGCATATTTCCTATCTTGCCCATTAGGAAGTTTTCTGATTCCTGTATTAGAGTGTTGCTTGTCTCAACAATTTCTAGTTAATTGGTATCCAACTCACCATATTTTCTGACCAGAATGCAGTTGGTTTCCAAGTAAATGAGAGGATTAACAAAAAGTTCTTATGTATCTGGAAATTAAAAATAATTTTAGGCAGATGCAGTGGCTCATGCCTGTAAGCCCAGCTGCTTAAGAGGTGAAGATTAGAATAAGCAGGGTTTGAGGCCAGCCTAGGTTAAAAAAGTTAGTGAGATTCTATCATAACAAATAAAATGAATATGGTGGTACACAGAGATAATCCCAGCTACACAGGAGTCATAGTCAGGAGGATGATGGTTATAGGCCATCCTGAGCAGAAATGTGAGACCCTGTCTGAAAAATAACCTAAAACTAAAAGGGCTGGAGGCATGGCTCATATGGTAGAGCATTTGCCTAGCAAGTGCAAAGCTCTGAGTTCAAACCTCAGTACCACCAACAAAACAAAACACCCCATACCATCCCAACAGTTTTAGATAATAATGAAGAATTAAAATTTTTCATTTAATTTATAATTTTTAGAATTTAGTAATAATTACAATAATACATATATTTAAACTGGTAAAATGAAGTGTAGGTCATACTTTATGGGAATTAGAGCCTTTTAAGTACTCGGAAGAGAAAATGAAGTAAGGATTCCTACTTAGGAGGTTAGAACAGGAGAATAAACCTAAGCATAGTTTCTTGGGTTTTTTTTTCCCCTCCAAACACATTATTTTATCTGGAATATTGAATGTATTCTTATGCTTTACAAATACATTTATTATAAGGAAAATAATTGAATTAAGTAATTGATCTGTATTTGTTGATTGTCTCCAAGGATTCCTTTCTTCTCAACCTAAAGAATTCTCATTTGCATTAGTAATAGTTTCAAATCTGTCTGAAGGATGACTTAAGAATTTAACTGATGGGGGCAATGTAAATACTGTGCAATATAAGTCTCATTGGAATTGTCACTATGAATCCCCCCTATATAATTAATATATCCTAATAAAATTTAAAAAAATAATTTGCTAAAGGGAAGGTTTATAATCTTTGTGTGTCTTATAGGCACTAGAGTTTAAGCCAACAGTTTGTTGCATAGGAGATTTTATTTTAAGTTAAAACTGTTTTTTCCATCTCCAGCATAGCAAAAAGCAAACAAACCCCTGCCCATTTTCTTTTCCATTTTTTCTCTTTTTTTTGGGCAATAACCCTCCCTGCCTTTTTTCCCAACAAAACACATTAGTTCAGTATTTATATAATCAAGTGAAGCTACTCTAGCTGTGAATCTGCAGCTGTGCTTTGTTGAACTGTTTTTGTCTTCTGAGGTCTGGAGCACTCCTATGAAACTTGGCTTCTATCACACTAGAGGGAAACAATTAGCATAGCATCCGTGATGCTGCATTATGAATTATTTTTTATGTTTTAGATATTTCACATGCACTTGACTATAATAAACTTCATTTGCAGTTTCTGAAGCAGTTAGCACATGAGATACTTTTTATGTGGTTATTACACTAAATCTTTTTATTTCCAAAGGTTCATGCTTCCTCTTTGCTTTCTTAATGTGTTGTTATTTTCATTTAGATTGAATCATTGTTATCCCATTAGTGACTCAGATGATACATCACTGGACTTTGGTCCGCAGGCATTGCTGCTGCTATCTGCTGTGGATATCTTAAAGGAAAAGTTTGGAATTGGAGTTCCAATTTTATTTCTCCGAGGATCTGTAAGTGTATCTGTGAATAACCTTCATAGTTCTTTTACTCCTCTGACACTTTTCTTGAGAGGTTTGCTGTATTATGATTGTAGCTTTGGCTTTAGCGACTCTGAGTCAGTAGAAACTCAGTCATATTAAGATCAAGCTAAACGTGGCTTTCAATACTTTTGACAATACTCGTATGTATCATATCTGTTGCTGTTTTGATATTCCAAGCTGTTGTTCAGCTCTGCACCTAGAAACACTGGATTAGTTTATCACATGGAAGTGAGTAAATCCCTAGACTGGTCTTAGGATAATTAAGGAAAGTTAACTATCATTGTACCAAGGGACTGGTAGAGCAAAATTGTATCTTTGGGTGCCCAGAAACTGTTAAATTCTTTGTACTAAACTTGAGTTTCAGGGATTATTTTATAAATGTCTATGTTCAGTAACAATACATAGCAGCCCATTCTTTCTTTCCTCCAATTTCAGAAGTTAAAATTCTAAGATAGCTTTTGCTTTTCGTTTTTTCTACCTTACCATAGATTAGCCACTTCAATTCCAACTGCTATTGTTTTTTTGAGCTTTTAGTGTGCTAGCATTACACTAACGAATTGCATGTTGAATTGAAGTTGAATTTAGACCTGAACCTTACAGTCAAAGAGCTTTCCCTGTACTTTATTTGATTTTATTTCTGACTTAGAAGTCTGTAAAACAAATTTAAGTATTGTATGTTGATACAATTTAATAAATCAAGTGGAAGATCGGATATCTTGCAAATATGTCTATTAAAATGTACTTTAATATATTAAAAATTACTCTAAAATATACTTTAGAGATTAAATTTCTCATTTTGTATGTAAAAATTTAAAAACTCATTTAGGTATGAGTTTATTAAATATTCAAATGCTTCATGTGAATATTTTTTTGTTGTTGTTGTTGTTTGTATTTTTGTTATTCAGTTGTTTGGGCTCCTTATATATTTTGGGTATTTTCCCCTTGTCAGAAGAAAATATTTGTAAATATTTTCTCCCATTCTGTAGGTTATCTCTTTTTTTTTGTACAACTTTTATATTTATTGCATAATAACTTCATAAATGTTTTGAGTAATTTATACTGACAACAAATATAACAATTTCAACATGATCTCATCATTAGTCATTTAATTTTTCTTTTATATTAGTGATAATAAAATTATGTTTTTTCAAACTGTTTTAATTGCTAATGAAACTGGACATTTCTCATATTTCATTATTAATTTCTCATTGAATGAATTAAATTACATTCTTTGTTCATGTCTTTGAAAACTTAGTATTAAGCTTGTCACTTTGTGTGAACACTTTTTTTTTTTTCTTGCTTTATTATTCATATGTGCATACAAGGCTTGGGTCATTCCTCCCCCCCTGCCCCCACCCTCCCTTACCACCCACTCCGCCCCCTCCCTCTCCCCCCCCACCCCCTCAATACCCAGCATAAACTATTTTTATAAGTTTAAACTATTTTTATAAGTTTAAAAAGGAACTTGCTAGTTAATTGAAATATTTTAATGAAATATGTTAAATTTATATTAAAATTTCAAGTAGTGACTTATTAGATGCTGAATGAATTTAAAAATTTTGTTTTTAAATTGCAAGCTTGATTAGAAATTTAGTAGAAGTGTTGCCTAAGGAACTTTGTTTTTAGCTCCTATGTGTGATACTCTATTAAGAATTTAAATTTGTAAGGAACAGCTTGAATATAATTGAAATCTGTAAAAATTTCTTCTGTCTTTGTTGCTCTCAAAACCTGTGTATTCCATTTGAATGTATAATTTATTAAAATTATCCTTTTTTTACTGTGGTATAACCCAGCAGTATCCAGTATCAACAAATAAATTTAAGTAGGTTCCTACACAAACTTGAAGAGGTCGCAAGAGGGATCAGGTTTCACCTGTTATTTGAAAACCAAGTCAGACCGCTTAAACTGACAGTGTCTTCTGGGACTCCTCAAATTAACAAGTTTATTCTTTGTGAAATTTTATACTACCCTTGCTAGATAAAAGTGTAAAACTTTTTAAAAAGTGCCAGTTAATGAAAGTTTGTAGACACTAACTGTAGTGAATATAAGCAGTTCTCTACTCCCCCTCCATTTTCAGTGATCTTGATATCTACTGGGATATTGTTTAAAATTTATAAATGCAGTTCCTTTGAGAATTTTGCAAATTGTTTTCCTTAACAAATTTAGGACAGATTAATACCTTATAGGAAATTTTGATATGTAAAATGTGTATTAAACTGAGAACTATTGGGTTTTTTTTAAAAAGATACTTATGTAAAAGAAACATAGTTTCAGCAGTTATTGATTCTGTCCTCTTACATAAAGTTTTTCTAAAAAGTATGAATAGTTATACAGCTTATCTATAAATTTGGTTTTTTTTTCCCCCACCAAACATGTCTTCAACCTCTCTAAAATAGAATCTCTATTTGTTTATTCACATGTGCATACATTGGGTCATTTCACCCCCCTCCCCCCTCTACCCCCTCCCTTCCTCACTTCCAGGCAGAACCTGTTCTGCCCTTATCTCTAATTTTGTTGAAGAAAAGACATAAGCATAATAAGGAAGACAAAGCATTTTTGCTAGTTGCGTTAAGGATAGCTATACAGAATATTCCTAGCATTGCTTTCATGTATACATGTATTACAGCCCATGTTGATTGATTTGTAACTGATCTTTACACTGGTTCCTGATCCCCTTCTTATGTTAACCTTTGTTGCTTTAAGGTTTCTGTATTAGTTCCTCTGGAGTGGGGACATCAAACACTTTCATGTTTTGGGTTTTCTACTTATTCCTGTATCTCCCGTATGCTATCTATAAATTTGTGAATGGAATTCAAAATTTTACTTTAAAGCACAAGTTTGATTAGTAATAATTTTGGAACTTTGTTTTAAATGACTTAACAGCTCACCATGTAAAAATCTTTAATCACCCTGTGTGAATATGTGATAAGATACTCAGTGACTTTAATTTAATAGATTGCAAAATAGTCATTAATTTGCATAACCGAGACTAAGTGAAACATCTTCCCAAACACATGTCAAAGTACTAAACTTTATCATAGCCCCAGCATCAACTATCAATTTTGAGAAAGGATGATTTTGTTACTCAAACTGGTGAGGCTCCAGAGAGCTTTACAAAAGGAAGGTGGCCTCTATCCTGGTCCTTGGGTGCTGTATTCAAGACTGTTGGTGCAGAGCAGAATTTTAGGACACATCAAAGTAGAGACTAAGAAAACTTATTAGTAAAGCAAAGGAAAGGATAGTGCACAATCAGCTATGGGTGCAGGGACACCTAAGAAGGAGGTACTGAGCGCTCTAACATGAAGGGTATTTATGGTGAAAAAGTGGGCTGGGGGTTTGGTTTAAATTTGCCTTAGGATAAGTGTATCTCTTTGTTCTGGACACCTGATGTACATTTTATCATTCTTGCTCTTATACTGTTTTGACATTATCATTTGTACCCAGAGATACTTGTCTGATCTGTTCACTAAATTTTGAGTCATTGTGACATGTTCTTCTTGGTCGCCCCTTTAAACAAAGGATGGGTTTCAGATGCTCCTTTCAAGACAGTGTCCTTTCTTAAGATAATTTTTTTTTCTTTACAAACCTTTTGTGATCACAGTTGTTTGTTTGTTTATTTATTCATTCATTTTCAGATAGGGTCTTGCTATGTAACCCAGGTTGGCCTCCAATTTGTGACCTCTTGCCTTAATCTCCCGAGTGCTGAAACATATACCACCATACCTGACTATAATTGTTGGTAGTTTTAATCACCCTCTAAAATTTTCAAAGTACCTAACAGGAGAGGGCTTTCTATTTAATTTTTTTGGGCAAGCTGTTTCATTTGATTGAAATATATTCCTAGAGATAATTATTACTACTTTATCCTTTGATGTTATTTTGCGCATAGAACTAATAGCTCAAAATGACTTTCTGAAGTGGCAGTTATGAGCTTCTTGTAGGAACTAGGAAACAGGCAAAAATGAAGTAAAGAAAAAAGAAAAGTATTTAGCAAAAGCTATGGGCTTGTTTTGTCCTCTAAGAACTTAGGACTTTAAACCTTTGTGAGTTGAAGTTTAAAGCTATTTTTCCAGTAGTTATTATATTTTTTTGTATAAGGCATATTATATTTTCTAGTGGATAAAGAACTGAATTAGATCAGAGTCACCATCTACTATAGAAGGTGTTACTTGGGCAGAAATAAATATTATGTATTATAGAAAGAGATAAAGGACATACTAGTAGGTATGAACTGTTATTGAAATGCAAGCGTGCTTAGGGGAATTAGAGAAGTTTGTGATGGCATTGCTGGAGCTTTCTATTTTGTGGGGGCTACTGTAGATTTTGGAAAGGTATAGTCAATTTGGACATTCAGAGATGGAATAAGGGAAGAAGGATAGGAGAAACTGTCATTCCCAGTAGAAAGAATTACTATAAGAAACATTTTGATTCTTAAAGAAGTTAATTTGGAGAAAAAACAAGGTTTTTTTCCCCCCTCCTCTTATCAGATACTGGTACAAAGATTTTGCTTTTTATCAGAAATCTATACTTTGGGTGGTGTATTCTAGCCAGTTAGTTTTCTTTATTCTTGACCTTGCTCATTAAATTTGTAGACCTCTGCAGTCCATGATATATCAGTTTTGTTGACCCTTGTTTTTCCAACCTGATTTTTAAAGGAAAACACTAAGTTGAAAATTTCCCTTTTTGAGTTTATGTCCTATAGAACTATAGGCTCTTGGGGCTAAAAGAGGCAGAAAGACTCTTCAGCCCTATTACCTTTCTTTACTGTAATTGAAACTGAGGTAAAATGAAAGTTAAATGACCTGGTGTAGGTCCTACTTGTTACTTTGTGTCAGAATCAATACTAGTGAGCAGCTTTTCTGACTCTTAGCCTAGTGCCTTTTTCTGTTTATTCTGCCGTTATCTGTAGTTTTAAATTTGTATTTTTAAAGCAAATAATCTAGAGCTTATAGAATGAAGGTTTGTGGTTGGTTGATAAGTGAGGTGTGTATAAAGTTGTGTCTTCCATAAAAGCCAATATCTAAATCGCTGTATTCTCTCTACAGCTCCACAGCGTCTCTTATCATCCTAGGAGTTTTGCTCCACTGGTGGATAACCTAGAAAGTTAAGTTAACTGGCACACTTACACAGTTAATAGAGGATCATTTGCTCAGAGTGAGAGATAATTGAACATTTATTGAAAATCCTTGGAGTATTCTGTTTTAATTCTGTTCTTTTTTAAAATGTTGCTTGGTTCAATTTGTGTTTCTAGTTGAAAGGGAATATGATTCCTTTAAAGCAAAGATGCACTGTATAAAAGAGCAAAGATATTTCATTTTCTGCATGGTGATTACCATGGTAACAAGGTAATGTAAATTTTATACAGTATTGCAATGATTACAAAGAGACAGTTACCTCTAGTAATTAGAAAAAGCCTCATTGCCTCATACAAGTAAGTGTGCACATTCACTTCAGGTTTTTTCTGCTTAGGAATGGAAAAGCGAGGAGAGTGATTTTTAGTTTCTAGAGTGCAGATAAGTGCTAGTTGGACAACTTAATACCTTTAGTGTTATTAGTTTCCAAGCAAGAGAATCTCCTACTGCAAAGGTAAGCGTCCAGCAGATATATAGGACTATTAGCAAGTGTTCCAGGGAAAACTGACTAAATACTGTGAGGTTAAGAAATTCAGATTGAGTCAAAGAACCAGCCGTTAACTAGTAAACACAAAGTTAATATTACTAAGCCAGGCTTTGTCCCAGTTACTCAATCTTCACAATAGCCCCCAAGAGATAGAAACTGTTAAAATACTTGAATTATATGTCAGGTGAGGCAGTGGCAGAGCTATGACTTGAACCTAGGTAAAGGAGCTCAAAAGCCTGTATATATATACACATATATGTGTGTATATATATATATATATATGTATATAAAATATTATATATATATTATATTATATTATATATATAATATATATATATGTAGTTTTGTTTGTGTGTGTGTATGCAGACACACAATCCCAATAAAGTGTTAAGCAGTTGTCTGGGGGCCTGTGTTCTAATCCTAGTGATAGTGCAAATTCATAGTGGAACATTAGGCTATTATCAACATCTTTGACTTATTATTTGTTAGCAATATGAGTTAAAAATGACTATGAAACCACTACATCTGTCCTTCTAGCCTGGAAATTCTGTGATTTAAAAAAAATTTTCATTAGGATATGTTCGTTGTATGGGAGGATTCATTGTGCCAGTTCAAAATAAGCTTATACTGTACATTGGTTAGATTGCCCCCACCATCTCTTCCCCTCGATCCCCTCCCTGCCCCACGGCAAGATATTTCTTTGTTCTATTTCATATAAGTATATGAAATCCATCAACCATACTCCCTCACCTTAATCTCCTTCTTTCACCCTCCCTCCCTCGCAAATACCCCCCCACACCTATTTTACAGTCCCGTCTTTCATTATTAGGATTTTAAGTTGATGTTCAAAGGGGCTTCTCAGTGTATGCCTGCTATGGGTATACTTTACTTTGGACCGTTCAACCCCTTCCATTATTCTCCCTTACCCTTTAACCTCCCATCCCCCCTTTTTAATAGCTTTCAATATACATCCTTATATCCTCTACCTTCACAGATGTTAGTTTTATTATATTGTTGATGTTCTATCATTCTTTTCCTTTCCCTCCTTCCCTGAGTTCCATTAGAGTAGTTCCACTGTTACAGCCATATTCTACTTATAAGTTTGTATATGACCATGTTTGTTTTATGTATATATTTATCTTTTTGATCTACCACATATGAGAGAAAACATGCAGCCTTTGTCTTTCTGAACCTGGCTTACTTCACTTAACATGATGTCCTCCAGTTGTATCCATTTACCTTCAAATCCCATGGTGTCATTCTTCTATGGCTGAATAAAACTCCATTGTATGTACATACATTTTCTTGATCCACTCATCAGTTGTAGGGCATCTGGGTTGTTTTCCATAGCTTGGCTATTGTGAACAGTGTTGCAATAAAAATCAGTGTGCCTGATTTACATTCCTTTGGATGCCTAGGAATGATATCTCTGGATCATATGGCAGTTCTATCTTTAGCTTTTTGAGGACTCTCCATACTGCTTTCCATAATGGTTGTACTAATTTGCATTCCCACCCACAGTATATAAGGGTTCCATTTTGTTTAATCCTGGCCACATTTGTTGTTGTTTTTTACCTTTCAAGATAGCCATTCTAACTTGGGTGAGATGAAATCTTAGTGTAGTTTTGATGTGCATTTCTTTTATAGTCAGAGAAGTGTTTTTGAGGGGAGGGTACTGGGGTCTGAACTCAGGGCCTTGTACTTGCTATGCAGGTGCTCTACCACTTGGGCCCCACCCTCACTCTTCTTGCTTTAATTATTTTTTTAATAGAATCTTGAATTTATGCTTAGGCCCACCTGGACTGATCCTTATATTTACACTTCTCGTGTAGTTGGCGTGACAAGCACACACACCACCACACCCACCCTTTATTGGTTGAGATGGGGCCTTGTGAACTTTTTGCCCAGGCTGACCTCGAACCACCCAATCTCTCCTTCCCCAGAAGCTAGGATTACAGGGATGAGCCACTGCACCTGGCTTAAATTTATTTTTTTACATAAAATTTATTGTGTAATACTTGTACTTAAGGTATACATCATGGTGTTATAAAGTACCTGTGTAGTAAAATGGTTACCATAATGAAGCAAAGCAACATGTACATCATCTCACAATTGCTCACTTTTGTTTGTTTGGTGGCAATAACAGGTAAAAGGTGTTCATTTAGCAGGTATCCCAGTACACTATAGTTTTATTAACTTTGGTCTTGGTTCATACTAATATATGTTTGATTTTAAACTTTCTATTCAAATCTACTGCAATGAAGATTAGCATAGGTTAATAAGGAAAAAGGTGCCATGTTGTACCTGTATGTTTGTTTCTTCAAATCTTGTTCTAATAACATTTTTTGTAACTATAATCATCATGATACTAAAATTCGTTGCTTAGTTAACTTAAGATTTCATAGAGAGCAGATTACAAACTGTGTTAACTACTCCTGTTGGAAATCTACATTTTCAACATAGTTTCCAGGCATTGCTGCCTGTGTTTTTGATGGGAACCTATCGTATGTGACCCAGTTTCATCCTAGCTCCCATTTCATGAAGGATCAGCCCTATTTAGGCTGTTTTGGAAATCTGTGCTTAGAAATAGTAGTAAATGTCATGTGCATTAATGTATATCTATGATGTGATTTATCTTTGTTTTCAGGTAGGGAAAGAGCTTGGGAAGATCTTTAAATATTAAATCAATTTGTCTTTGAATTTCAGTATGTCCTTCTTGTTCTATGTGTTTTAGAATGCTTATATTTGCATTTTTAGTTTTCCAAAATGATAAACCTATGACCATACTGTTCTATCAATTGAATAAAACAAGTGCATTCTTATAGAGTCTTATAGTTGATCCCTGGATTTTTAAGGAAATTAATTATTAAACCTGAATTAGGGTACAGATGAATATTAAACTTGCCTTGGGGTATAGATGAATTTAGATTTCACTTTATCCTGAAGTTTTTAGAATGCAGTAATCTCTTGACATATTCAAGGGATGAATGTTTTTGAAATATGTATATTACCTAAAATACATCAGTTATATTAGAAAACTTATGATCATTCTAGCTAATTTAAACAGAAAGGGCATTAAATGACATATTATTACTGACACGATTGTATTGCAAAATAGTACAGTAAGGAAGCAGTTGCCTCTTTGATGATAAAGAAGATATCTGTCAACTGGGGAAGCTGCTGCTACATCTGACCCCCTGCTGCACAGAGTAGGGAGCTGTAACAACGTCTGCTTGTTCTGAGACCCACACTGTGTTTGTTATAATCTCATCAATTAAAAAGGATATCTCTTTGTACTTAACAAAGCTAATAATTTTTGCTGTGTTCTTTGCTAACTTTCATAAAACACAAACCCTCCATATTCATGCATGTTTGTAAAAATATTAGAGGAGAAAACTTGCCTCACATCCTGTTTGTGCCTGTCATGCAAATAGGCATCTAATTAGCAGAACTTGAATCACATCCAGAATCCTCACTGAAAGGGAGTTTGAGAAATAGTGTTTGTGACTTTCCAAACTGTGCAGCAGAAGTTGCAGTGGATTGAAGTTAAGAGTGGCCCTTGAATTACAGTTCACCATGATCACCCCAAGTACATTAGACAGGAGTAATTTTCCATGAAGCCTCTATTCATGTACTACACATGGTAGTATATATGTAGATTGAGTGAAAGAGGAAGAGGATGAAGTGAAAGGTACAGTACTTTATCGAGACTAGGTGGGCAGAGTACTCTCCATTACGAGAGAATTGCACATGGAAAACCAACTTTCCTAATGGTTCTAGAACTTGGTGGCTATGAAGAGTCTCATAGGAATTCTCCCTTCACTTAGGAAAGCTACCTTTAAACACCCACTGTTTCATATGTACCTTTTTTTCCTGGCATGGCTGTGAAGCAGCTAAATCATAAATGATTTAGTAAACTTTTAATGCATTATGAACAAAGACAATAAAAACAACCAGGTAGTGGAGGCTGTGAATTGTTACATGACTATTGGATCACTCGTGGTTCTAGACTTGAGCTATAGGTTATAATCACTTTTTAACGGTGTTAATCAAAGGTCTAAATTGCAAAGATTAAATATTCCAAACACATATCCAACTTTACATTGGGAAATGCATCCAAATTATATGTGAGTGTTTCTGTACTGTTTACTTCTGATGTCGTTCGTATTTATTTGTGAGTTGAGTATTCACAAACAAGAAGGATGGGCGTAAACTTTCTGTCAGTTTTTAAAGCTGAAATTTATTGATAAATAGATGGGTTTGTGTTTTACCTAGCCTGTTTTAATTGAATAAGCATTTTTAGAGGTTCATTAATTTTTATTTTCAATTTTAGAGTTCTCAGCGTCTTGCAGACAAATATCGCCATCACAAGTTTTTTGGCACTGGCAAGGATCAAACAGAGAGTTGGTGGAAGGCCTTTTCCCGTCATCTCATTACTGAAGGATTTTTGGTAGAAGTTCCTGGGGATAACAAATTTGTAAAGATTTGCACCCTTACCAAAAAGGTAAGAATTGTAGAAATCTACCTGTTTGGTTTAGTTTTTTTAACTGTGCATTAAGGTTATTCTTATTTTCAATAGGGTAGAAATTGGCTTGATAAATCCAATACAGAATCTCCTCAGAGACTTATCCTTCAAGCTAATGAACAGTTGTGTCCAAGGAAGTTTCTTCTGCCAAGGTTTGTTTTTTTGTTTTTTTTTTTTCTGTTAACTTCTGGTTTTTTTGTTGCTGTTAAGTTATTCATATTATACCAATTTATAGATGCCACAAAGATAAAATTAGTTGCCTGTTTGTTTTTGCATACTTTAGTCGGTTTGGGGAAAGGAAATGATGGGTAAAAGATAACACTTTGATAATTGATGGGAAGTCGCTGACTGTAATACTTAGAAAGCTTTTTTCACATTAGGGGTTGAGATGAGTATTGTATTCATACACCATGTCTCTTTCTTACATGTGAAGGCGGAAAGGTAATACACTGAATGCCTCCTTTTTCATACCTTTGCATGTTGTCAATCATGTATCAGTTCTTTCTTTCAAACTTCTTTCTTTTCTGGGAAAAAAAATCAGTTTTAAAAACTGTCAGTTCTTAAAGGATTATAATCTTACTTTACTTTTCTAGAGGGGATATGATTATTCATGGATTGGAAACTACATTTTGACATTGGAGATAATTTAATTTTAATTTTTCAGTTCGAAAACTGTATCTGCAGGCATTCAACAGCATTCCTCTAATCAAATACCAATTGAATTAACTGCAGTGAAGAAGGTTGGTTTTGAAAAGATGGTCATTATTTATTTCATTCTTCATTGATGCACTTCCTATTTTAAAATATTTTATTTTAATTCCCCTCCAATTAAAAAATCATAAATTGGAAAGAAGTGGTATGAATAGAATAATAAAACATGTGATACACAATTTCTGAAGCTAGTAGACAAATTGTGTAAGATAAGTAATTTATTTTGATTCTTTTAAGCCTATTTTGTTACTCATTTGGCTAGGAACTTTTTTTCATTATTTAGAAAATTCTTTTATTAATTTCTGTAATCAAACCCATGTAGATAAGTCCTTACTTATTTAATTCAGTGCGTTACCTCTGTACAAATGGAAAAAAATGAAGTTTTAAATATAATATTTATAGTTGATTGAAAAATAAGCCTGATTCCTAAATATTCTCATTAAAGCTGTACACACACACACACACACACACACACACACACACATGCATGCATACATGCATACATACATATATACACATTCTTTGTTAGGATCTTAGGTAACTGTTATAGGATTAGTTTTTACCCATAGGCAGACTTTAGCCAATTAGAACATGGAAAATGGAGAATTAAAATTTCTGTTGTGCTTTTTCTGCTTTATTAAAGTATGCAGAGTTATAAGTCAGTTATATAATTTGGGCTCTTACTGTGTCCAAGAATATTCTTTTGATCATTTATATTTATAGTTTTGGGGGGAATGGGACATTGGGTTATATTTCTAACAGTCTTTAGAATCTAAGAGTTGATAATTCACGACCTTATTTTCAGTTGATTTATTTGATGACCTTGTTAGTCAGAAGAAAAATTGCTGTTGTAAGATCTTGTATCCTATTTCTTCACATTTAAATAGTTTTTGAAACTTTTTTTTTAATGGACCTTTATATGTTGGAAAGCAATCTAACTTGGAGAAGATGTATTTTTACAAAGCACTTGAGAAAATTTCTTCTGGAAATAACATTTCTAATAAAAGGTACAGAGCTTCCGATTTTTATTTTCTGTATTTTTTTACATTATTAGTTTTCTCTGTTTTTCTTTCTTAAAGACCTATCAGATGTTGGGCTGTTTGATTGACAAAACTTTAAGGTTAAATCACAGTCTTCCAGGACTGTAATCATTAAAGCAGACCCATATAGCAATTGTTTTAGTATTAATTTATTATCTAGCACTTTTGGGTATTACTGTTTGCCATGTTCTATGTCAAATGCTCAGCACTTCATATGTAAAAGTTTCACTAGATTCTTACAGCAACCTATGAGTTAGCTACTATTATTTATCTCTGTTCTATAGTGTAAGATACCCAGGGTTAGGATGGTGACTTAAGTTGTTCACAAGTGGATAGCTAATGGCAGAACTGGCTTTCAGATCTATGTTTGTATGAAATACATAGTCCACTCATTTTCAAAAAAAAGGGGAGACACTATCTGAAAATTAGCTAAAGCAAAAAGGGCTAGAGGTGTGGCTTGAGTAGATAGAGCCCTTGCCTAGCAAGGATGAGTCCCTAGTTCAAATCCAGTGCCACAAGAAGCAACTACCACCACCACCTCCCATACATTTACTCTGTTTTTACTAGCCTGCTTCTTAGTTCCAGGCACCAATTTAGGCATTGGGGTTCAGTGGGGAATATTAGAGCCATAGTCACTGGCCTTGAAAGACTTAGTACTCAAGTGGGTTCTACAGGGAAGGGAACATAAAACTACAAGCCAGGTTATAATATTTTGGAAGCAATAGAGGCTTAAGCAGGGCTTTCCAGAAGAAATGATAGTTAAGCCTTAAGTAGAAGTTAGCTAACTGATGTGAGGGGAATTATTCTAAGTCATAATTCATCCATATACAATAAACTGAAAGCAAGAGGAGGTATGACAGGATTGAGGAACTCAACAGGATGGCTAGAGATTACCCTCCTTGATAGCAATCCAGGATGTAGTAAACTTGAACCCTAGAGAACATGTCCGGAATAACCAGTTTCTTCCAAGCACACAACTTGACCACAAAAGCATTTGGGCGCTAAGGAAGTATTTTCAGAAGAGTGACAGTATCAGAATTCTAATTTAGACTTTAAAGAATCAGATTGGAAATTGGGAGTGGTAGTTGTATGGGGTTTTGAACTCAGGGCCTCTGGCCTGCTAGGCAATGCTATACCTTTTTTTTTTTTTTTGCTTCTAGTTCTTTTTCAGATAGAGTCTCAATCTTTTTGGTCTGGAGCCAGCCTTGGATTATGATTACTTTCCAAGTGTTGAGATTATAGACGTGAGGCACCATGTAAATATTTTAAGCATTGAGGGCTAAAGCCTCTCCTAACTGCTTAACTTTGGTGTTGTAATCTCAAAATAGCCATAGATAATATGTAATAGAGTGAATTTAGCTGTATTCCAACAAAATTTTATTTATGGACACTGAAATTTGAATCTCATGTAGTTGAACATGCCATTAAATATTCTTCTTTGATTTTGAAGAAAGTTATGAATGATTTTGGTAAATTCTTTGCTAATGTTCCCTAACAACCAAAAATCAATAATTTCACAGCAGAATCATAGATTGTATCTCTGTTGGTTAAAAGACTGTTATCTTCAATTTGGATATGGAGTATTTTCTGTCAAAAATTGCAGTCTTAACTTTATTATCATGGATGTATTTGATTCAAATGCTTAAAGTCTGGACTGTTGTCATTTAAGTAACAAATGATCTTACTGTAAAGAATAAATGTTAACAATGACTTGAAAGATAGTTTCATTTTAGAGGCAAAATAAAAAGTAAAGTAGTAGAAAGCAAATCTTTCATTATTACTTTGTTTTAAATATTTAGTGTCATGATTCAGTCACCAAGAGAATCTTACAGTTTCTCAGAACACGCTATTTCATCCCAAGAGCAAGAGGCTCAGGTAAGCCTTTTGTAAAACGGTAATTAGTTTATGAAAAGGTAGTTAGTATTCTTTAAATGCTCAAAATTCTGTTGCCAGTATTTCAAAAATTATTCTTTAGCTACGAATCTGAGATAGAGTTAAGTTTATTTTCATTTTAAAGGAAAATGTAATATCTGAAGCTCTAAAAATAAATACTGAAATTTTCGAAGTACAGTTTAAAAGTGTTGATTTGTTTGTTTGGTTTTTTTTCCAGACTGTGTTATATGGGAAATTGGTAGAAGCTAGGCAGAAACATGCAAGTAAAATGGATATTCCTCCAGCTGTTCTGGCAACAAATAGGATACTGGTGGATATGGCCAAAATGAGGTAAACTTTTATATTCTGACATGATGGATTTGTAAAGTGTATCATTAAGTAACAACAGTGGTCATGGCTTCAACTCTCATGTCTGTGGGGTGACTTCCAACAAACCTGTGCGGCCATGCTGATCTTGGCTTAGGTTTCGGATCACATTTCTACTAGATGAGTGAAACCAGCTGTTTTCAGCAGTCAGGTTCAGTATATATAAAACCAAACCATTATCCATTCACATATACATGAATTTCATCCACATGCCAAACCTTTGCTCTCTGTATTCCTCATTTTATTTAGTTACACTACCATGTTTCTAATCACACGTGTTTAAACCTGTTACTATTTTCACTCCTTTAACATATATCTCCTTCTTCCTTATTTAAATAGTTTTCACTTAAATGCTTTTGTGTATATCTATTTATTGCCTTTCTGCCTCCTCTTAATGATACCCTGTTAGTTTAGCTTGTTTACCCTTCACCTGTTGCAGAAGCCTCTAACTGATCACTCTTCAGTCTCTCTTGTTTCATCTGATATTAGAGAAATTAATCTTCCTTTATCATGTTAAACTTCTATTCAAATGGTTTCTCATCATCTCAACTTCTTTAGCTTAGAATTCAAATCTGTCCATTTCCAAAGAATAGGTATTAGGTAATTGTGTTTGTCTTTGTGCTTCTTTTATTGTTTCTGGGATTTCTTTTTTCCTCCTCTGGTATTAAGGGTTGAACCCATGGTCTCACCCATGTTAGGGAAGTGCTCTACCACTTGACTTGAGTAATCTACCTCCCCTAAGCCCTGCCTCCCCCACAGCCCCTTAATTTTCCCCCTGTGGTACTAGTTTGAGCTCAGGGCCTGAAGCTTGCTAGGCAGGTGCTCTATACTTGAGCTACACCCCCAGTCCTTTTTATGCGTCAGTTAATTTTCAGATAGGGTCTCAGTTTTGCCCAGGGCCAGCTTGTATGGTGATTCCCTTATCTATGCTTCCTGCATAGTTGGGATTACAGGCATGTACCTCCATACCTGGCTTATTTCTGTTTCCAAATGTCATTCAATAGATGTTTCTTTAGTGCAGGATATCATAATGATATTACACAGTGCTTATATCTGTCAATAATTGTTTTGTTAAAAAATAAGCATTCTAAGACCACACTTAAATATTTTTCAGAGAAGATAATTAAGGAAAAAAACTCATTAGATTGGCTGAGTTTTAGAAAGGAAATGTCATACAGTCTTAGGTATTTGACACAATATAAAGTAAGGAGCTGCATCATTCAGTAGACCACTGTTTAAGTATTAAAAAACCAGCATACAGTTTGCATCATAATAAAATCATTAAAAAATTTAAACACACTGGTAGCCCAAGCTACTAGTGAATGAGACTTTCTTCTGAGAGTTTGTTAGACTCTCTCTTAGTAGTCTTCAGAGCTTCAGAGTTTCCATTTTAATTTCTATAAGTAATAATAATATCCGCAATAGAGTAGATGTAAGATGTTAGCCTGCTCCTTTCTTATAATGGCCTATTTACCAATTAAAATAGGTGCTGTGTTTTTGTGATGATGGAGGTGGTTTTATTTATTGATTGTTAAAATAGCAAATATTTAAGTAGAGAAAAGCAAAGAAATTATAAGACATGACTGCTTATATAGTACATTGTTTTCGATTGTGGGAAAATATACATTTACTGAATACAGTATGAAGCTGATTATCACCTGTGTTGCTGGAGTGATAGTGCCTCAGTGTTTTCTTGATCTCTCTCTCTCTTTTTTTAATGACAGACCAACTACTGTTGAAAATGTAAAACAGATCGATGGTGTTTCTGAAGGCAAAGCTACTATGTTGGCCCCACTGTTAGAAGTCGTCAATCATTTCTGCCAAGTAAATAATCTTCAGGTAAAATACTGTGGTTTGTAGAAGTTCTTGGAGAATAACCTTTTTTTTTTTTGACTGTTGTAAAAAGCAACATTTTCCCCTTTATTTGCATTTTCTTACCAGACACTTAGAAAATGAATTCAGATTGTTTTTACAGTAGATGTAAAAAAATTTTTAAAAAGTACTAGTTATCTACTTTTTGTTGTTGTTATTTGGGAGGTTTTTTTCAGAGATAGTCTTCACTAAGTATCCAAAGCTGGCCTTGAACTCTCCATTTTCCTGTGTCACCCTCCCCAGAGCTGGGATTACAGGGATGTGCCACCATGCTTTTTTTTTTTAATCTACTTTTGAAGATGATAAGAAGTTGTAAAAAACAGCTAACAGCTATTTCATTATGAAGTTTTAATTTTAAATTCAAATTAGTGTCATACTTTTGGTTGATAAATTCTAACTTACTCTCAAATGTGGTAGTTAGAAATTAAAGCCACACTACTATCTTTGCTGTTAGTTGATAAGGAACTCAGCCATTGTGTCTTTCTTATTGATTTGCATATTCCCTAATTACCTTCACCTTCCAGTAGTGCTGCCTTTCGATATTAAGTAGATTTCATTTTATTCTCTTTAGTTTTCATAGTGTTTTCTTCATATCCCTTCATTATTTCTTATTGTACTATAAACGACTATTTCCACAAGGGTTGTTCTTTAAAAATCCACATGTATACCACAAAATATACTTCAGCCCAAAAGGTGAGACCCCTTGAGGTTGTAGAAAGACTTCTGGACTCTGGAGTAATGGAATCTGGATTTCAAGTCTTTCATAGTTTATCTTGTCAACTGGAACATGTTCCTTAACTTCTCCTGGTCTCCATTTCCTCACCTACTCAGTGGAAATTATGCTTACTTCCCCATACAAGGAAAAGGCTGGAAGAGTTCAAACCACCCAAGGCAGTAGGTAGGGACTGTCTTCCTTTGTAAGCTTTGGGCATGCATAGTTGGGTCCTGCTTTAGGAAAATCATTCTCCAACTCTAGGTAGAAAACTTCTCTGTTTTTTGTATGTAGCATTTCCTTTTTTGGAATAGAATGTCTTTAGCAACTTTAAATTTTCTTTTTCATATTTTTATTCAAGAGTTCTTGTGAAAATTCCTTACATTTCCTATTAGGTATTTTGAAAATGAAATTATAGTGTCTTAATGATTTGATGAAGAATATCCTATTTGTGATAATTGAATAAGCTTTCTCTTTGGGCACTTGATGGTCATATCTTATTTCATGAATTAGTGGTATTATTTAATAATGAATGAGTTATTCCACCCAACTCCCCTTCAAATGAGGAAACTAAAGTATGATAAAAAGGTAAATGCCCCAAAGGGTAGAAATAAAAAGGCTTTCTGAACCTTCTGTACTGAGAAAATGACTGCTCTGTTTCTATAGTTAGGTATTATGCCTGGATTATTCTGCAGATTGAAGCCATTTATTAAAGAAATAAACCACCATTCATTTTTATTAAGCCAGTTTGTTATTTACTACTTTTAATTAGCTTTTAATATATTTGCTTCAGATTTTAAAATAGATCTTGAATATTACCATAATACAAATCTGAAGTTATAAATAGGAGTTAGGCATAGTGGTACATAGTTCCAAATACTCGGGTGGCTAAGGCAGGAGGATCCTTGAGCCCATGAGTTTAAGACTTACCTTGGGTAACACTGTGAGATCCCATCTCTAAATAAATAAATAAATATTGAAAAGTAATATTATAATTATGACATGGGTATTAAACCCATTAAGATGTCCTCTTTTTTTTGTTTTCTACCCTCCCTTCTTATAAGTTACACTGGCAAATCCATAAAAGTTTTAAGATTTCTAGGATAAAATGATATTGAAACAGGTTAAGAGGTAGAGAAAACAGGCAATTAGGGCACGGCCCTTGGTGATAAATCAAAACCTACAAGACATTTGTGTTCCAAGGTGTCTGGAAAACAACAGGCATGAGAAGCCCCAGGTTTCTGTGAGAAAGCAACAGGTATGAAGATTCCTGAGGTCTCTGTGGCAAATAATAGTCATGGAGACCCCCCTCCCCAAGGGTCTCTGGGAGAAAGCAATAGGCATGGAGGCTCCCACAGTTTCTGTTGGAAAAGTAATAGGCATGTTGACTACATGACACATGACTCACTCATTTAGAGGAATGTGGCCAAAACTCTTCAGGAAATCCTAGCCATTGTCTGACACATGATCAGAAACCTGATAGGACAAGAAACATAAATAAAGCATGCACATGCCTGGTTGACCCAAGAAGGCAATCTGAATGGTTGCCAGGATGTCTTTGTCTGAAATTTTTTTCTTGCAACAGTATAAGCCACTAGACAAAGACCTGCTAGGGGGTGACCCTCTCCAACCCTTTCTTGGGACCCCTCCCAGCTGTGGGAGCTCTGCTCTTTGCTTTCTTTCCTCAATAAACTTTCCCACTTTGCTCACTGTTGTCCATCATTTCATTCTTTGAAATTGCAAGACAAAGACCCCAGGCTCAGACAGAGAAAGTCCATTAGTATATCATCTGTAAATGTGCAACTGAAGAATTTACAAATATCCAAGACACTCAGAAAAATAATCCAAAGTTTTTATCTCAGTAACATTGGGTTAGAATGGGATTGTAGTAAGCAAAAGTCTAATCAAATTATAATCTATGTTGTTAAAAGTATTTGTGAACACAGTGGTCATGGGAACATAGGAAAGGCATAAAGCCTACTCAAGCACTTTATGGATCTGAAGACATTTTGGCTAACAGGTTTTGAACATTATAGTTTAATTGGCAAGACTCACCTACCTTTGTTACTAAGAGACTAAGAAGACATTGTCAGAAGTTCCTGCTATGTTCTAAGCTAAGCAACTTTCAGGTAGGCTGGCTTTCCATATAGCTTTTCTTTAGGACAGATTGCAGTGGTTGAGCAAAGTGAAACCTTTCAGTGATAAATTAATGAATTTGCTTTCCAAGTTATATACTTATATTTATATAAACACACATATACATTAAAGCAAGTTGAGAGATGAATAATGCAGTTACTCCCCAACACACAACTATTCTGTAACAAGACACATCAGATTTTTCAGAATGCAAGGATGTGTTCTGAAACCCCAGCCTAGAATAAGAAAATGCCAGTCTGGGAACCAATTGGAGCAGCCAGCTCAGTTTCCCTAGAAAGTACTGTTCTGTCTTGATGCATGCTTTCTAAAAACTGCACAAAGCAGTTATCCTGAAGCTTTAAAATAGAAATAGAAACATATGGCAACTGGCCCTGTTTTATTTAAATTTATATGCCCAGAACACCAAATCCCTACCCTTAGGGTTATTTGGTTGAAATTCTCTTTTGTGTTCATGTGGGAATATAGCTGTGAGATTCTGTATGCAAAATGAAATCCCAAAAAGGTTTGGAAAACACATTTTATTTCCTTGGGCCAGGTAATTCAAATTCTAAAATTAGTTGTCATATATGTAATAAGGAAAAAAGTCAAAGAAACATTTATATTTCTCAACAAATAGTATTAAGCCAAAACTCACCTAACAATTTTTTTAATTGAATTCACTAAAGCACATGATATTTGGAAACAAAGTAAATTTCTTATCCAAAGAAAGGCTCATAAATATTCCTCCTCAAATCTGTACATAATATAGCAGACTATAATGACCATATCAAGATGGTGCCAGTGTTATTCATTGAGACTTGACTCTTTAAATTATTAAACTGTCTTGTTGCTGGTTTTGTTATGACAAAATATGCAGTATGCTGGTTTTGTTTTTGTTTTTTTATGTGTGTGACCAGGGTTTGAACTCAGGCTTCATGCTTGCAAAGGAGGCACTTGACCACATGAGTCACATCTCACTCCAGTTTGTTCTGGTTATTTTGGAAATGGGATTTCATGGACTATGATCCTCCAGATCTTAGCCTTCTAAGTAGCTAAGATTATAGGCATGAACCACTGGCACCTTTTTTTTCTTTTAAACATCTCTTGAAGCAAATTTAAGATTTTACATAATGCTTAAAGGTCATTGTGATGTATCTTTATATGTGTGTGTATTGCATATATGCATATATGTATGTATACACATATATAGAGAGATATAGTTAGGATATCTATCTTTATATTACCCACTTTCATAAGTATAGTGTCTGATTTTGAAAATTGATTCTATTCATTCATTCAGTGTTCACTTCTTGAGGATTAGGGGATTAATTTAGAGACAGAGTGATTCACTTTGCAGTTCCTTTTTATTCTTTCCTTATTGACTAAAGACTAGGAAAGTTTGTTATTATAAATATTTTATTAAAATTTATGCTCTCTAGCTTACTTTACCTTTTTAAGTTAATATGTAAAAAAAAATAATTCAACTTGTTTTGAGCTTCCCACGAAAACTATTTGTTCCTTAGAGGTTCTACTTATGCTACTTTATAATTTGTATAACATTTTACTTTCGCAGATAGATCTCTTTTCAAATACAAAGCCTCAAGAAGAACAGAAAAAAAGTCTGGAAGTGAAAAATAAAAAATGCTCACTCTCCCAGTCTGCAGCTGTTACATATTCTTTATTTCAAGAAAAGAAGATGTCTTTGGTAAGGTATTTTCAAAGAATTTTTTTAGTTCATTTATCTACTTGTGTTTTATCAGCTTTTCAGTATTCACGCTGTGAATTGGGGTCATTGTCTTCTAACTCTACAGTAAGTCTCCTTTTGTGTTTAATTTTAAAATAGAATGGCATTTTCTTTTCTTTTAAGCCTGTCTCTGTCAATGAAGTAGCAACAATAAGAATAGTTCAGCCATGATTATCTTACAGAGTTTGCTTCAGGGTTATAGATAATCATATTTATAACTCAGGGATATTGTAACAGCAATATTTTAAAACTAGTTTTTAAAAATGGAACTGAAAAAACAATGCTAATTACTTCAGAGCAATACTAATAGTTCAAAAGTGACTGTATATGTATTGTTAAGATATAACCTCTTGGGTTATAAGCTTAGTGATAGAATTCTTGCCTAGCATGCTTGAGGCCTTGGATTCAATCCCCAGTCCTGAAAAAAAAACACCAAAAACCAGATGAAAAGCAGATCTGTAAATGTGCATGTGTCATGCGTGCATGCGTTATATTCATGTGTGCTTGGATAGTCCAAGGTACACGGGAGGTCTCTGCAGGGATATCCAGAAGGCTGGAAATAGCTTTTAAAAACTTTCTTCTCACTCTGTAACCTCTAAGACTGTTCTTTTTTAAAACTATACCAGATAGTCCTTGAAAAAAAAATTTAGTTACTGTAAAAAAAAAAAAAAGACCATATTTAATATTTCTTTATTGTTCTAACATAAATCTGAAAGGCTATTGAATTTTTTTGTATACAAAATGTAGCATATATCTTAATAGAATAAGGGCAGTATGAAACTTCCAGCTAAGTTTAATAGTTTGAAATTACTGTCCTCTTTGACATTAAATTGATTAGGAACAGATTGTGTAGTCCAGAGTCTGCTTTTCTTATTCTCTGTGCCCCTATCTACCAAGCTACATTAAACACTTTTTATTCAAGTTAAGGTCCAATGTAAGTAAGAATAAACCCATAACTTACTTTACACTTTTAATTATCAAATTCCTCAATTAAAAGTATAAGATCTATTCCTCCAAAAAAACCAAATAATTCTATTATTTTTTAAGTAAAACACATGATAAATTATGAATTTTAAATTGAATTGTTATTTGAACCATAACTTATGGTACATGTTAAATATACTTATTTGTACGTGATTTGGTTGTGTGTGTATGGTAGAATTGAATGTAGTTACTAAGAGTAATTGTTATGTGCTCCACATTTTCTCAAGAAAGTGCATTACTAAACCATAATATGGGTTCCATATACCACATTTGATGATTACACATGTGAAGAATGGTCTGCCTTCTTTTATGTCTTTTGGTGTTATTTGGTGGTATCTCACCGTATAACATGGTGACTAATTATCTGTACCTCCCTGGAGTCCGTGAGGGTCTTGCCAGTTAACCACAGAATTAAACGTGCCAAAGGAATAATTAATCAGGTGCAATAATACAATTAGTTTGAGGTAATTTGATGCCAAGTATCAAATAACCCTGACATTATACACACATGGTACACACTTTCTAGTAGAAAAGGGTAGGTGTTTAATGAAAGTAATTTGATACCTACCTTTAAGGATGAAAATAGTGCCTTAATGTGAAAGTGTCAACATTCACAGAAATAGTCTAAATTTAGACTTTTGAAATGCATAGAAAGACAGTATCATGAAATATGCTAGAACTGAATGGCTGAGGCTCTCTGTTTAAAATAATGTTTTACCTAATATATATCATAAATATATTTGGAGTCACATTTGTTTAAAAAGCTTTATAAATATAAAACACCCTAAATTGAACATAATTCATGTTAAGTTCAGTAGTATGATAGTGGTAACAGTCCTTGTTAAAATCATTGTTATTATTTTATGAATGGATCCATTTAAAATATGTATTAAAATTTTCCAAGAGCCTTTTATAGAGTGCATCTGGTATCTTATGCTATCAGTAATTATTTTAGGACTTATCTTCTTGGAAGTTCATGTAATTAAAGCACCATATATTGTATTTCAAGTGTATTGAATTTTAGAATAAAGTTTTTTATGTTTTTAAATATAGACAGTGATTAGACTTACCATAGAATGAATTTTCTCTACCTCTAATAGTTTTTTAAAGTAAATAATTAGAGAGGAATGAGGATTGAATTCTTGGCTAGAGTTGGGTGACTTTGTTTTTGTCCATATAATATATATAAACTAGAACCTATGTGGATCTGTAGTAGAATTAAAGAAATAGTTAAAATAGAAATTTTAAGTAAAGGTTTAGTCCATTGTTTATTTGTCAGTGAATATTTATACCTGCAGGTTTTGGATACTTTGTTTTCATGAAGTATAGCGGAAACTTTTGAAAACTCACTGGTTCTTTTGTTACTTTGTCTCTAGCACAGCATAGCTGAGAACAGGATTCTGCCTCTTACAGCAGTTGGCATGCACTTAGCCCAAGCAGTGAAAGCTGGCTACCCTCTGGACATGGAGCGAGCAGGTCTGACTCCAGAGGTTCAGAAGATTATTGCTGATGTTATCCGAAACCCTCCCATCAACTCAGGTGATCAGTGTTGCCTTGCTCTGCAGCCTTAATGACCCAAGTCACTGAACTTTGATGAAGTAAACAGGCCGACCTCTTAATTTTTCAGTTTAATAGCGTTGGACCCGTTATGCTACTGTGGAAACTTTGTGTTTGTAATTTTTTTTTATTGTTTTAGACAGTCTAAATATTTCTTCCCATTATTACCTGGAGGAAAGTATACTGAGAAATTCTTCTTTTCCTTTTCGGCTTTAGGTTATAATATCCCCACCCATTCTAAAAGAGCACTTTCACCCTGTTGTAATTTCTACCTCATCACTTGAAAATAAACACACTTTTCAAGCTGGGCATGGTGGCATGTGCCTGTAATCTTAGTACTCCAGAGGCTGAGGAAAGGGGATTGCAAGTTCCAGGCCAGCGTGGGCTTCTTAGCAAGTTTGATGCCAGCCCGAACAACAGACCCTGTTCCAAAAAAACAACATAAGATACATTTCTCCACATTTGTTCTCCAATTTTTTTTTCTCTGAGCCTCTTTGGTTCCTTGTCATTGGTTTCTCTTGAGTGGCCTCTTTAGTCAACTCAGTGGCATCAGACACTATGACATGGGCCACGCTCTATAGCCCCCTCTTGTGCCTGTGAGGCAGAACCTCAACTGGAAGTCAAGCCCCTTTGCTTGTCCTGCAGAAATTTTTAAGTAATGATCCATTTTTTACAAAAGTAAAGTTGAAGTGCATCAGAGGATTTTCTTCTTATATGCACAAATATAAAGTTGGTGTGTTATAACTCAATAAATCTGATCAAAGTTTCCAGATTGTTAGAATAGAGTAGCGACCATACAAAATTCTTTATCTGCAAAGCTGTGTGAATAGTTACTTTTTATTACCTCAAATTCTTTCCCACATGGAAACAACTACAGTGTTCTCTCCACTCTCAGAAAGCCCTATCAATAGTGTACATAATTGAGCAGAACAGAAGTAGTCAAGTCACCTTAAACAACAGTATTATTTCTAGGCTTGTGGAAGGTGTAAAGAACTGAAGGTGAACAAACACCTCTATTACTTCCACTGATGAACAGTGGAAGCATAAGACAAGGAGGGGCACAGACATGTTTGGTGTGTGCTCATTTAAGATCCAGGGATGAAGGAATGGTGGTGAGTGAGATTTTAATTATATGCAGGCCTGTTGATACATTATGTCACGTACTTAAGAAAGACCCTTTACAGTAATTGTGTTTCTGTATCACTTCCTAGCTTTCTGGTTATAATTTGATTTCCCATGTATATTGCACCTATAGGGAAAGCATGCTGTAGTCATGTTAATTTGAGTATCTAAGTGATAATTGTGTATTCCTAATTGTAGTTAATAAATTGATACTTTGTGAACTTGGTCATTGTAGATCTGCTAAGGTTAAATTAGGTTTCTGAATTCGAAGATGTGAAAGCCAGATCCTGGACTGTGCAGTAATATATTCAAGGCAGTTCAGCTATGAACCATCTTTATGAGAAATCTACATAACTCTTCTGGTCACATTCCAATCTTTCTAACATTGGCAGCCATTTTACTAGAAATTAAGACAGAGGGAGGAAAATCGTAATTGTTTGGTATGACTGGTTTCATGAGTCTCTTGTTTCTTTAGTGCAAAATGACATGGTGTTTTAGGGAAATCCAAAGATTGAACAGTCTTCTTAATTTTAGTACTTCGGAATTGTTTTTCCCTTATAAATGTCTTAGTACTCAGAAAAATGTGTCTTTTGATTAGATCGTAAAAGTTAGGCAATAGTTTCTAAAAAAGAGTTTGTACAGCTTTCTCCTTTTTTTTTTTTAAGTATTGACAATTCTGAAGACTGAAAGATGGATTAGCCTAGTCAAGGAAGAGCAAAGACTCTGGTAGCAGATTCAGATCTTGGCTCTACCACTTCTGGTTATGTGACCACTGATAAATTACCCAACCTCCATGAGTCTTAGATTTTTCTTCTCTAAAACAGAGGCTTAATATTGCCTCTCTTACAGAATTGTAGAAATAAACTAGGTACTACACAGAAAGCCCTGGCATGTAGTAAAGTGGTGAGTAGGCAGTGGTGTTGGTGAAAGATGATGATTGAAGAACTAAGATAATATTTCATAGCATCTTAAAAATATTAACTTTCATTACTTTCAATCTCTGCCCTTTTAAATAGCTAATTAATAATATCTGAAGTTAATGTACACGCCTTGCAAGCACAAAGCCCTGAGTTCAACCCCAGTGCTGCCAAAAAACAATGTATGAAATCAATAAATAAGTATATAAGAAGGAAAAATTTTAAAACTGTACAGTCATCCCTCAGTATCTATTGGATTCAAGATTTCCAGAGGATATAAAAATCTGTGGATACTCATATAAAAGAATTTGCTTATAGCTTATACACATCCTGGTATACTTGAAATCATGCTTAGATTACTTACAATAAATACCTACTACAGTGTAAATGCTATGTAAATAGTTCTTACATTCTATTGTCTAGGAAATAATAAGAAAAAAATTCTGTACATGTTCAGTACAGATGTGATTTCTTTTCCTTAATATGAGAGAGTCTTGCTTCATAGCCCAGGCTAGTTTCAAACTCATGATTCTTCTGTCTCAGCTTTCAAAGTGCTGATGTTTATAAGTGTGTGCACTGCCATGCCCCACGATTTCTTTTTTCAATCCATAATTGGTGAACCCATGGTGCAGAACCAACAGATACCAATGGCCAAACTGTATTTTATAGAAAGAATTAACTTTCACAATTCTGGCAGGTTGTAACGATCTTTTTTCTGTATATATGTAGTAAAGAATTCTTGAGCAATATTTTGAATGATATAAAATGAGTGTTCTCAATTCATTATTGAGGAAAATAGTAAAGGAACACTTAGGATTATATTATTATAACAAAATATTGATAAAATTAGTTTTATTTGGCTATGATAAAGAATTGAAGTGCTGTTAATTTCATTTCTAAATCATATAGTTGTAAAGTTACAGAACTTTACATTCAGAAAAGAAAATGGAAACATTAAATTTTCCCTTTCCCACGCCCACTCTGTTTCAGAGATAGGAAAGTGAGTCCTATATAGTCGTGACATTGTTTTAAATCACGTGTAAGATGGATTAATGATGGATCATGTTTTTCTTTTCAGTGTTCATTTTACGTTGTACTGCCAACCAACTTAAGAGAAGGGAGTATGCAACTTGTAATTCTGGCATAGGATTCAGGTTTATCAATCACCTAACTTGAATAAAATAAATTAATGTAATTTTATCCAATTTAATAATATTTTTGTTAGTCATTTCATTTTGATGTTAAATGACTTTTTAAATCAAGCAGAATATTTAACATGAAAAATTCTGTATTTAAAGTAATTCAACAAATACCAGAGAGATGAGAAAACATTTTGTAATCATTAGTGAGTAAAACATCTCTTTACCACTATATACAGAATGTTGTATTGAATTTTTACGCAGAGCTACATTAAATTGAAATTAAGGTACAGAATTTTTAAAAATATGCTTATTAAACATGTATTTTTTCCTTCCATCAATACAGTGTGTGTAGGTTGAACATATAATATGCAAAGTGTGCATTTTTATAGCTTAACTTCTTAACTGCCAAAGCCAAAATAGAGGCTCCAACTTTTATTTCTTCTGCTAGTACCTTTATTTCTCTGTCAGATATCATACATTGATACGAGATTTTGCTTTTGGATTCTTGTTTTTCTTTGATTAGATACTGTTTGTTCTCCTACTGCAGAAAGCATAATTGTTATAAATGATAACAAGTAAAGATACACATACTATGTTAATGATTCAGATGTGTTATTTTCATCTTTTATCTGTAGCCTATTTGCATAATTGGTGGAATCTAAAATTTTGCACAATCCTGAATTGAAAATTTTTCTTTTTTATTATAACATTAACCTAAAAGTAGAGTATTTGTGAGTTGAAATCTTATTTTCACACATTGTTATTTTCCAAATAGACTTTGACTTTGTGACTCTTAATGTTTACAGTTCTGTTCTTTATTGTTCTTGTTTTCCATGTTTACATAATCTTAAACTTCTTTTTTTAAGTTGGGATTCTAGCTGTGCTTAATAATAAATTAAGACAAGCATTTAATGAGGTACCTAGATAATATTTTGAAATTTTTCTTTGTCCCATTCTTTATGTTCATGTAACTGGAAAATTAAGGGTGGCTTCTAAGGGACCTGATATGGAAGTAGGAGTAACATGATCTCTCTTAAAGCACTGAAGGAATATAGCTAGTATTATCATTTAATTCTCCAGTAAATACTTTTAGCACTTATTTATTTACAAAGTATAGTAAGACGAATCTTTAAAGATCTTAAAGATAGATACCAGTTATTTGCATGTATCTAATGCAGGTAACTTTAATATAGAAATATAAAGGTACCTACAGAAATGTGTAAAAATATGAATTTTATAATTATATCTAAAAATTAAATGAACTTTAGACATGTAAAAAATTGCTGTGAGTAAGCATCATAAACAATTGTTTATATATCATAATTTTATGAAAAAATGACATTCTAATTTTATTTTATTTTTTTCACAAGGATACAATTTTAATAGTGACATATTAAGATGCAATGTCTGCTAAATTATAAAAATTGCTTTAAAAATATATCGACTCAATTATACTCATTTCCTTTCCATTATGTATTGACATTTTTCAAATACTGCATAATAAATAAATTCAAAACATGATCATTACAACATGTGGCAAATCATTTCACATCTGCCTAACATTATTCCCAAATTTTAATCTAATGCTTAATGCATTAAATTTTATTGATGAAAATGCTACATTCACATATTTCATAAAAACAGAGCAAGGGGCCTTAGAAAATAATCACACTTGCATGAAATGCTGACAAATAATTTATGTATCATTTCTACAGAGCATTCTGTTCACACCATGTATATTTGACATTACCAATTATAATTGCAGATACACTGATGTTGAACTTACAATTTTAATACTTAAAAATCATTGTTCCTGTCCATTGACTAATGAATGGATAAACAAAATATGATACACATTCATACAATGAAATATTATTTAGCCATAAAAAGGAATGGAGTATTGATACATGTTACAACATGGATGAATCTTGAAAACATGATACTAAATGAAAGAATCCAGAAACAAAAGGCCACAATATTGCATGATTCCACATATAAAATGTCCAAAATAGGCAAATCTATAGACAAATTATAATAGTAGTTTCCAGGAGCTGAGAGAAGTGACTGCTAATACACCTGGGGCTTCTTTTCAGGAAGAGAGAAATGTTCTGAAATTAGACAGTCGTGATGATTGCACAACTTAACGAATATACTAAAGACCACTGAATTGTACAGCTTAAAACGGTAAATGTATCTTGACTTTTTAAACTGAAAAAAAAGTAATGTTCCAATAAAGACCATCATGGTATCGATATGACCATAACTAATAGAATAAGAACTAGGTTCTCAATCATGAGGATGTCACATTAGGAGAATTACTGGCCAAAGTCAATTCTGATGACATATTTAAGGGCACATGAGAGGATAAAATTGCTGTTGCTATTAAAATATGTAAAGTAGATCTTTCCAGGGAACCAAAATTAAAATTTTTACACGAAGCCAAAATCCTCAACATAATTATCCCAATGTATATTATCAAACTTATAGGAGTTCATACACAAATATATGTTTATATATCATAATTTTATGAGAAAATGACATTCTAATTTTAGAAATAAATTTATTCTAAGTGAAATAAAATACCCTTTTTCTTTTTAAAATAACAGTCTATGACACTATGATAATTCAATATAGGAATTTTTCAAAAAAATTTATTTGTAAGTATTACATTTATAGTATGAAGGCATTAAGAATGTAGTTTATCTAATTTTTAACCCATAGAATAAAATGAATTAGCATACTGTAGTTATATTAACTGATTATAGAGTGTGGGAAAAATTATATGATTTTTTTTCTACAGTAGCACTTTCTAAAAGAAATATGAGTCACATATGAAATTTAAAATATTCTGGTAGCCACATTAAAAAGTAAGCCAGTATTATTAATTTTAATAACAGTTTAACCTCAGTATATTCAAAATGTTATCATTTCACCATTTAATATAAAAATTATTGACAAGACATTTCATGTATTTTTTGCTGTAATAAGCCTTTGAAATCGGGTAAATATGTTTACAACATACATATCTTCTAATGCTAAAGGTTAATTAGAAATACTTGACATATATTTAGCTTTCATAAAATGTACAATTGAACAAAGTAGGTTGAAATACTCAAGTTGTTTCAAAAGACTTAAGAGTTTTCTAACAAGTAAACCAAGTGTCAGTTTTAAAATTTAATTATGAATTAATTTGAATTACTTAAATCTAAGAATTTAGTTCCTATTTATATCAGCCATGGATGATTACACAACAGTTCTAGGGATAGTTTGGCAATGTACATTAAAGCACTAAGTGTGTTTAGTCTTTGTACTACCAGTCCCACTTATAGGAGTCTAGAAGTATGGAAAAATACATGTTACAGGATGTTCCTCAGAGCATTTAAAAAGAACAAATGAAGACAAATGAAAGGGGACTCAAAGTAAATCCTTATGCACACTCCTCAGACATTAAAATGGATGAAGTAATAAAACTGGTGGGATTTCCATGGTATTTAGGATGGTCTAGTATCCAAAGGAAAAATAAAATTTTCATTTGATTGATAACTGTGATAATCACATTGCTTTTATTACATGTAGAGGTGATTTATCTTAAGACTATGCTTAGCACCAGTTTTACTTCTTAAAACCTAATTAGCTAAGGTAACCCAGCCCACTGTCCTATTTGCTATTAGCTATGTATCTTTTTTTTTTTTTTTGGTGGGTTTGGGGTTTGAACTCAGGACTTTGTGTTGCAAAGCAGGCACTGTAACACTTGAGTCATATCTTAACTTCATTTTGCTTTGGTTGTTTTGGAGATGGGGGTCTCACAAACTATTTGTCTGGGCTGGCCTCGAACTATGATCTTCCCTGTCTCAGCCTCCCAACTAGCCAGAATTACAGGCATGAACCACCTGCCCGGTTCTTCCTGCCTTTTAAAAAAATTTCAGTATTTGGTGGTAAGTCCTGGAGTAAAAAGCTAAGATCTTTGGAAGAAAAGAGAACATATAACTGAAAATTATAATAGTTTAAAGGGTGGCATTTGAAGAAATGTGTTGTGTTGAATTGAGTATCAGCAATATTTGATATGTTTTGTAAATTACATGAAGATGAGTGAGTAGGTTTTAAGTTGCTTGGTTTTACTGGACTCTAGAGCACTGCAGATAACTACTCTGTTGGAATGAAGTGCCTGTAATAGAAACAGTGCTTTATTTATAGGAAATTTCAACATAGTTAATATAGGGTATGGAGAGATTGATCCTATCTGAATTAGTTCTGTTGAGAAACAAAAAATTTAAAGTTCCTAGATTCTGAAAATGACATACTTTCCCAGAAAACTCATCTAGTCATAAGCATTTTAAGTAATTGCTATGTTTTGTTATGCTATAGTAACCACTGAAAAGATTCTTTTTGTAGGAATCTTACTTACAAATATCATTAGCTTCTATTTTAAGAATAAATTACTTTTAAGAAAAATTAATTTTTACTTGATATTTGGAATTTGAAGCACAGTATTCTTCAGAGGCAGTCCTGTGACTGTTTTGGTTCTCTGGGCAGCCTGCCTAGGACAGTCTGAAGCATGGCTGGGCTCAGGGCCAGGATTTAGGTGATGCAAGAGTGAAGGGGACAAGTTCTACTCCATTTCCCTTCTGGACGCCCCCTGTTCACAGTAGATACCAGGCACAGGACCTGGGCTGAGCTGTATGTGGGGTGGTTTACTTTGTCTCCTCTGTCTGTGCAGTTAGTGTAAGAACACAGCCTGTGCTACTCACCAGAAGGCCAGCTACAGGCATTTGAAAGAGAAGGATTTTCTTTGGTAATCTTCCTTCTTTCCTTTCTACAAAATGTTTTGCCATTTCCATGTGTAAGTTTTCTGAAGTGTTCTGCATTGTTTGTTTTTCAATCCGTCTTTCATCTTTTACAGATATGTATAATATTAAACTAATTAGAATGTTAGTTCCTGAAAACATTGATGTGTATCTCATCCACATGGCAATTGAGATCCTCGAGAGTGACCATGACTGCAGATCCTCAGGCCAGTCTTCATGTGATTCTAACATGAAGAGATGTTTTCCCAACTCGGAAGAGACCTATTCAAGCTCTAAGAGAAGCAAGGAAGAAGTACTCACTAATACCACCAAGGTGCTAATTATATGTAGAATTTTCATAAAGTGTCAGTGTGTTCATTTTGCTATGTTTTTGGACCTTTTATTCTGATATAAAGTTACTTTACTTGTATGCTGTAATGTTCTTTGCTTTTCAAAATATAAGAAAAGTGATTTTTAGGAAAACGTTAAAAGGGGAACATAGTCTACTGATGTAGTTTATTGTGTAGAATGTCACCTTAAAGTTTACTTGTATTGGAGTTATAGTCTGGAGAATTACACCTTCTTTCAGAGGTGTAATTAATGGAGTTAAGTATATGGCAATTTATATGGTTAATGAAAATGAAACCAAAATCTGTTAAAAATCTCACCCCAAGTTGGTCATTCATCTTGCTTTATTGCCATTATACTGAATATGTAGGATAGAAGGAAAATTATTGCTTATAATTCCGAGTGTATCACAAGTTAGTAATAATTAGAGAAAGACTACACATTTACCATTATGTTAGATGGTACATTGTGTTAAAACAAAGTGCTTTGAAAATTATTACTCAATGTATGAGATAAATAAATATTAATTAGTGAATAATTATTCTCTGGCAAGGTGACACTATTAAATGATTGCATAAATTTGAAATTTTGACCTGCAGTATCTTCCAGTTCTAAAATTACATGACTTCATGATAAAAGTTGTTGAACTTTTAATAATTCACTAAAAACAATTTTACTTCCTAGATGATAAATTTAGTGTGATAGTAGGTGGTTAATATTTATATTAGAAGATTAGGGACTCCATTTTAATTCTACTGTAATCTACATAGTATTTCCAACAATTAAACTCTTCTCAGTAGCTTAAAAATAAGGGGAGTTGGCCAGGTGCTGGTGCTCATGCCTGTAATCCTACTCAGGATGATCCAGGTTCAAAGCCAGCCTGGGCAAATGTTTGGGAGACCCTACCTTGAAAAATACCTGACACAGAAAAGGGCTGGTGGAGTGGCTCAAGTGGTACAGTGCCTGCCTAGCAAGCCTGAGGTCCTGAGTTCAAACTCCAGTACCATCAAAAAAAAAAAAAGGAATTGCAGAACTGGTCTTTTAAATTTTGTACCTCAGTTAGGTTTATTCTAGATAACTGAATAAAATTTAATTACTTGGAAATGTTTATATTTTTTATAATTAACTAGCCATAGAGGGATATTAAAGAAAATATATTTGTGGTAAATTTAATGTAATTTACCTTCTGTGCTCTGCTTTTCATATCTTTAATCTGTACTGGGCGCCTAACTAGGCCTCCCATGTAGCTAGAATGACAGGTGTGTACCACTGTGCCCAACTTATTAGTTGAGATGGGGTCTCACTAATTTTTAGTTCAATCTGGCCTCTGATGCTCCTGATCTCCACTTACCGAGCAGTTGGGATTATAGGCATGAGCCATTGTACCCCACCTAAGAAAGTCTTCTTAAGTCTTTTAGTATTTCGTTCCATTGTGTTGTGTTGTGTTTCTTCTTCAGGGACTTCTATGGTGTGTATGTTGGATCTTATTTACTAGCTCAATATTTGTTACTTCTCATGAGTCCTTTCTATTAATTTTTTTACTTACTTTTTTCTTTTCCACCTTTCATTGCTCTTTGGACATAACCTGTTAGGTTTACTACTGTCTCCACATAGTTTAGTAGTCACGTCAAAGTTTTTTCCGATTGTTTCTTGAGTTCCCCCAGTTTTGAGTTTTCTGATTTTGATTTAAGGTTGTTTTTCCTGTCTTGAATAATTTCCTTCATATTTTTAGCTCATTTTGAAATGTTACAGTTTTATTCTAAATCTAAGCAAGTCTGTTGTTAAGATGTGACCTGGATCCTTTCCTGTTCCCCATTTCCATGTGAAATTAGTTCTTTTGCACCATCAAAATAAGGCTTTGCCAATTTCATACAACTCTCTAATGTTGTCTGGTGTAATGTCCAAAATGTGGCATATGAGCCGCACCTCATGTTTCTATTTGGCTTTTTTCCTCTGTCTGTTTCTGTTGTACCTGTCCTCCCTGATTTTAATTTGACTGCAGTAGGTTCTTCTGAGTGTGGGGCCTTTTCCTGGATGGCAGCCGTGGCTGGTCACAGAGTTCATTGGAGTCAGCTGCTATAACCACTTCTGACACCAGTGGGGAGTTTTACACTCACCTGTTATTGGAAGGGACAAAAGCCCTCCGGTTGCCCCATCTGTTCTCCCCATCTGTTCTCACATTTCTCTGCCAGGCTTCCCTGTGGGGTTGTTTTGGGTTCTTCTGTTCACAGACACCTGCTGCTTGTTATCATTTCTCCCATACAAATGTACTTATCATGAAGGTCTTTTTGTATTTTGTGGTGCTGGGGGATTGAACCAGGGCCTGGTGCATACTAGCCAAGCATTGTACCACTTGAGTCATACCCCCAGGACCCAAAGAGGTCTCGATGGCTGTTGGTTTGTCTTTACCTGCTTGTAGTTTGGGTTTCACCTTCAAACTTAGTTTCATTGTAAATATAGACAGTGAGTTTTGGTCTTACCATCTATTCCACCTGTTTCATTACTGGAATTCAGAGATATTAAAGACTGGCTGCTGTCGCCACCATTTTCCCAGTACCTTTTCCTCCCTTATCACTTTTTCCCCTTATTTTTGTTGACTGCATGAGAGAGAGTGTATACTTCCTTCCCTCCCACTGGGGTTTATTATAAATTAAAATATGCAATGTTATTTGCAAACTATTTTAAGATACTCATAAAAATGCCTTGTGAGTAATACTATTATGGTCATGATTATTAAAATTTAACACTTCAGAATGCAGAGGATTTTCTTTTAAGCTGTGATGTTTTAGTCATAGTTTTTTGGAGTTAGGTGGGGGCAGTGACTAAGAAGATAGTGCACAGCATAACTGTTTTGTATTTCATGAAAAACTTAAAGGTTCATGGAACACATCCTGATAATTTTTCACTGAAAGACAAAGCTCAGAAAAATTCACTGAGACTAGCTTCTTGGAATCAGCCAGACAATGATCCAGAGATAGAAGATTTATTTTCAGATTCTCATTCACAGATAAACTTGATTTACAAAGATAGTTATCATGATAAATACATCAGGCTTGATTTTTCTTATAGATGAAATTATGAAAATAACATTTCTTTTTTATTGCCATATTATTGTACTGGGGGTGCATTGTTACATTTACAAAAGCGCTTATAATATATCTTAAATTCATTCCCTCCCCCCATTACTTCTTTATTTGCTTACATATGTGTGTGCACATACAATCAGCAAATAGTTAATGCTTCCTGTTTACTAATGGCAGTGGTAGTCACTAATGGAATAATTATGATTGCTGGGAATTTTAAGGAAATAGATCCTAGAAGGTAAGTAGTCCTCAGAATTAAGTTCTCTTCAGATACTTGGAACTCAAAAGATAGGCTCAATCAAGCATTTCCCCCCTTTTCTCAGTAAAGTGAGATCACACTATAATTACATGATAAACTTCACATGATGCTAGCTACAAGTACCAAGAATAAATCAGGATGTGTTTTACTATTTTGTGTACACTCTCATTGAGCTTCACAAGATCCATGGACATTAGACTACTATTCCCATGTTCTCTGTAAGAAACTGAGGTTTAAGTAACATTCATAGCAAGTAGCTCAATGAAAATTCAAACTTTGTTCTTTCTGGTTTTAAAGTCTATACTTACTCCACTGTATTTGGTTTCCAAAAAACTTAGGATTTTTGTTTTTTTTTTCCCCCGCTGTTCTATTACTGTTTAAATGGCTTATTCTGTTTCACTCTTTGACCTCATTTCAGTTTTAACTGCCCACTCCCAATGCACTCAGGGGTTCAAACTCTAATTGAAGCAGTTGCAGTTGTTTATTGCTATAAGGGATTTTGCTCTTAAGATCCTCTATGAAAAATACATATTTCTGAGTCTTTCTTTTTTCTTTGCCTTTTTTTTGGGAGGCTCGCCGCAGATTGAACTCAGGGCCTTGAACCTGCCAGACATGTACTCTATCTCTTAGCTCTGGGCCTAGTTTTTCACTTCCAAAATGCCTGTTTCTATGTCACTTTGTATCCCTAATACTTGTTATTCCTAATCAAATACTGTAGTATCTTTCAGTGTACAAAAATCTCTGTTTTCCTGTTCCTTTGGAAATGAATATCCAGGAGCAAAGTTGCTGTCCTAACCAGTTCTTTTCTTTAGCTTTTACAACAGTGTCAGTAGTCTTTTCTTTTACACTGGATTTCTTTGCTTATCTGAACCAGGTAACAGCTTTTAACTTTTTTTTTTTAATGTGAAACTCAGCCTTCTGCCAAAGGTCTTTTGCTTCTCCCCCCTTTTTTAAGCATAATAGGTGTTATTTTTGTGACTTTATATGTTATATTTTTTTCCTGAAGATTTCACTACATAGCTAAGAAGAAAAAAAGTAAGGAGAGAGATATTGTATGTGATTTAAATAGGTGTCTTAATTTTTTTTCCAGATTGTCTATAATGTTTTATTTTTTATGATTGTACTGGGTGGGGTTACATTGTTGCATTTACAGCAGTTCTTACAGTATATCAAATATATCATACTTAAAATTTACCCCCTCCACCACTTTCCCCTTCTTACCCTTTTTTAAACATTGAAAATATAATAAAACATAAAAGCAGTTGGTAAACAGTGTATAGATAAAGTCATCATTCATGAAATAGAATAAATTACACCATTCTTATACCTTAGGCTGACACACACAATGTATGTGAGGATATCTTGTTATAAAAGTCTTCCAAAACTTCCAACTGAACTCTGCTGCATTCCAGGGAGTGTTCTTGTTAGAATGATTTCTGACATGTTGTTCTGAGGATCTAGAAACTCATACGGAGCACTCAAATTTATGCCATTGCAGGGTATAACATTTACCTGCTTACATTGTCTCAGTGTTTTCACGTGCAGATGCTATAATACACAGGCACTGCCTTTCTGTTTTTAAATACTTGTTTTTGGTGACTTAGAACCTGTGGTTCAATGGTTTTCTGGTTCATGAACCCCTAAAATTGTGTGTAAAGTCTTATACATGTATATGTTTGTCTTATTTCTCTTGTTTTTCTGGGAAGTAGATATGTGGTTGTCAGAAGATTCTCAAAAGAGTCTATGAAATAAGGCTCTTTTGTTGTTGTTGTTTCTTCAGTGAATGTTTTTGAGTATCTGCTACATCTTGGCCATTCTGCAAGGTGCTGATAATGATTGGACTACTAATCTTTCTACCATTGTAGATGTTAGAAGTTACATTCTTTCTCACATGCCTAGTACAATTTTATACATGTGTGCATGTGTGTGTATATATACCTTCCTCAGAACATTAATTGCATCATTTTTGTCAAAGAAAATATGCAGTGGAAGATAGATCTCAAATACTGTCTAATTTTTTACTTACCAAATGAGTGTCTGGAATTGAATGTCTAAGAGTAGATGATGGATGGCAACGAGTTGCCTAAAGGAATGATGTAGTGGTTTCTTTTCCCTTTTATTTTTTAACTTTTTGATTCAGAAATAAATTCTATAGATAGCATTTTGCTTGCTTTGTTTGGTTGTGTGTGTGTGTGTGTGTGCGCGCGTGTGTGTGTGTGTTGGTGTTGTGTGCGTTCAGGAACCTGTTTTACTTTTTTGCTGCAGCTGATACACATTTTAACTAGTGAAAATATTTCTTTTTCTTTTTGTTTCCTGTAGATTTCATCTAAAACTTCACCACACAGAAAATTACCTGAGTGGTTTGCCAAAGGAAATGAGACCTTAGCTGATACCAGCAAGAAATCAATGACAAAAACAAAAAAGAAAGGTCTTTTTAGTTAAGATGACAATCGCAAGAACAACTTTGTATATTTTACTGAATTGTAAGAGGAGATCTATATTATTTCTGAAAAGAGTAAGGAATAATATTTTAGCTTAAAAATTTATTCTGATTACAAAGTAAAACATGCCTCTGTATTGAAGGACTGGCATCCTAAATCAGCCTTCCACAATTCAGATAAAGTGTTTAGGTCTTCTGAGGCCTGGAGTTATCATGGAATAGAATATTAAATTATATTTCCTTTAAGATTGCTTTCAGAAACCATGTTCCTGTTCTGTGTTCTAATCTCTATACTTATAGCAGTTGTAAATTTGGAAAATGTATGGTGTGTTGATTTGCATAATACTCTTAACAAAATTCTGTCTTATAAATGTAAGAAAGCATAATCATTTTTCAAATTGCCTTTGCTATCTTTTGCAGAAGCTCTGATAAGCATTGTTAGACAGTGTTAGTTGATCAGACCAGTAAAAGTGAAACATTTTGGGTTATGTGTGAGTGTGGAAAAAGAATGTAATAAAGATTCCAATTGCACTAGACAACTATACACTTTATGTTTTCTATACTGCTTCTCTTGTTTTTCAAATAATAATACCCTTCATAATGAATATTACAAAGATGTATTTTTAAAATTTCATTTACTTAATGACTGAGTGCCTGTAAAATTTGAGGTGTCAGAATTTGTTTCACAAACAACTTAAACATCTAGAACTCATACTCTGATACAGAGTAAGGTAAACCATGGTTATATAACTATAAGAAAAAAAAACCCTAGGAAATCGAGATAAGTAAAAAAATAAATAAAAATCAAAACAGTTCATAGTTCTACTGGTAATCAGTCAACTCCTTTTGTGTATCCTGCCAGAACTTCTCAGATTCACTTGTTTTCTTAGTTTGTTACGTGAATAATGCATGAATAAATTTTCATTGTGAAACATTTGAAGTATACTTAAAACATCAAGCCACCAGAAGGTAGCTCCTATTAAATAAGTTGTACCTGCTTCTCAGGTGTCTTTTCTGCATTTGCAAGCCTCTGTGTGAGCATCTGTGCTTCACAAACCAGTGCTCTGCACAGTGTTATGACGCGTGTGCATAAGGTACTTCCACGCCTCGCGAGGCCTGGAGGTCATCTCCAGGAAAGCACTTATTTTATTCTTTCACTCTGAACTCAATTGGATGCTTTTTTGGTTTTTTTTAAATGGCTGGGAAAAAGTGAATGAAAGAAAACTATGGTTGATTATTTAAACTTGGTTATTTAGCAGGCATTTTCTCAAGATTGAAGGAAATCAGCCTCTCACTTCAAGGAAAATAACCTACTGTATTTTTGATATTGATAAAATTTATAATTTTGGAAAGCTTTCGTCCTTCCCTGGGAACTTGCCAGTTTCCCTCAACTGAGAGAATTTCTAATGAGAAGTATAATTATTAATAAATGTAATTCTATATTGCATAAAGATTTTACCTTTAGAAGATTTGTGTTGTTCAGTGAATCAGTGTTTTTTGGGTGTTAATCAGTCATGCATGGAGAAAATCTATTGGGAGTAGAAAATAAACCAATGGTTTTTGATATAGCAGAGTGAAGGAGTTCATTGGTATAGTTTCAGATTGCACACTGCAACTAATCTTTAAGAAACTACTACTTGTCCAGTTTTAGTGTAGTTTTGAAAGAAGACTGTCCACTGTTGTCTGAAAGGACTATTAAAATACCCTCCCTTGTCCAACTTGCTTCACTATGTGATGTCAGATTTTCTTCATAAACTTTAGCCAAAACAAGTCACAGTAGATTGAATGCAAAGCGCATCTGAGAATCCAGCCACTTCTATTAAGCCAGTGAGATCTGCAAGAATGAAACAGTGCCATTCTTGTCACTACCTTTTGAAAATACGATTATTTTTAAAAGATAATACTTGTGTTAAGTATAATGGGTTACTGTTGTACTGTGATTTCTAAACATATTAATAAATGTTTTTTAATGTTTCAGTTTTAAATTTCTAAAATGGTAAATAGTGATGGATAAGCCCACATTAACAAAAGCTCTTTAGGAACCTCAACAACTTTTAAAGGTACAGAGGGGTCCTGTTACCTTTAGAGGTTGAGAACTGCTGGTACAGTGTTTTATTTTATGTATATCATACTATCATTTACTTAACTGACTTCATATTGGACATTGAAGTTGGTTCCATTTTTTTCTTCTATTTTAAACATCATTACTTTAAACATTCTTGAAACAAAATATGCTATAATCTTGTATCAAATACATAAACAGAGAGAGAACTTATTTCTCTTAACATCTCCAGTGGACTTTGTCTTCTTAGCATAAATTCTCTCATTCCACATTTCCCATGGCTCTTGGTTTCTGTGGGGGGTTGGTTATAAGGAGGATAAACCAATCTGAATTTGAGATTGGATCTATGACTCTATGCCAGTCTGTGGCAATAGCTTTTGGATCAGGGTTAAGGCACATGGCCTGAACTGTTCCAATCAGAGTGACTTTCAATACTTTCATTCAAAATAAAAATATGACGCAAGTATGTTCTTTTTTCTCCGATGGTACTTACGAAGAGGTCTTGGGGCAATTTTAGGACCACGAAGAATCATCAAAGCTAAAACATGAAAACAAATCAGGTTATTGGAGATATTGCTGAGCTGGTAGGTAATTTCAGAAACATGGGCATTAACTTCTCTTTACTTAAGGTAAACTTGTTTGAGCACTTTTTTTGTTTCGTTTATAACTTCCAGTGGCGTCTATTTGCTACAGCAGTACAGTGATTGATAGAAAGTGGTTGATGGATCCCCAACAGACACAAGAGACTTGAAGTTTTTTATGACAAAGGATGTGGAATCTCAGAGTTAAACCAAGTAGAAAACAAAGTAGCATGCTCCCAGGTGGGTGCAGAGGCTTCCTAGATCTCCACATAGTCCCGGAATTCTCTCTTGCGTTTTTGTGCCTTCTCAACTCCCCTCCTTTCATTTCCACACCGAGTGTGCTTTGGAGGCTCTGGCTGTGTGCCTCTGAATCACCAGGCATAAGTAGTTGGTATAAAACAATTTCAGCATTTAACACTGAATTTGCTGTAAGAATAGGTTGGCTGAAGGAAGGTTAATTCCCTAGGTGTAACATCATTTTTCAACAGTCCCTGACCCCAAGTTCGCCTCAGTTTCCTTCTTAACAAGTTTAGCTGGATGCAAGTGGCTCACACCTGTAATACTAGTTATTTGGGAAGATGAGATTGATAGGATCATGGATGGAGGCCAGCCTGGACAAAAATTTAGCAAGCCTTTTGCTGTCTCCTTCAAAAATCATTAACTGCTTTTCTTGTGTTATTTGTCATTTGACCAGAGCATTATGGCCACAGAGTCAGGAGAAGCCTGAAAATTATTTAGAATTCAAAAAAGCTATAGCTCTACCAATAGTTAGAATGTAGAATTCTTCCTATTCAAATTGCATAGAATTGATGAAAAGCATGAAGGATACAGTGGAATGACCTTCAAGTTTTAGTGCTAAGTGACATTTAACTCTCAGGGGAGACAGGGAAGTGCAAAACCACACAAACACTGAAGAAGGTTGACTCCAATCTTGATGGGAGTTGCCAGATTCAGCAATCTGTTATTCAGGAAAGGATCCCTAGATTTTGGTTGAGAAGACAACCCAAAAATCTTTAGGTAACATTCTTCATTTTCTTACTGGGTAAATATGTTTGGACCTTTGGAAAATTTAGAAATAAGCAAATGTAGAGTAAATTGAGCCCTTGGTAGTAATATCTTAGAATTAAGCAGTAATAAGTATATATTTGATATTTAGTCATTTATATGATACAATTTAAATGATCAATGGATCATTTACCTTACTCAAATAACACCCTGCTCTTGGGACTCCAATGCCAAATGTAGTGCTGAAAAAAAAAACATGCTTGTGATTCAAGTGGAAATCTTACCATGTTTGAAATATTATTGGAATATTTAACATAAATGTTTAATTTTGTTATTGCATAAAAGTATTAGCATTAACAAATTTCACTTGCAAGAGAATGAAAATATTAAGGTCACTGTTGATATTAAGGTTAATGTTAATTAATACTAATGTCATTAAACCCGGAGTTATAATTATTTCTCAGAAAAAAATTAATAAAATTTTAGCCTACGACTGGTGAACTGACTCAAATGGTAGGCAACTGCCTAGCAAGCATGAGCCCCTGAGTTCAACCCTCAGTGCTGCCAAGACAAACAAACAAACAAAACTTCAGCCTCACATCCAATTTCATTTTCTGACTCAAAAAAAAAATTGAAAGTATATACTGTCTTCATTCAATAAATATTTACAATTATGCAGGACAACATGTTAGTCTCATAAAAGATGGACTAAATGGAAGAAAATGTATGAAATCCCATACTTAAGAGAGGGGAAGATTTTGACATATCAAAGAACACCTCTCAAAAATATTTCCCTATGGGAAACAAAGCATTTTTAAGAACATTTGCTTCACATAGTAACGTTTGCTTTTTTGTCTCCATTCCCATATTCAACCTCCATCCATCTCTCTTGAGCATTTTTTAATGGCCAGGACTTGCAGATGAGCAGGGCCTTAGAGTGCTCTTTAGAGGGTGGTTATGTCCATGGGCTGATCCTGCACCAACAGTGCAGAATTCCAAGGAATCTGAGAATTTGTGATTCAGATCTGACGTTCCAGATTGTTAGATATTTGTCTGGATAGGAGGACAAAACATATTTAATGGTGTTTAACATTTACATTTATATATCATATTTGGCCTACCACTTGCCACTTGCTCTTTTTGCCTTAAGTCCCAAAAATAAAAGTGGGCCTATATTCTCTTGGATACAAGGACCTCAGCAAGCTTTCACTACGCTCTGCAGTTTCCACCTACATACAATTTTATTTCCTTTTTCAAAACTATATGAATATGTGATTTTAAGTCCATAAGCAGTGGATTAACATATTTTGCCATACCTTTGTTTTTTCTTGCAGTCTTCATTTTGCTAAGTTTTATCTGACTTTACAGCTCACCTATCAGTCATTTAGTATCAGCTCCTAACAGGTGGTCTTAACCACCCAGTGGTCTAGATTGTCATTCATAAAGCAATGTTTTTCTCCATGATAAATGTTAGGTTATTACAAAATATCATGAATATGCAGTTTTCTTTATTACAAAATATCATGAATATATGATTTTCTACCTCTGAGAGGGAGATCCCCATTTATCCCATTAAGTACTCAGTTGGTGTCTATTTCACAGTGTGAAACTTTGCAAAAAGTAGGCAAAAGAAAAAAATACTGCCTTTATGTGGTAGATAGACTTTTAGTATCTACAAATTCAAGATCCAAAAATGTTGCTTTTGCTTTCCATAACTGATTTGTACGTGTGTGTGTCGCTGGGGATTGAACCCATGGCATTGATCTTTACTAGGCAAGCAGCCGTACCACTTAAGCTACACTTCCCAAGTAGCTGGAATTACAGGCATAAGCTGTCATGCTGGTTCAAGAATGTCTTGTTTTAAACCCCAATTCCTCAGGATAGCACAAAATGTAATCTTTGGGGTAGGCTTTGTGTCCTCAAGGTTCTTGCTCGTCCTTTTCCAGAAGCTTGCAAAGCCTGTGAGTTCTGTCCTTGTGACTTCTCTACTGTGTTGCTCTCCCTCCAACTTCCTGTGCCTACTCTGCTCCAGCCACATGGGGTCCAGTACTGTTCCCCATAACACTAGGCCCACAGTGCCTTATGGTGTTTATATTGACTGTTTTATGCTCTAGGAAAGCCCTTCTGTTAACGTTGGCAAGTACTTCAACTTCTTGCATTCTGTTCAAATGAACTAAGGCTGGGGATGTAGCTCAGTGATAAAGTACCTGCCTAGCATGCTTGAAGCCCTAGGTTCCATCTCCAGCACTGCAAA